GATTTGTGCTGGTAGATTGGTTGGTGTTGGTAGGTTGGCTGGTGCTGGTAGGTTGATTGGTGTTGGTAGGTTGGTTGGTGCTGGTAGGTTGATTGGTGCTGGTAGGTTGTATGGTGCTGGTAGGCTGATTGGTGTTGGTAGGTTGGTGCTGGTAGGTTGGTTGGTGCTGGTAGGTTGATTGGTGTTTGTAGGTTGGTTGGTGCTGGTAGGTTGGTTGGTGTTGGTAGGTTGGTGCTGGTAGGTTGATTGGTGTTGGTAGGTTGGTTGGCGCTGGTAGGTTGGTTGGTGCTGGTAGGTTGATTGGTGCTGGTAGGTTGTATGATGCTGGTAGGTTGTATGTTGCTGGTAGGTTGGCTGGTGCGTGTTGGTAGGCTGATTTGTGCTGGTAGGTTGGTTGGTGTTGGTAGGTTGGCTGGTGCTGGTAGGTTGATTGGTGCTGGTAGGTTGTATGATGCTGGTAGGCTGATTGGTGTTGGTAGGTTGGTGCTGGTAGGTTGGTTGGTGCTGGTAGGTTGGTTGGTGTTGGTAGGTTGGTTGGTGCTGGTAGGTTGAGTGGTGTTGGTAGGTTGTATGTTGCTGGTAGGTTGGCTGGTGCGTGTTGGTAGGTTGGCTGGTGCTGGTAGGTTGATTGGTGTTGGTAGGTTGGTTGGTGCTGGTAGGTTGAGTGGTGTTGGTAGGTTGTATGTTGCTGGTAGGTTGGCTGGTGCGTGTTGGTAGGTTGGCTGGTGCTGGTAGGTAGATTGGTGTTGGTAGGTTGGTTGGTGCTGGTAGGTTGGTTGGTGCTGGTAGGTTGATTGGTGTTGGTAGGTTGGTTGGTGCTGGTAGGTTGGTTGGTGCTGTAGGTTGATTGGTGTTGGTAGGTTGGTGCTGGTAGGTTGGTTGGTGCTGGTAGGTTGGTTGGTGCTGGTAGGTTGGTTGGTGCTGGTAGGTTGATTGGTGTTGGTAGGTTGATTGGTGTTGGTAGGTTGATTGGTGCTGGTAGGTTGTATGATGCTGGTAGGCTGATTGGTGTTGGTAGGTTGGTGCTGGTAGGTTGGTTGGTGTTGGTAGGTTGGTTGGTGCTGGTAGGTTGAGTGGTGTTGGTAGGTTGTATGTTGCTGGTAGGTTGGCTGGTGCGTGTTGGTAGGCTGATTTGTGCTGGTAGATTGGTTGGTGTTGGTAGGTTGGCTGGTGCTGGTAGGTTGATTGGTGTTGGTAGGTTGGTTGGTGCTGGTAGGTTGATTGGTGCTGGTAGGTTGTATGATGCTGGTAGGTTGGTTGGTGTTGGTAGGTTGGTGCTGGTAGGTTGGTTGGTGCTGGTAGGTTGATTGGTGTTTGTAGGTTGGTTGGTGCTGGTAGGTTGGTTGGTGTTGGTAGGTTGGTGCTGGTAGGTTGATTGGTGTTGGTAGGTTGGTTGGTGCTGGTAGGTTGGTTGGTGCTGGTAGGTTGATTGGTGCTGGTAGGTTGTATGATGCTGGTAGGTTGTATGTTGCTGGTAGGTTGGCTGGTGCGTGTTGGTAGGCTGATTTGTGCTGGTAGGTTGGTTGGTGTTGGTAGGTTGGCTGGTGCTGGTAGGTTGATTGGTGCTGGTAGGTTGTATGATGCTGGTAGGCTGATTGGTGTTGGTAGGTTGGTGCTGGTAGGTTGGTTGGTGCTGGTAGGTTGGTTGGTGTTGGTAGGTTGGTTGGTGCTGGTAGGTTGAGTGGTGTTGGTAGGTTGTATGTTGCTGGTAGGTTGGCTGGTGCGTGTTGGTAGGTTGGCTGGTGCTGGTAGGTTGATTGGTGTTGGTAGGTTGGTTGGTGCTGGTAGGTTGAGTGGTGTTGGTAGGTTGTATGTTGCTGGTAGGTTGGCTGGTTCGTGTTGGTAGGCTGATTTGTGCTAGTAGGTTGGTTGGTGTTGGTAGGTTGGCTGGTGCTGGTAGGTTGATTGGTGTTGGTAGGTTGGTTGGTGCTGGTAGGTTGATTGGTGCTGGTAGGTTGTATGATGCTGGTAGGCTGATTGGTGTTGGTAGGTTGGTGCTGGTAGGTTGGTTGGTGCTGGTAGGTTGGTTGGTGTTGGTAGGTTGGTTGGTGCTGGTAGGTTGATTGGTGCTGGTAGGTTGTATGATGCTGGTAGGCTGATTGGTGTTGGTAGGTTGGTGCTGGTAGGTTGGTTGGTGCTGGTAGGTTGGTTGGTGTTGGTAGGTTGGTTGGTGCTGGTAGGTTGGTTGGTGTTGGTAGGTTGGTTGGTGCTGGTAGGTTGATTGGTGCTGGTAGGTTGTATGGTGTTGGTAGGTTGTATGGTGCTGTAAGGTTGATTGGTGCTGGTAGGTTGATTGGTGTTGGTAGGTTGGTTGGTGCTGGTAGGTTGATTGGTGCTTGTAGGTTGTATGGTGCTGGTAGGTTGATTGGTGCTGGTAGGTTGATCTAGTTTTTAATCTAAACCCAACATTGAACTCATTGTATAATGAGGCTATCTTTGTATCTTATGTGAGACCGATAATTAATAAATCAAAGTATCGACTGTCCCAAAGTAAAATTCAGTGTAAAACTGTAGATCCTTGTTTACTTTTAGTGTATAGATCATGAGTATATTTGATCCTACCTTGATTACTTTTTAGAATGGGCAAAATATTTTATATGTTTATTCCGAGTGACCATCAATTTATCATTTTTAAGTACTACTTCATCTGTTATTTTTAGACGAAAAATGGCAGTACTAAAGTGTACAGTTATAAGATCATAGCCTATCTGTATAATGTTGTGTTAAAACCTTTATCAGATTTGGCTGACCATTAACAAAGACATCACTGACCCTTGACTTTAACAAACACATGGTTGACCATTAACAAACACATGGTTGACCATTAACAAAGACATGCTGACCATTAACAAAGACATCACTGACCATCAGTGGCGGAACTAGAAAAAAAGGGCCACCCCGCAAAAAAAATTTTTTGGGCCCCCTATACATATATATATATATATATATATATATATATATATATATATATATATATATATATATATATATATATATATATATATATATATATATATATATATATATATATATATATATATATATATATATATATATATATATATATATATATATATATTATACTTAATAGGGACTTGCTAGAAATTTGAAAATATTACAATTCTTAGTTTTATTTTTAATTAAAACATATTACAAAACACATCATTTGTGTGCGTGTTTATTTTTTTGTGTGTGTTATTAGTCTGGTTTCAAATTCTCTGTTTGAATGTCTGAGTGCTTTCTAATTAATTAAGCGGTCAAAAGAATATGAAGCATGAAAGCTTTGTATGTGTAATGGTTTCTCGCCTTATGTTTATTTTTAAGAATTTTTGTATCTATATTATTAGTTTTTAATACATTTCCTTTTATACTATGTTATTCTTTATTATGTTTTTTTAAATAATTAATAAGAGAAGTAATTGCTTTTTAATTTGTTTAGTGCAAAAAAAAAAGTTTCTTAATTAAGAGCAAACATATTTGACTATTTAAAAAAGGGAAATAAGTCATGGAAGTGGTTTGAACGTTTGCCTATCTTTCCCACTACAACTCATGTAGCCATATATGTTTTTCCTTTATGAAACAGCGTGTTATCTACTGCATCACTACTGTAGTAGATCTGTTTTTTGTTGTTTTTTTCTTGCAAAAAATATATATTTTTTAACTACAAAAAAGTTGATTCTCGTCGGCTTTGGGCCCCTAAATGGCCTGGGCCCCCCGCATTGCGGGGTCTGGCGGCACTGTAGTTCCGCCCCTGCTGACCATTAACAAAGACATACTGACCATGGATATCATTATTCTTCAGAGATTAAATGAATTGTAAATGTAATTTTGATTACTCATGCATAACATCAGGCATAGAGCTGTCCTTACTATACCCTTGTATGCCAAGGTAATTGAAACAGATGAACTCTACTTCATCTGCCCACAAATGGGAAAAGATGATGTATACCATCAGTTGTGCTGTAGCTAAAGACAGATTAGTGGTTAGCCTTGTGTAAATGTAGCTTTGGGTATACAAAACAGATTAGTGGTTAGCCTTGTGTAAATGTAGCTTTGGGTATACAGGACAGATTAGTGGTTAGCCTTGTGTAAATGTAGCTTTGGGTATACAGGACAGATTAGTGGTTAGCCTTGTGTAAATGTAGCTTTGGGTATACAAAACAGATTAGTGGTTAGCCTTGTGTAAATGTAGCTTTGGGTATACAGGACAGATTAGTGGTTAGCCTTGTGTAAATGTAGCTTTGGGTATACAAAACAGATTTGTGGTTAGCCTTGTGTAAATGTAGCTTTGGGTATACCAGACATCCTCGTTTCTGGATGGGGGGATCTTTACCATGGGTTATTTTTTTTAAACTTATAAATTTGGTCTCTAACTAATTAAGGACACATTAACATAATCTACCAGTTGCAGCTACCTTTTGAATACTTGCCTTTTTTTCTCACCATTTCAGACAGAGAGAAAAAACCAGCACCACAAAGCTTTTGAGAAGTTTTATCATGTAATGAATTATATACCTTCAGCAGATCGAGCTAGGCCCAGCCACCATCATTGATTTGTTTCACCTAGACTAAATCCACATCATGTCTGCTAAGCTTTATTTTTTAGTTCTCAGAAGAAGAATTTAAATCTGACATCACAATGCATCCAAGCAATAAAGAAATCTTCTGTTAAATTGGTCTAGATTTTGTTTTCCTTTTACCATGATCTGTCTTAATCAATATGTGGTAAAATTTTGGTGTCATAATTATGATATTTATATAAGCCTAATCAGAGAAAAATTGTGTTTACATTGACAAAATTAAAGAAACAATATTCTATAATCAATACTTACAGATGGGTTATCACTTTACTCAACTTAAACTTATGTTAGTTTAAATAAGGACATTTTTTAATATAATTGGAATAACATAACATAGAGTAACATGACATGAGACAATATGACGTAGCAACTGGACATTAAATACAACATAAAATGAAATAGAACAAAATGAAATTGGTTTTTAAAAATAAACATTTTTAATATTCAACTTGTTATTAATAAAGAAAATTATTGTAACGCAATATGGAATATAGATGTAAAAATATATGTATAAAATCTGTAAAAATAATATCATTTCTATTTTAAAGCAACAACATGACAGGGCCCACACATTGAGCCTTTGAATAAATATCAATACTGTTTAAAGAATACTGATAATACTGTAAAACGTTTAAATACTTCATCTTTTTAAACATATTTGGTTAAGCTAAATACTTCATCTTTTTAAAAAATATTTGGTTAAGCTTGTTCATCTTTGGCTATGATTTAAACATCATAATAAATAAATCCTACTTCAATTAGCCAACCTAAAAAAAATTCAAGTTATGATTATTGTTCTTCTCCACAACTGGGAGCTACCACTTGATTCAGTGTTTGAGATGGTCAACCCTTTATTTCCCACACACTGAACAAGTAACAACCACCCTTACAAGGTTGAGGCTATGCAGCATGCACTCACCAATTTTACTATCTAAAAGAGCACCATTACAACTGGGTAGTTTTGAAAAGTAAGGAAATAGGAATATAAATTACTGTAAAGGACTTATTTGGAAGGCAAAAAAATATATATTTTATCTAACAGCTTTAATGTTAGACATCTTCATGCTAATTTATTTTATTTTTTAAATTATTGAAATGTTCTGAGCTAACTGTTAAAATTATTGAAATGTTCTGAGCTACCTGTTAAAATTATTTAAATGTTCTGAGCTAACTGTTAAAAAATGTATTTTTCTTCACCAATAATTATATTATAGCAGCATGATTCTAACAGGATCAAGCAAACTAATAGATTTGAGACTAACTAGCACTATTTAAATTATACATTTGGCGCTATTCTTGTTTTTTTTTTTTGGTGATTTTTGTACATATTGTTTTGCACCAAATAAAGTTAACAAAGTCTAAAGACAGAAGAAAAAAACCTACCTTTACAGTTTTAATATAATGTCATCACAAATTAACTACTCATCTAAAAGAACTATTTGATCATGTCGACGGAGAGTACAGTATCAAATTTAATAAATTAACACCGTGTAGATGAATCTCCTGCACATAACCATCCAAGCCTGATAATGGACTATTTACTAGAAGTCCCAGAATACTTCTCTGCCCACGCCTTCCTCCAGAGCTGCTCTTTAACATTGCAGGTTGACCAGATGCCTGTGGAAGGTTACAAGTTTGGCTCAACAACTGTCATAGCTACTGCTAGTTGGTTCAACAACAGAGTCATAGCTACAGCTAGAGTTGGCTCAACAACAGTCATAGCTACAGCTAGTTGGTTCAACAACAGTCATAGCTACTGCTAGAGTTGGTTCAACAACAGAGTCATAGCTACTGGTATAGATCTTTTGATAACTACTGGTACAAAAGATGTAAGGAATACCACAAATAACAATACCACTGTACATCACCAAGATCACACAAACAACAGCTACTTACTAAGCCAGTCACGAGTCATCTTATATCACTAAGATCACACAAACAACAATGCTACTGTATATCACTAAGATCACACAAACAACAGCAACTTACTAAGCCAGTCACAAGTCATCTTATATCACCAAGATCACACAAACAACAATGCTACTGTATATCACCAAGATCACACAAACAACAGCAACTTACTAAGCCAGTCACGAGTCATCTTATATCACTAAGATCACACAAACAACAATGCTACTGTATATCACTAAGATCACACAAACAACAGCAACTTACTAAGCCAGTCACGAGTCATCTTATATCACCAAGATCACACAAACAACAATGCTACTGTATATCACCAAGATCACACAAATAACAGCAACTTACTAAGCCAGTCACGAGTCATCTTATAGACCTGAGGACCCACATCTTTACGATTGTTCCAAACTGACATGTTATGTGTATCAATATATTGGCTGACCACATTAGTATTACTATATCCAGGCATTGTTGATATGCGCAGATAGTTGGATAAATCATTGTAGTCATTTTCAAGTGGAGCAAAGTGAGGTACATCTAGCATACAGAGGGGACGAGCAGGGGGTCGCATGGTTTTCTTTGCTTCTTGTGCCTGTGGGAAAACAAGTTAATTAAAAAGTCTTGTGACATTTAAGCGCAATTTCCTTATGTTATCTAAAAATAGCTCTGTCGTAGCGTAAATCAAGAGCCGGGTTAGTAAAACCATTGGTTAAAATACATGTTTTATTTAAAATAGAGCTACATGACTAAAAACCATTGCGCGCCTAGCTACTGAACGTGATGACGCAGCCATTGAACGTGATGGCGCAGCTATTGAACGTGATGACGCGTGTGGTGTGGTTGGAAAAAATGCCTACTAATTCGGTCCAAATTTTAATTAATTCAAAAAATTTTTTGTGACCGAAAGGATATTTTTGAAAACTTTCTTCGGCAATATTGTTCTAAATTATGGCAGGAATCGATTGGTACATGTTTCAAGTCGCTAAGTGGTCTGGTTGCCGAGATATGGGCCAAAAACTGCTTTTTTTCGAGGTTTTTTGGCTTTTCTGGGAAATCCATGAAAGAAACCCGGAATTTTTATGGCCTATGTTCATCCTCGTAATTTGCTAAACATAATTGCTTTTGGAACTAGTCCTCGATATTGCTTCGTTGAGGAGGAGATACAACTTAAAGCCCGGACACACATTCATCCATACATTCATCCATACATTCATTCATTCATCCATTCCCAGAAATGACGAGTTAATAAACGCAATTCTCCAGAATGGAAATTAAGCTAAAAATTATTTTGAATTGGTTGTTGTGTATATATAATTATCAATGAATTATTAAACTAATGCATTAAGCCATATACAATAAGAGAAAGTGTAAATATTATTCTTAGACACTAATCCTGGTGGTTTACAAAATAATATTTTGTAATTGATTACAATTACATTTTGATTACAAAAGTCAATATTTAAGTTTATAGAATTTTAAAATGTTATATTAAATTGTAATTTTAATTAGTTATTAACTAATGTTTTAAATTATAATTAATTTCATAATTAAATGAACAAAATGTTTATGTAGATCTAAAAAGTTTTGAAACAAATTAAATTTAAAATTCATCTTACAAAATAATAATTTAAAAAGCATAAACTATTTCAACAAAATGATCAAAATTTAAAACACCTAGTATAGAGACTGAGAAAAGAAAAACTTAAAGAAGAATATTGTTAGATAAGCATTAAGGTAATATCATTCTTTAAAGTGTGAGCATTTGCATTTCATGAAAATTTAGTTGATGATTAGTACAAGTTCATCTACCCTATCTATGTAATGATGATGATCAACAATTTTAAAATTTAAAAAAAGGAAAAATTTGAAGAAGTAAGTTCAGGTTTTACAATGATTTGTGCTGTACTTTATTTTGTACTTTAAATTAACTTTAATTCCCATTTTAATAATTCACTTATTAAAAAACATCATTCCAACTGAACTCACTTTTGGAAAAGACATATCTGGTTCTGCTAGCAGAACTAAAGATGCTAATTAATTTTGAAAAAAAAACAGCTTACTCTTCAAAAAACTAATATATTACCTTAATTTTGCTAAAGTCAATAGGAGGACAGTGTTTTAGAATTTGCTCTTCTGTATCTTTATTACTTCCCTTAGAATACAATGACACTTTATTCTTTTCTTCTTCTGATGGTTCCTTCATACCCATGAGTTCTCTCTCCCTTTTAAGAAACTCATACCTTTCCTTTTGTTCTTGCTTCTTCATTGCTTCTTTAAGGCAGAGCTGCTCAAACTCCATTTGCTTTTGTAGCTCCGGGTTCCATGTGGGTTGAGCGTTAATGTGCAAATGGTGTTGACAAAGTGAGTTCAAACAGTAGCCAGGCTTGCAGCCTCCAGGGCAGGCCGATTTCCTCACAGGAGGCACACACTTTGGTTTGGATGAGCAAGGGGGGTCAAGCTTTAAAGCCATTTTAAAGCAAGTGTAGGAGGTGACTTGGCCTATGTTAAAGAGTAAAGACAAGTAAATGTAAATGTATAAGTTATTAAAGAGACACACTGAACAGTTTTAAACTTTAAGTTAGACTTGTGACTTATCAATAATATTAATCACAATAAATATTAAATACTAAAAAGTGTCAGTTATTATTCTGGAATGGTATAGCAGTAAACAAAATATCAAACAAAGACCTGTGGCGAACTTTAAAGCAACAGCCGATAGAGACAGATATCAAGGCCCGTAAATGGGGATGGATCGGACACACATTAAGAAAAGAAAAAGAAAACATCGCAAAACATGCTTTGGAATGGAATCCCCAGGGAAAAAGGAGGGTGGGCAGTCGAAGGAAAACATGGAGAAGAACGGTTGAAGAAGAGGCGAAAACAGCTGGGCTCACATGGGTACAGATCAGAGGAGCAGCCCAAAACCGAGTCCGCTGGAGATGTGTGGTTGCAGCCCTTTGCTCCCCAGGGGCCACAAAGGAATGATGATGATGATGATGATAGCAGTAAAAAAACAGTAAAACAATGGCAAAGTCTGTCACACAGTTCCGGAAACCACCAGAAGTACTGTAAATCATACTTTATTTGGCGTCATCTTTTATTTTTAATATAGAACATTTAAACCAGCCCCTACTAGTAACTAAGGTCACTGATATCTAAACTTGTATGAACTCACCGTGTCCCCAAGTACATAGTTTGGCTAGGGAAGGGGGAGGGGGAATAAAATTTACGGTACAGTTCATGACATGACGTATTAGACTGGGTTAGTGTGACCTCACAGTGACCCCTCCACCGTCTCTTGTTGTGTGTGTGTGGTGGGGAAATACAGGTAGTTTTTAATAGCAGACAAAAGTTTCTCAGCTATAAGCACAAATAATGGTGTGGTTACAAAGGTCTGGTTTCATTTTCAAAATAGGGTACGAACCCTGTTTCTAGTCACTTTTACTAGATCTATTTTTGTAACCATTTTTAAATTTTTGTAATCATTTTTACTAGATCTATTTTCAAAATTTAAATTTTTTTTTACATGGCCTAGCAGCTAGCTAGATCTAGATCTAATTAATTAATGGCCGCAAATCCGCTGCAAGCCAAAAACATTAGGCTAAATTATTACATTTGACTTTATTATTTATATATATTTTTTATTTTTAGATCTACTAATTTAAATCTACTATTGTCTATTGACTCTATTATTTATAATTATATTTAAATATATTTAAATATATTTATTGAATTTATTTTCAATTTATTCCTGTTTCCTTTTGTGGATTAAACTTAAAAAATTAAAACATTATTTTTACTTAGAATCGACTTTCACTTTATTTATTATTTATATTTCAATGGTCAAATAAATTTAATCTCTAGCCTGCCAAGAGTAACTAAAAGTAAAACACAAGCACAGTAGTCCTCAATTCCTACTTAGTACTTAGATCTAGTACTTAGATCTACTTACTAGATTTCTCTAGATCTAGGGGCCTACTTACTAAGTTACAACTTAGTACTTTTATTCCACAAATTCGCAACGGAAGTTTACAGTATCTTAGCAATAGATTATGTTTTTGTCTATTCGCAAAGAAATAGTGTTTGCACTCATTGCTCAATCAATACTGGGTTCTTATCAAATAATAATTAAAACAACTTTATTATTGAAAGACTTATTCTAAAAAAAATAATTGTCTGCATATTTATGGTATCGATCTATAATCACACAAACGTATACATTTTTTAAATGTCTAAACTATAACAATTCAATAGACAAAAATATTGCGAATAGAGTATAGGCCTACTCACATTTATTTACTTGTAGAGCCAATCTACTACGATGGCATATCTATTTATTTCCCTTATCTGTCAAAGGTCATAGACGGAACCAGTGACGTTTTTCGCAAGTGGCAATTTTCACGACATTGACCACTCTATTAAATTTAATAAATTAATATACAAAGTCTATTACTATTACTAGACCTAGATCTAGATCTCTAAAGTAAATACACCTAATATAACTCATATATACTGGGTTATCTTTGGTACGTTTATAAAACAAGTGTCTGATGATATTTAGGCCTAATTAATTAATTAACCTAAAAATTATAGATTCTAGGCCTAGTACTAGTAGTAGTACTAGATCTACTAGAATCTAGTAGTACTGCTAGTTACTAGTTAGTACTTAGAAATCTAGATCTATATCTAGAATCTAGTATAGATAACTAACTAGTTTAAAAAAAGTTTAGAATTAATAAAATTTTAGATTTACAATAATTTACATCTAACTTTGCTTTGAACTTACAGTCACATTTCGTCATTAATTATTAATTAAAAAAAAATATTAACTACTAAACAAACTAGGCCTAATTCTTTAACTTTAAACATTTTTTAGCTTACATTTACTACAAAGTACCAGCTGGCTAAGCAATTTTAATCTAGATCTAGATCTAGATCTACTAATTGTTAGATCTCTTCTACACTACTTAAGTACTTACAGTAGTGTATTACTTACTATACTATATTGAATATTGCACCACTATATTGAATATTGTCTATTACTATATTAAAGATTTACAGTCAGTACTCAGTAGGTAAAATAGTAGGTAGTAACTAATAAACTATAACTGAGTCAATCAGAAGAGTGTGATTTATTTGTGTACTGTGCTCACTCATCGGTGTCAAAGCGAATTGCTTTGAGAAATTGAGATCTAGTACTAGATCTAGTATCTATCTAGTATCTAGACACTGTCACTTATAATCACTAGCTTGAATACTGGTTCAAGACAGTAGAACTTCCTGAGTCCACCCAGCTATGATGATTACTTACCTTATGTAATGTTAGGCCTTAAAGTAAAGGCAGCTGGACATAGTGCTGATCAGAGTTTCTTCCAGGCATCTCTTCGCCCCCCCCCCCCCCCCCCCCGAAGAGAGTCTACCACCACCACCACCCCCCCCCCCCCCCAAACAAAATGGAATTTATATATAGAAAAGATATACTTTTGACAGTGTCCGCTCCCCCCCCCCCCCCCCGGAAATTGTTGTCTGCCACCCCCCCCCCCTGAAAATTTCAAGTACACCCCTGGAGAAAAAAAGTCTGGAAGAAACACTGGTGCTGATTACTCTATCCACTCTATCCTATCCCTTCACAAAGCCAAGGTCACTGAAACAGGTGAACTCTACTTCACGTGCCGTCTTGTTTGAAAAGGGAACTTTACTTACTTTTTACTATCACCAGATCTAGTCTAGATAAAAATCTAGGAATCAAGTATGTTTTACACTTGACTTAACACTTAGATCTACTTACTTTTGGTGATTTACTTAGCAGTTTTTTAGGTCAGGTTTATTAATTAATATTCAAGTCTAGACTCAAGTCAACTCAAATGACTAGTCTGCCCTCAGTAGTGATGGGTCAGTATAAGCAGGGGTATAGAGTTTGAAATGAATTATCATAACCATTGATCACAATATATGATTATATTCAATGATGTGGAGTAGGTCTACTGGAAACCTAATATATTGACTTATCTTATTAAAAGTCATAGAATTTAAATATTTGCTCTGACTGGAATTGATTTTCTACTTTCCAGAAATGATAAAATAGTATTTATAATACTCACACATTAAGGCAGTATATATAGGCCAAGTAGTAACACTGACAAAGATGGATTAACATAAACACCTTCCCCCAACTAGAAAATACCAATAGCCAATTGACTTTTATATGTTTGTCTGATATTTAATTTTTTAAAATAAGTTTCTGTAGTTTTCAAAAAAATTGTACAACTTCAAATAAACTTAACTTGTATCTTTTTTCATTGCAGTAAACAACAAAAACAGAAATGAATTCTACTAGACAGTGCTTAAGCAGATTAACAAATAGTTTGCTTGTGAAGAGAAATCTGAAATATTCATCCAGTGCCATCCAGAGTTATTTATCTACAAGCACACTTAAGTCTCTCTCAGTCTCACACCACTCTATACAAAATGTTTCCTCATGCTCAATGAGTGTTAGATTTGCTTCCACTTCTCCCAAAAAATTTGAAGTTATTAATGTTCAGGATGAAGAAGACTTCAAGAAAAGAGTTATTGATTTAAGTACTGATACACCAGTTGTAGTTGATTTCCATGCAACGTAAGTACATCATCCCTAAAATTTTGTATTAATAAATTCTGTTACATTTTGCTATTGCTTGAAGAGTTAGTGGTGTTAGTTATCATATTAATAGATAGTTGTGCACTATTTATTCATATTTAAACCTTTTTTTTAAATTAAATAAGCCATTTAAAAATAATTTTTTAATAACCTTGTTTTATTTTATATGGTTGATATTGCAGTTAACAAATTGTATTTACCTTTGAATGTCTATTTGAAAAAGTTTGTTAATTATTAAGTACTGTTAATGCCAAGGTTTTGAGAACAAATATCAGTTTTATTGAATTTTTTTAGATGGTGTGGCCCATGCAAATTGTTGGGGCCTAGACTTGAATCTATACTAGCTGAGGGACAGGGCAAAGTTGTGATGGCTAAAGTGGACATTGATGAAATTTCAGAGCTGGCGATGGCATATGGGGTAAGATTTCTGATTCATTTAAAAGGGGAAAAAAATGAAAATGCAGTTACAGAAAAATTAGAAAAAGATTAACTCATTTCATACGGATTCAACAAAATGCATCTAATGAGGGTCATGCCTTGTGTGACTGGTCACAACGCCTTCCAATTTTATAACAAATTTCCATATCTCAAGGGACTTTGAAAGGTAACACACAGATTTCAACAAAGTGGAAATACTTATACTGATTGTTATATAATGCTGCAAGCTCTTCCATTTGTGTGTGCAGAGATGTGTTTATATTTACACTAGTTAAAAATTAGTTTCTAAAATAATTCTAAATTGTGTATGTTATGAAAATACGGGTAGCTTCCCTTTATTCATCTAGTGAATCTGGTTGACATGAGTTATGTAGATCTAGTAAAAGAGAACATTCACAACATATTTTTTATTCATTTTTTCTATTACATATTTCAGGTCAAATCTGTTCCAACTGTTGTTGGCATTAAAAATGGAAAAGTTCTAACACAGTTTATTGGTTTGGTTGATGATGATCAAATTCGTACATTTGTTAAAAAATTGGTGCTGTCGTGATTATCCTGATTTTCCAGAGATTAAAAAAATTGTATGCTACATTTTGAACTTAAACTGAACTTGAATTTCCAAAGTATTTTGTGTAAAAAACCTTTTAATTTTATACATTAAGAACATTTTTGTAGAAATTTTTTAGTTCTCCTGCTTACTATTCTTAACTAACTCATGATAAATGAAATTCAGAGATTTAGCTATTTGCCATTTATATAAGAAGGCTTGACAAAAGTAAAGTTTTTCTATTTAAGTTAGCTCAGTTGTGAGATTATTTTCTGTGTAAACAATTTTAGAATCGATTTGTTAAATCTTTTATGTATCATGTTTAAGTATTTAACCAGGCTATATAGTATTGTTATAAACATTAAAATTCTAGCTGTTGAATTAACCATTGACTGATATTGAACTGACACATTTGTGTCACTGGTACGCATGGAGTGTTGTGATGTTATCTGAATGACTTTGTTTAATTTACATGACTAGGCTTGTCCTGTGTACAAGTACATGGTTAAATCAGACTATAATTATGAATGTGAATTAAAAATTTTAGCCCAAAACCTCAAGGCATTATTGGTCTTAATAAAAAAAATATAATGTAGATCATTGTTGTTTGAAGTTTCATTACCAGATTTTGACTTTTTATATTGGCATGAAGTAAGAAGAAATATATTTCTTTACACAAACTGTTAGGTAAAAACTCTAATCTTTATATGAGTGATCTGAAACCAGATGTGGCATTAATGGTTCTCATGGCAATATAGTTAGGGCTTTGGGATATTATATACTGGCTGAACAGGAAAAAATTGCAGACAAATATTTTTATAATAAACTAAAAACCAGTCCATTATTGTTCACTGGTTATGATTTACATCGTCCCCAGAAACTGCACAAGCAAAACCATACACAAATTTATTATTTTAATGCACTTTCTTTTGGTCATATTTTGTGGACAATAACTATTATGCTTCCATGTACATCAAGTCATTATTTGCTAACTTCTTTTATTATAGATTTTTTAAAATTCCATAGCGCACTCTATAGGGTTCAATCTTTAAAATTACCTTGTGCATGTATTTGTCCAGCAATTCAAATGGGCCATGTCTGCCCTCAAACAATTATTACTATAGATTACATCACTTGTCACTTTAATATGATGCCACTATTCCCACTAATCCACTGAACTAGCAATATCTGTGGATGCCCCCACCCTTTTTAACACCAGCTGATGATCTAGTGATTCAATTACTCTGACGCTACCTCAGAAACTAAAACCGTGGACACTGTAAATCAGACAATTTTTGGACCATTAACATTTTGGTACCTAGTATTAAGTAAAGATTGGCTGTAACTGTTATTCCTAAAACATCTGTTAAATTCTACAAATAAATGATTCTTCACAAAGGAATTACCTACTAAAAAAACCATATCAATTATTAAAGTAATTTAAAGTACAGCAGCAAGATCATTGTGGTTGGTATGGGCTGCATGGTTTTGTGGCAATATGTAGAAAAAAGTCATGAAAGGTGAATGTTGTCAATAAAATTTTGAAATTGCATAGTACTACTTGCAAAGTTTAGTAATAAAATTCAGGTTTACATATATTTTTAAATTTTAAAACCTAATGGCTTTCAAGCACATAGGCTACAATTTTTAAAATGAATTAATTATGAAATGCTCTTTAAGTTTTCATGGTCAACTTCAACCTAATTATTGATGTAACTATGTAGATCTAGAACAGGAAATATATTTTAAAATTTGATGGACAACCATTTACAATAAAATAATTTCAATTTTTTCTCATAATCTCTGTGTACTGCTGGTGCAGAACATAGAGAAAGATGCAATAGCAATTTTTAGGATAAAGCATGTTGATACGGAAGCTTAACATCTACAGAGCAGTAAAGTAAGAGCCATTTATTTAACATTCTGTACATGTACATAATCAAGCAGTCACACACAAGAACAGCTTGCAACAATTATAATAATCAACTCAATTCTCTTTTGTTTTCTTATTTTTATTTACTCTTTTTCTTCTTGCCCTTTTTTTCACCTTTCTTCTTTGCTTGAAATTTTTGTTTGAGCATATGTTTTTTCTTCATTTTCTTAGCTTTTAACTTAGCAGATGATAACTGATTGCTGCATGCTGCTAGTCTGAAACACATTTTAAAAGATTTAACATTTTAAAATATTCTAAAAGAGTTCTTTAGGAGTTATGAATAAATGAAAACTATTTTTGACCTCCTCCAAATTGTGACAAAACCTCAGACCTCCCCCTCAAATCATGCCACACTTCAGGTAGCACCTTGCCCCAACAGCATTATTTTTTTATTTTTTTTTGAGAAGTGATTTATTTTTAAATAAATAAATTGAGTTAGTTTCCTTTAACAAATAAATAATTAGCAATTATTAACAGCTAGCTTGGTAGATTTAGTCAAAAGCATGGCTAATCATAACTTTTGAACAAGCATTTAAAAAAATGCAAAGTAACTTAACAATCAGTTTGAAACAATTCCCAAGTTTTATGTCATTTATGATGACCTCTTAAACCAAACCACATGGGGCAGCTGCAGTGGTTTATTTTTTTGTAGGGGAGAATATAATAATATATATTAGAGCAGCGGCATTCATATATTTTCACTGTGTTTCACTTGCACAAATTTGACTAATGGCCTAACCCTCTCATAGTATAAAACATGTTTCCCACTTATGTTGTTACCTGGTAATTATGAGTATTACAATAACACTTAATGATCTAACCCAGGGGTCTCCAAACTACGGCCCGAGGGCCGCATGCGGCCCGCGAAGTCCTCTCATCCGACCCACGGAGATCTTTTTGTCCAAGGAAAAATCGTTTGTTGGTGATGGCTGAGGAAGTTTGCCCAGAAAAATCAAAGACATGCCTGGAAGAAACTGGCCCCCGAACTGAAATTTGATAGTCAATGCGGCCCTCGGACTGAAAAGTTTGGAGACCCCTGATCTAACCAATAGAGGAGCAAACTGTTCATAGTCAAGAATTACAAAACTGAGAAAGAAAAAAAGATCCAGCGACTGGATAGGATAACATAAATTGTTGTTTAATAGAGAGAAATCATTTTTAGGAAACAGTTTATTTTTACTTTCTGATTCTGGTACACGAAGTATAGAGAAAGTATTGTAATCGCGCAAAACAAAAAACCACTATGAGTCGGAAAAACAGTTTTGCAATCTTGTCCGTATGTCTGTGTCTGTAAACACGATAACTTGAGTACTGTTACAGCTAGGTTGATGAAATTTTATAATTAAGTATTATATCAAATTTGTAGATTTGTTTCAACTTTTTAGCGATTTCCGATAACCGGAACTGGAAGTTTTTCTACTTTCAATTTTTCAAAAGCTTATTACTTGAGTAAAATTTCAGATGGATAAATGAAATTTCACATGTAAGTAAAAGATCTCTGCCATCTGTCAAATTTTGAGTAATTTCTGTTGACCGGAAGTAGTAATTTACGTTATTTTTTATTTCTAAAAAAAATGTATGTGAATTTATGAAGTACTAATAATATCCCGCACTATTATATACATGTTATTTAGCGTTCATCAGGTGCACAATTCTTTTTCCTACGAGATTCTATTCTATTTTAAAAAGTATAAGTAATTAAAAATCATGTCTATATCCAGAGTTGCCACCCCCTGTAGTTTTATATAAGAATATTCGAGAAAGTTTAGGGGAGATCACTCCCGGTTTATTGTATATACGTGTGCGCGTTTTGTGCCTCTTTTAGCACTAGTTTGTGTATCCCCAGAGATGTGCACCTCCAATTTTGGCAACCGCTGCAGTAGATATTCTTCCATTGCTTAGGAATAGTTTTAAAATAATACTTATGCTTTAAAATATTTACTTATGGCGCAAAGATTTATTTTCTTTTGGTTTAGCTTGAGCCTCTTCGTCCTCAGAATGTGAACTTGCATCTTCTGCGACTTTGGGCTAAAAAAAATTAAAAAAGATTGCTTAGTTTTAAATTTTTTTAAAATATTGTACTAAATAATATTATTATACATTCACCATTTTCAACATTAATATAAAAACTGTAGTTTGCAGTTATAATAATAATTGTTACAAGCTTTTCGCTGGTTGATAATGGGGAGGGGGGTCGGTCAAACATTGCATACATGTGTCAGGACAATAGGAATATCTAAATTTCAATATGGTTAGATAGTATATTATAATTAGTAATTAATTTAAAATAAAATAAAAGGGGAAATAACTAAGTGGGAGCGATAAGTCTGGTGAGATGGTGTTCATGTATCTTATTTTTAGTGCACTTAAATGCTTGTAAATTTTAAAGGTATTTAAACAATAAGAAAAATAAAGCAAATTTGATAGTTATACTCACAACAGCTGTGTTTTGGCCAAGTCTCAGGCCTGATTTACCAACAAAATCAACATCTCCTATATGCGAAATGGTAACCGTATGCTCAGGAAGATCATACACCACGGGGTCTACAAGGTGCTCTATCTCTGGAATAACAACTGACTTCTCTCGCAGGTGATTAGTTTTTAAGTCTCTTGCCTAGAAAAAAAGTTGTACTATAGTTCATCATGTAGGCATGCAGTGCATTACTTATTTCTAAAAACATATTATTGAAGTCCCTAATTAAAATGAATGTTTACATTTTATAAACATACTTGTTTTAACAGCTGTTTCCTCTCTTCCAGTATCCTCTGGTCATTCTTTTCTCTAGCTTGTTTCTTTCTTTCATTTTTCCTTTTTTGAAAGCCCCTTAAATATTCTCTAGTACAAGATAGTGACTATTTTAAGTATTTTAAAATACAAAATTAGTGTTTTATAATGTATATGTTTTTAAAAAAAATTTACATATTGGGGTAAGCGCATTTTTACTTAAAAATAAAAAAGCAAACAAGAGTATTCCAAGTTTTTAAGGAGGTTGCATGCCTAGTGCTTGCCACACGATTTTTTTTACAAAAGAGAAGTGATAAGGTTAGGCTCAAAGTCACTTTTGAATATATTTTTTAATAATGATTCTGGACAAAAAATTAATTAATAATATAGGCTAAATTGGCTTTGTTTACTATGGAAGAGATGATGGTATTTATTGATAAATAGGCCTAAATAGTAAATAATGTGGTAAATATTGTTATAGGTATGTAAATTTGGAAGAAGCTAGTTATGTGATAGAAAGGTGACTCCTTAATAATTTAATATGGCTTTAAAATATAAGTATATGTTTGTATCAAATATTATAGGTAATTGAAAAATAAACCAAACTCAATGTCTAAATATGTCAATATAAGCCAGACTAGATCTCCTAACTAGATCACCTGATCACCCGCCAGAAGCACAACTGCTCAAACACGAGATACAGATAGTTTTGTCAGAATAATAAGGCTGAATAGGAAAATCGATCCCATTGCACAACTATAGAAGGATAATTTGAGCACATTGCACGACTTTTAGTAGTAATTAATTTGAGCCAATTGCAAATCTATTAAAAGGTCATTTTTTATCTTTCTCGCACATTACTAGCATTGGACTATCTTACATACCTAAACCGATAGATTACAGAAAATTGAATATTAAAATAGTAATAGGCCTATTAGTATAAGGCCTAGGCCTAATTAAAATTTGGCAGATTCTTAGCGGAAAAAGAAATGCATGCATAATGGAGAGAAACTACCGCCTTCCTTCGCAGCAATGTTTGCAATGGTTCTGCGCATGTGTGTGTTTACAACAAACCACAGAATCATAACTCTAACCCTAACCCTAGCAAAGCTATTAAGGTTACTGCGCATGTGCATCTTTTAAGGTCACTCTGCATGTGCAGAACTATTGAGTTTCGTACACTGGGGTGAAAAACTGTTTTCCGAGTAGTCACTCTGTTAAATAGGGCCTAGATTACTTTAGTTATGGTAATCTATCATTTTAGGTATCTAAAATTGGCCGAGACTAGTAATGTGAATAAAGGTGACTCATTTATTTATTAATTATTTCAATTTTTAGGAGGATTTATGTTTTGAAAGCTACAAAAAAATTTCAAAGTTTAATTAATGGACCTGTTTTTAAACAATTTACTAGTAATACTACTACTACTCTGCCATCCGGTGTTAGAGCCGTTGTTTTGGTTAAGGCTCGACACACAACACTGTGTGCATGGTATGTGGCCTGCGTGACTGAAAGGAGATTGTTTATATTATTGTTTAGAGTTTATATTTAACTATATGCAACAAGCCCGCCAGTAAGTTGAGGCCAGGCCGGAGGAACATTTTGACCGGGATTCAAAGGGACGGCTCGAAATCTAATTTTTAGACAGATTCTAGCCGGAAAAAGATATGCATGTGCAATGAAGAGAAACTACGATTTTACTTCATCGCAATGTTTTCGATGGTACTGTGCATGAGTGTGCTTAAAAACAAACTGCAGAACTCTAACCCAATCCCTAACCCAGCTAAGCGCAAAACTATCTTTTGCCGACTAAATGGAGACGCTGGGCGAAAAATCTTTTTCCGAATAGATCTAGAATCTAGTGACTAGTTTTTTTTAGGCCGATGCTAGCCGGAAAAAGATATGCATGCGCAATGGAGAGAAACTACAACTTGCCATCGCGGCGATGTTTTCAATGGTACTGCGCATGTGTTTACAACCGCAGAACCCCTAGCCCTAACACTTAACACTAGGTACTAGGATTACATCTCGTTTTACCCCGCGCGGCGAGTTTTTCGTCCCCGTTACCCAGACGCCGAGAATTTGCGGCTACGCGAATGCTATAGTTTCGTAATTTTTATCGCTCGGTGTTATCGCCCGATCAATTTTCGTGCGATTATCGATTTTTCATAAAAAAATGGACATTTTGCGATTTCATTATTTTTTTAATTTTGTGCATGGATTATTCAAGATGGAGTGTTTCAGTGAAAATAAGATAAGTTTAATTTACTCCCTACTGTTTATTTTTATAATAAACAGGAATTTTATTGCTTTACATGAATTCTACACCACTTTTCTCTATTATTTCAAAAAATCAAGTTGTTTGGACATAGCGCACAAAAGTTATATGTTGCACAGATTTGCTACCTCGATAAAAAAATTCGTTTGTTTACAATATGAAAGCGAAAGTGGCAAGGGAGGTAATAGAAAAAAATGTGGCGAGCTATGTTTTGCCGCCGGCGATAGTGGCGAACGATGTTTTGCCGCCGGCGATAGTGGCGAACGATGTTTTGCCGCCGGCGATAGTGGCGAACGATGTTTGCCGCCGGCGATAGTGGCAAACGCTGTTTTGATATTGAAGGTAGTGGAGTAGAGGGGGGGGGAGGTTTGGTGCGGTAATAGCTATAAATGTTCAATATTTAATTTTAGTGTCTCTAGAAAAACCATTTTATTTATTTTGATGTGAAAGCAAATAATGTACTGTTTACTTTTCCAGATAGAACCTACACTTCAAAAAACCAGCACATCTCTAGGATATGATAAGCAGTTAAATAGCCTAATGAGGGAACGCTGTAAAGAGGAATATGTGATATGAACTAGTTCTAGATTCTATATCATGTTAAAACCAACCAATGTTGAACTTCTTCTGAAATGTAAAATATTAATGAACAGACAGAAACACATCTTTTTAATTAAAGTATATATATAAGTAGACTAACAAGTTAATTACATTTATACAAATAAAAGACCTTACATTTCTAATAGATCTAATTTGCCATCATTTTTATTTTCATATATTAGTTCAGTTTTTCAATTATGTCAGGCGTGTTGATGACTCAGCGTTTTACCTTTTTACCATCTTTTGCCTATTTGTCAACTATTTAGATAGAACCATCAAACACACTTATTTCAGAGCTTCACTCTGGTTGGTTTTTAGCTTTAGATTTAAATAGTTTGGACCTAAGCTGATATTGTATGAACAAATTTCGTATTTAAAAATAGGGGGTGTACCCTGTTCCACCCCTTATTTTTTGTCAAACAGATAGATTTAAACACATATTTTGATTGTTTCTGTTTAAGAATAGAGTCATCTAGAGCCAGGCAAATTTTGAGACTTAAGTGCTTAATAACTCAAATTTGCCATCATGTTGCATTTCACATCAACAAGACTTCGGTTTTGCGAAATTGCATAATCTATCAGCTTTGTAGCAGTTAAAACAAAAAACTTTTCAGTTATGAATATTATTTTGATTGTAATAACTGACACATCCATAGCTCAACATTCTCAGCAAGTTTGAGCTTAATTTTTGGAATAGTTAAAATTTTAACTGAGATTGTATGAACGCACTGTATATGAAAAATTAGGGGGGATACCCTGTTCTACTTTTGTTTTTGTTTAACTCTGCCCATAAATTTCTAATTTTATTGTTTATTATGCTTCCAAATATAATAAATAAAGACATTGCAAAGTTATAACAAATTTGACCATATGGTTTACAAGCTAGGACAATTTTAGTAAACGCTTAAAAAAACTCTATCACAGAAATTGGAAAAAATCCTATGTTAAAAAAATCACATTTTTTAATACGAAAAAAAATCATAACTATTTAACCGTTTGAGCTACATCAAAAAGGAAAACTGTTCTGTTATTGTAATTTTCTGCTCCTTTTAACTGTAGTAGTTGTTTCCCTAAAAAAACAATATTAAAAATTTATCCTAGTACCTACTTAACACCAACCCTAATCCTATCCCTAACCCCAATCCTAACCCTAACCCTTATTCTAGCCCTAACCCTAGGTCACTGCGCATGCGCAGAGCTATCTTTTGCCAACTAAGTGGAGACGTTGGGGAGAAAAATCTTCCGAGTAGTCAACTTCGTTTTTTTTAGGCCTAAACTAATCTCTTTATTTTTTTATTTTAAGTTTTTAACCTTATAAAATAGGTAGATAACCAGATTAGAACTATATTACTAGATCTAGTGTGTACTGATCTAATACCATTATTTCTGAAAGAGTAACAACTTACGATCGTGCCTTTTCATCAAATTCTAAGAATATTTTAGTTTGCCTATTTTTCGGCCGACGATTTTTGCTGTGTTTCGTGGGGGCAGCCATTTTCAATACACATAGATTCTAAATATAGTTGGTTTGGATTGGATATTTAGGATTGTTAATTTTATTATTCTGGTCTAGTTTCTCTACATTTAGATAGGCCTATGCAACTTCTGTCTGCACCAATATTTATTTTAATTACTGTTTAAAATTTAAATGTTGGCTTCATTTTAAAATGGGCCAACTGTTGTAAGCAAAGCGCTCATTTCTTCTAAACTATAATTAATTATAAATGGATCTAGATCTAGATCTAGATTCTACGCACAATGTTTGTTTCAAAATGTCTTTCGAGAGTAGATCTATATAGATCTAGATCTAAGTGCAATGTTTATTTTCGCAAAAGCCTGATCGTCACAAAAAAAAAACTGCCCCTTTACCCATAAAAAAAAAAATAGTCACATCAATAACCCCACCCACAGACCCAAATAAAGCAGTTTTTGTTGGGTTTTTTTTTTAGCGCAATTTCCATTCTGGAGAATTGCGTTTATTAACTCGTCATTTCTGGGAATGGATGGATGAATGTATGGATGAATGAATGTATGGATGAATGTGTGTCCGGGCTTTAAGTCGTATCTCCTCCTCAACGAAGCAATATCGATGACTAGTTCCAAAAGCAATTATGTTAAGCAAGTTACGAGAATGAGCATAGGCCATAAAAATTCCGGGTTTCTTTCATGTATTTCCCGGAAAAGCCAAAAAACCTCGAAAAAATTCAGTTTTGGCCCATATCTCGGCAACCAGACCACTTAGCGACTTGAAACATGTACCAATCGATTCCTGCCATAATTTAGAACAATATTGCCGAATAAAGTTTTCAAAAATATCCTTTCGTTCGGTCACAAAAAAATTTTTGAATTAATTAAATTTGGACCGAATTAGTAGGCATTTTTTCCAACCACACCACACGCGTCATCACGTTCAATAGCTGCGCCATCGCGTTCCATGGCTGCGCCATCACGTTCAGTAGGCGCGCAATGGTTTTTAGTCATGTAACTCTATTGTAAATAAAACATGTAAAATACTGAAAAAAATTAATAAAAAACGTTTTAATAACTAACCAATGGTTTTACTAACCCTGCTCTTGATTTACGCTACGACAGAGCTATTTTTAGATAACATAAGGAAATTGCGCTAAAATTGTCACTAGACTTTTTAATTACCTTGTTTCACATTTATTTCTTTCTAAATATTCTCGGACCTCGGTCATAATGTATGTTACAATTTTTTTTTTTAAATTAGCTTTTACAGAATGCGATATTTAAATTGTATTTCATGAATGACCCCATTTTTTTAAAAAATCTGAGCGAAGATCGTGGATCTTTTGTCGTATATGTAGGCATATAGACGTCTATCTATAATATAAGCGTGCTGGTGGTGTGTGAGTCCGTCAGTCATCGCTATAGATTTTGGAACCCCGTGGAAGTCTCTCCCTGGGCGAGGATACCGACACCCGCGCGCAGCGCGGTGCGCTAAAAATATATCCACCCCAATGCGGGAACCCCCATCCGCGCACAGCGCGGTAAACTCTGAGGTAATATTCATATCCACATCGTGGCGAAGCACGGGTATTAGCTAGTATATATATATATATATATATATATATATATATATATATATATATATATATATATATATATATATATATATATATATATATATATATATATATATATATGCCTACACGCATACATATGCAGAAATAATGCATATTATTACAGCGCGTCCTATGTTGTACTTAGATCTCTATGGTGCAATTTTCTGATCGCATTCATTACCAGAAACCAGCAATGAGGTAAAGTAGAGGCATTGACCAAAAGATAGGCGCCTTCGATAAAAAAAAGTGGTCATCCATGAAGGACTATCTATTCTCCCCCCCCCCCCCCCCCCCCCCCCCCCCCGGCGCACACATAAATGTAATTTTTTTTTTTTTTTAAAGTGAAATAACAGCTAATGTCGGCTAAAGTCAACTAAAGTGAACCCGCCTCCGTGCCTCCTGTTGTTACCGTTATTGAATAAATTTAATAAATAGACACACATAAACACAAAAGTCCGATCTACCCCCCCCCCCCCTCCACTTCCCAAAGTGAGCAAAATGTGCGTTTTGGCATGTTGTAGTTTATCTCGATTTTTATACCATATATAAAAGTCTCGTGACCGCAATCCACAGTTTTAAATTTAAACACCGAAAATCAACAAACTATGGTAAACCGGAAACCGATCTGTACTGTTATTGTTTGTACTCAATCAATGATTGGTAAAACTCCATTTTATTTATTAATTTTAGGGTCTACTCACTAAAAGTTACAGTTCTAGATCTACATTTAGATTCTAGATTTTTTTTAGGTTAATCTATCGTTTTAGGTCCGTAATTGCCGTAAAATCGCCCGCGACTAGTGATGTGAAAAACTAGTGATTCCTTAAATTTAATTAAATTAAATTTTTTTGGTAATCTATTTTTGACATTTTAGGTACGTAAAATCGCCCGCGACTTGTAATGTGAAAAACAGGTGACTCCTTAAATTTTAATAATTATTTCACATTTTGAGGAGGATTTATGTTTTTTAAAATACAAACATCTTTCCTTGTTTCATTTATGGACCAGTTTTTAAACGGTAATCTATCGTTTTGGGTACGTAAAATCGCCCGCGGCTATTAATGTACGAAAACGTTACCTCATTGTCAAGGCTGTAATAGAAGTATATTGTGATATGTTTGTGTCAAATGTTATAGATAAATGAATAATAAACCTAAATCAATGGCTAAATAAATCAATATAGGCCAGAAATTAACTTTAAACAGCAGTGTCGGCAAGCAAGATTTGCTATATAAACAGCAGCCATTTGTAAAATAGAGTGACTTCCGCCTGAATCTCGCACTATATGTCTATAAAAATAAAACTTTAACAAGATGGCTGCTATAGTAAATGAGCATGGTTGCATCTGTTGGAAACATCACTGGTGTTCATTTATCTATAATATTTGACACAAACATATCACAATATAGTGAATATACTTCTATTACAGCCTTTACAATGAGGTAACGTTTTCGTACATTAATAGCCGCGGGCGATTTTACGTACCCAAAGCGATAGATTACCATTTTTTTTAATAATTATTTCACATTTTGAGGAGGATTTATGTTTTGAAAAATACAAAATGTTTCCTTGTTTCATTTATATACGTGTTTTTAAACAATTGAATTAAAACTTTTGGTAAAACCTTAGTTTAGCATCGGTTATTATTCCGGAATCGTACTATAGCAGTAAAAAACAGTTAAACAATGCCAAAGTCTGTCACACACTTCCGGAATTCACCGGAAGTACTGTAAACCTTACTTTATTTGGTGTCATCTTTTATTTTTATACAGAATGTTTAAAATTTGGATAGATTTATTTTTGTAATCATTTTTACATTTTGTAATCATTTTTACTATTTTTGTAATCTAGATTTTTTTACTTGGCCTAGCAGCTAGATATCTAGCTAGATCTAATTAATTAATGGTCGCAAATCCGCTGCAAGCCAAAAACATTAAATTATTACATTTGACTTCATTATTTATATTAATATTAAAAAATATGTTTTTTTTTTAATTTTTAGATCTACTAATTTAAATCTACTATTATATTTATTCTTGTTTCCTTTTGTCGATTAAACTTAAAAAGTTAAAACATTAATTTACTACAATCGACTTTCAATTTATTTATATTTCAATGGTCAAATAAACCATGGGTTTACCGTAACTCTAGTTACCGAAACTCAACAAACATTACCTGATAATTTCCTACGCTAAACTAAGGTTTTACCAAACTTTTAAGTAATAAATGAAGACTAGCAATGTTTCCTACAGATGCAACCATGCTCATTTACTATAGCAGCCATGTTGTTTCTTTTTTTTATTATAAACTTATAGCGCAAGATTCAAGGGGATTACAGATGGCCGCTTTTTATATAGCAAATCCTGCTCGCAAACAGTTAATTTCTTGCCTATACTATATTGATATATTTAGCCATTGATTTAGGTTTATTATTCATTTACCTATAAAATTTGACACAAATATATATCACAATATACTTCTACTTGTATTTTTCAAAACATAAATCCTCCTCAAAATGTGAAATAATTATTAAAACTTAAGGAGTCTCCTGTTTTTCACATTACTAGTCGCGGGCAATTTTTACGTACCTAAAATGATATATTACTAAATATTATAGATTTAGCACTTATTCAACATTTTTAGGAGGATTTGTTTTGATAGTTACAAAAATGTTTCAAAGATTCATTCCAGAAATTCATGTACTCCTAGATCTACCTGTTTTTAAACAATCGTATTAAAACTTTTCAGGGTAAAACTCCAGTTTAGCGTATTTTATTCGCCGCTATACGTTAACCTCCGGCTGAGCGTATTTCATTATAAACACAACCGAAACACACACAAACTTAAAAAAACACTAGGATTAGACTTAGAGCTAGATCTACTTATTTTTTTATGAATGTGAGTTTTAATTAGAAAAGGTAAGAAACATAAAAAAACATTTTGACAGTCCGAATGTTTTTTTTTAATCGTCAGTGGGAGAAAAATCCTCTGATAGATCTAGAACTAGAATCTAAAGTAGTTCACTAAAAGTAAAATAAACTCATGGCTTGCTATTGCTAATGGCAGATAATGTAAATCAATGCTAACCCCTACCCTAGTCCTACCATACGCTTCCAACCCTAATTAATTTCTAACCAGAAAACACAAAACTCATTGAGATTACAATACTATTAAAAACCTAACAGTCTAATAATAATATCTAAAATATCTATAATGATAAAATCAGACATTGGTATCTTCAAAACAATAATTTTCATTAGGCCTAACAAAATAAATTAATAATTAGATAATTATATTAAATAATTAACAGTGGACTCTTCTAAAAATGTTGGTCTGATATTATTACAAACAAATGCATACTATTCCTAATATATAAAAAGACGGTTTTTAGGTTTTAGATATTCCTTTAAGTACGGATTCATGAGAAGACTTGAGAGCATATACAAATTAATGGCCAATGTGGGTCATATTATGTCACTTACCACTGGATCATAAAGAAAATCACTTGTTCATCATGTCGGCGATAAATATAAAATTAACATAAACTATGATTAAATCTAGATTCTATATTCAATAAATATAGAATTAGGTATTGCTCTATTAATTCCATTTAACATTTTTTTTTAATCACAGATGCTCAGATAGATGTTCCAATGAAAATTATGCCTTAATGAAGACATGAATACAAGTGTTGTGAAATCTACAACATGAGCCTAAATCTGATAAAACCCATCTACATACAGCATTTGATTTTACTGCTAGCATACAGCTTTTTCTGGCATGTATTATACCACAGAAAATCTGCTCTTGCAACAGACTTTCCAGATCATGGAAGCTCTTTTGCAAGCTTAAACAAATCTACAGAAAGTTAGTATTCTATTGTCACTTATTTATATTAATTTCATTTTTTATTTTTTTTTATTATTTAGAAGTTAAAATTTTTTTTGTATTGAATGTGTTTATAGACAAAGATAAATATAATCTGAATATTTTCTAAATAAAATGTTATTTATTTGTCTATGTCATTCACCTTTTTAGCACCTGATACAGGGTGCAGAGTACTGAACCTCATTTGTTCTATACAGTTAAAGTTAATGTGGGAAACATTAGGGAGGGAGCTTTTTTAATAAGAAGAATAACTAAAGATATGTTATGTTGTGAAATGCCATATCTTAGTTATAATTCAGTTAGCCGTTTTAATTGGTTTGTAGGAGTGGAGTGGCTTCCCTATGGTTTGGTATTAGTTTTAAAATTATATGTTGTTCATATTCTTATTAGAAGTGACATCCAAAGATGATTAAGTAGTAAATGCATGTTATTTTGAAATGTATTAAATAGACTTTTTTTTCAGTTTCCACCCAATAGTTGCATGTTTTTCCAATTATTTTCTATTTATACTCCACAGCCCCATATGCATTGCTTTTATCCAACTCAGGCCCTGCTGTACTTGATTCTACTATTCAGTTTACAGCAAAGTTGATCAAACTTGCTCCAAATGCTACAGATTATGAATTGTAAGTTTTAGTTTTTGTACCAAGTATCAAATATGTAATATTGCAATACAAAGTTTCCATACATTTTTTAAATTGCTTTCAAATGGTCTTAAACATGTATCATTAATTACTATTTATTTACTAAGACTTGTTAGCCAATATATTAAATTGTATCTCTTTTAGCAAATCACATCGCGCCTACGTACTACGTTTGTAAGCTTAAATACATTTATTAAATTCTATACTACATTTAAATCTGTAATACTAAAACAATTTTATATTGTAACATTTATTTGCTTATTCGCAAAGTATTGCTATTTTTGTAACTCGAAGGGTAAAGACAGTTTTATTTTTCAGCTTTATGTTTGAATGGATGAACATGGCTAACAAGTTTGTCAACAAAACCTATACTACCGGTATATCAACATCTGCATTATCATTGGCGTTTAATAGCCAATTTGTATCATCAGGAGACTACGCTATGACTGTTGCAGTCTTCCCTGTTTTTCATCTAAGGGAAATGGTTGCTTATAACACCATGAAATTTACTTTAACAGGTAAATAAAAAAAAGTGTGCCTGATATTTTAAATGTAGGCTTACTATTGTTATTTCTGAAAGATCTAATAATTGTTGCTTCTAAAGTTTTATCAAGCATCAGTATAGCAAAATGCTTGCGTCATATTAGATAAAGGCATTTAATTGGTTTTTACTGTATATTTTTAAATAGATAATTTCCTAACCCCTAGCAAAATATGATAAATTAAAGCATGAAATAAACATAACTTTTTATGTTGTCTTTATTTTATTTTATTTTTTGTGATCTCTTTACAATACTTTATTTTTGATGATCTATTTTTATACTATGGTTTAGATGATCTATTTTTGTACTATAGTTTAGATGATCTATAATTTATTATACTTTTTTTTAGATTATATCTTTAAAATACTTTATTTCAGATGATCTATTTAATATAATTTCTTTTACATGATCTATTTATTACACTTTCTTTAGATGATCTTTTTACTATGCTTACTTTTAGATGATCTAGTTATTATACTTTCTTTTGGATTATCTCCTTATTATCCTTTCTTTTAGATGATCTTAATGGTCAAATATTTATTCAACAAAGTTTGGAATACCAGAGATATCCAGATGTATTTGCTACAAAACAAATGACAGTTTTGAGCTCACAAGTGCATGATGAATTCATAAACCCCCAGGAAGCTAACTTTTCTTACATATGGTTCAAGGATTTTGACATCCTATCCCAAAATAAAACTGTTGTGCACAGTTTTGATGAACCAACAAGTTGCACTATAAAAGCTGTGATTTATACAAATTACAAGTTTGACAAAGGCCAAAATATGTTGTTGTTGCCCAAGGATAAGCTAAATCACAATGTAAGCAGTACATTTCCATCAAAACGTGGGGAATTCAAACAGTTTGTTGTATTCAAAGGTAAGCTAAAATCTGTATTTTTTTAAAAAATATTTTGCATTATAGATAACTGTAACTGATCTTAAAATATGAATGATACCCCTCCCAGTACTTAGATCGGCAATAAAATAAGATTTGTGCATTTGTTGATTGTAAGTAACTAAAAATAGAACTTAGGATCAGTCTCTACAATAATTGTGATAAGAATTGTTCTCATTTGGGGTATACTAAGTTGTAATGTATGTATATTGTCCCATACAAAAGTAATTGTGGCATCCTGTTTAAATGAGAGCCTGAATGCTGTGCATTTAATATGCAAAATTACAAATTAGTTTATAAAAAATGAATAAAAGGCTATGTTGGAATAAATTTGAGGTGAGGTTTGTTTAGAAAACAATTTAAGAACCACTGACTGTGATAGAATGTTGCCCTTTATCTTGGGGATGAACAAGCTTAGTGTACCTCACTAGTTATCTTATCTGTAGTTAGTTACTTATCTAATCTCATGTTGTCATTGTTTACATTTTAGTGTAACAACATTAGTAGGATTACCATGTTTATTTTTATTTCAAGGAATGGGGTTGGAAAGCAGAATTGGGTTAAAGCTGTCTAGTCCACACATTGTGAAAATAAATTTCAGTCAGCTTGAAAAATATCCCTAAATACAAGATTAGGTAGAAAATTAATTAACATGGTGACAGCTGAAGAATTTATGCAAAGTTTGAAACAATTTTTAAAAAAAACATGGTTAATTTTTTTTTTCAATAACAAACTTATATCATAAGTAATGTTTTTAGTTGAGAAAATATAAGTTAAATTTCATGATATTATCACTATAAAGTATATTTTTTCTTTTATCCACTTTGAATCTATAAACCAAATTTTTATACCTTGGTGTGAGTTACTAGGCATAAACTAATACAATTTTTATGTGTTCTATATCAATGCTAGTAGTAAACAAATGAAAGTTACAGAATATCACATAAGCGTACCCTTCTTTTGAGTCTGTGAAGATTTTAGTTAAACTGAGCCTAATTATGACAGATTTCCACCACCAGGAAAAACAAATGACCAATAATAAAATCTTGTAAAATGATTCTAAGCTACACAATGATTTCCCTTCTTTATGAACACTAGATTCATGCATGTTGTGCAGACTAAATTACTCTCAGGTAGTTGCAGGGTTTCTTCCAGATCTGTATTTTATTAATCATGCAATAAAAATAAGAATGACATTAACCAACTTTAAATAGTCTTTCTGAATTATTTCCAATCCTCCTCACACTACTCACCCGATGCTGCATGATGTTAACTATATTTTATTAATCATGCAATAAAAATGACATTTTTATATTAAATTAGTAACCAACTTTAAATAGTCTTTCTGTATGACTTCCTGAGCTCCTCCCACACCTTACCCAATGCTGCATGATGTTAAAACTGCTCTCCTTCTGTTATTTTAAAAAACAAGCCGACCCGCGGCGTATCATACGCCACTATATAGTTGTTTTATTTTCTACTTTTCAGTAATTCATAATTTGTTAATTCGACAGTACCACTGCTGTCACTGAAAATATTTGCTTTAAAACACTATCAGTTAGTTGTTAAGGACGATACCACCCCCCCCCCCCCCTCCTTTGCCCCAACACCTAACCCCCCTCCCCCCCTCGTGAAAGCAGCCTCCTCTTAGCTACCTCCCCTAAGTTTAAAATCGTTTCAAACTAAATTATCTGCCCCTAATAGCCATCACTAAACCCGGCTCTACGATTGTAAACATTTAGCGTGAACCACAGCTCACCAGACTTCCTAGAGAGGAAGAGAGGGGACTGCAAGGCGCGCTTACAGCTTGTTTTCTAAAGTCTCCAAGAAGAGAATTATATATATTGATTAACAATGGGGAGGCAACAATTATCAAGGAAAATATTTTCAAATTGTTTACTCTTAGATTGACAAACCTACTGACACTATAAAAAAAACTTAAAATTTAAAGAAATAAAATGTATTCCCTTCATTTCTTCATACCCTTGTTAGAGAGATGGAGTGAAATACAGTAGGTTAGGACCATTAGAGATTAGACCATTAGAGATTGAATCAGGTTCCAACAACTGTATTTTTTCATGTTTCTATTGCTTTATCCTTGTAGTTACAAATTCATCAGAAAAAAAAAGTTTACAAGCTGTTAACAAGCTTTGTTAAAATCTTGGTATTTTCCCATCTAATTTCATGTTTTCCGAAGTGACATCCTTTTATACTTCAATGTTTGAACCACTGAGTTATTGCATACATTGTTGGCGTCGTCGGGTCAGTATAGCTCATGGTTATTTAACCAAATGGTCCCGAGTTCTAGCCCCAGGACAGATGAGGCTCGATAGCTGCAGACAGCTACTGATCTAGTAGAGAAAACTCCAAAATCAAACAACTGATGCTAATACTGCATCACTGGGCTTATGACCTTCCAGTAAAGGTCACTGGCCAGGGCTCAAAAGTTCATAGATGAACTTCAACGGCCACATGTTCAGGACCAAGGCGAGCCATCTATATGGAGGCTTCTACTTGTGGCCAGGCATGACGAGCCATCTATATGGAGGCTTCTACTTGTGGCCAGGCATGACGAGCCATCTATATGGAGGCTTCTACTTGTGGCCAGGCATGACGAGCCATCTATATGGAGGCTTCTACTTGTGGCCAGGCATGACGAGCCATCTATATGGAGGCTTCTACTTGTGGCCAGGCATGAAAAGGGGTGGGCACCACCTTTCGACACTTAGCCCCAGACACACCATTCTGTGGTGCCCCAATGACCTGGGATGATTTAGCTTGAGTTAGCCTGTACATTTTGCTTAGGTTTGGTCTGTGAAGAAAGCTGCTGTTGGTCTTAAGAACTGAGAAATAAAAGTACCTGTAGAAGAAATGACTTTGTATACCTGCTTCTTATTTAGCAATACTCTCTTGTTTTATAGATTCATTAGTCAACTGTAATGTTCAGCATATTGAGCCAGCAGTTAAACTGGGGGAACCTGTTGTTCTTAATATTTCTTGCCTTGGAAGGTGAGTACACCTTATATGTATAAAACATGTACCTTATGAGTTTGGTGTATTATTTTTTTAATAATTATCTGTTTCAAAACTTCAGCATCTACAATTAAGTATGGCATTTTCTTCCAGCTATTTTTTTTACTAATTTTCAGCTCCTCTCCTCTCTCTCTCTGCACAATCATTGTCATTTACCCTTGTGGATTCCATGCTTATTCTTATCCATAATATTATAGCTTAAAATTGATGTTGAAATTTAGTGCTTAAACTGAATGTATTAACAATTTAGTACTTAGTGCAGAATATAATTTGTGGTTTATTATGCCAAGTTAGTGAAAGAGCAACATGTTTTGGTGTTGCCATTTTTATTCTTCTTTTCAAAAACAGCTAAAAAAAAAAAAAAATAGGTCACAATCTGTTGCAGACTCCATTGCTTAATGGTAACTTGTTGAGTCTAGACAGTGGTGGTTGATGATAGTTTCAATTCTGCCTAAATTATTAATGAATTAGGTTTTGGTCCAGCACCTGCTGCTGTTTGTGAGTTTATTTTTTAAACCATGGCCAAGAGCATAGTTGGTAAACATGTACTAGTTGTTATTGTAAACTTGCTGTTTTTTTTGTATAGTAGCTTTTTTTGTTACTGGTTCAAAAGTTAAAGATTAATGTGGTTTATAATTCAAAATTATATTTTCAACCATTTCTATTCAATAACATTTTACAAATGTCTGCTTATTTTAACTGCTGTTTAATATTTATGCACATCAACTTTTTTGTAATAAGTTTAGCTTAACTCTCTTTCCTCGTGTTATGCTCTCCTACAGCTGTTGCTGACATATGTTGGGAGTAGGAGTATTTTTGTATTAAAATATGGGCAGCAGCAGTGCATATTAATGACCATCATTGCTTATTTACGTCATTCAAGTTTTTAAATTAGGTTATAAATAGAAATTATTAGGTATAAATTCTGTTTTAACTCTACGTAGTTTCGTTCTTAACATGTTGTTATGTGAGGTTTGTTAGAGGATATGTTAGTTATTTTTCAAGTTACACTACAGTTGTTTGCATGAGTATAATTCTACTGTTCAGTGACTTTATAAATACATGTTAGAATTAATTTAAGTACATAGATTATTAGAAATACATGATTTGGATTTTTTAAAATGCACATCCTTGCTGCATTGTTAAATTGATTTTATACTGATTAATTACAATAATTACAGTACAGTTGATAGTAAATAGACCCTAACATTGCTTGATGATCTCCTTTCAGCGCTCCATCAGGTATTTGTTTCAACATTACTGGTTTAAACACCACTGTCCCATACCAGAGGGGTTGTCAGCCGGCTGTTTTTTATGACACAGTCCAACACCAAATAACGGCAAAATTCAGCTCAACTGGGTGGTTTGATATCCACTTCTTTGTTTACAATGACATCAGCAGAACCCACATTTTAAAGAACTTTTATGTCTATGATCCAGGTAAATAATAAGTGTTGATATTTTATGTAATAAAGCAACACCCAAAAATGTATTCTTCTCTCAAAATAGTAACTTAGTGGTGAAATTATCAGTCTACTAGACAAACTAGTTTATTATGAACATTATTACATCTTATTGCAGATACATTGAATGCTCCAGTTTTAGTATTTCCAATTGTTTTTGGAGTATTTGGAATCTTTGTCATTGCAATTGGTGCATTATACATCATGCGACTTAAAAAGAAACCACAGGTAGAGGTGGCGGATTTTGATTTCCATCCAAGTCTTAGCAATTCAAGGTCAGATGTTAGTGTGAGAATCTCACAAGTGATTGACACAATCAAGTACTGGTTTTCACGTCATTCAGATAAACATATGGACTCATACAGCAGCCAAAAGGAAAGTCTTTTACAATCTGAAGGGGCAAAAGTGGATTTTTATGATAGCTTGTGAGTTTGTGCCTTTATTTTTTCTTACGTTTCTTAAGTGAGGGATTTATCAAATATGTAAAAAAAAATATATTGTTAAAAAAGTATGATTTTATTTTTTAAATGTATCCAGCTAATTGGAAAATCAAAAATATAAATCTCAAGGGGCCTTAGAGTCGCTTTGTTTTGTGAGGTTTTTATAATCTATAATTCCATTTTTTTTTGTCTAAATCCCCAATTACAATGCATCTTGTGTTCAATTTAAATAATGTAAATACAAAATTTTTAAAAAATGTCATGTCCATATGCTTTAAAAATGTTTTGCCTTTGTGACTGTTTTGAAGCAAGCATTTGGCATTAACAAAAACATGAGCTAAAGTATTAATCTTAAAATCTACACTTTCAGTTTTGCCACAGTATTTATTCTTAAACTGGTGTAGAAAACTTTAAGTCTATTAAGACAACCTTCATTATTATTTTGTAATATTATATTGTTTTTTCTTGTATATAATTGTTTGAGATTCTGTATAATTTCAATACAAAATTTATATTAATTATATTGCAAATTTTGTCTTTCCAAGTTGCCAAGCCCACATAAATGTGTATATATAAAATTTATTGTAAACAGTTGAATTCAAATGTTTACCCATTGGATTTGATATATCTTTACTTGTCAGTTTGAATCAGTCTTAATGTACTGATACAGAATCTATGACTTTGATGTGTTGTTTTTTTAATACTCTTTTTTTTTTTACAAATTGAATATATCTAATGCTTCAACATTCCATGTTTAATTTTTTGAAACATATGGCCTACTGTCATTTTCAAATAGAGTTAATTCTGTAATTGGCTTTATTTTTTTGTAATTGGTGTAATCTTACAGATAATTACAAATCACAATGCTCGGTTCAAACAAAATGTTTAATAAGACTATTTGAAGGGTAAAAAATTCTTAACTGAATTAAATAATTCCATACTGGGACTGCAACCAAGCATTTTGGCAATACTCATTATTTGATTATATTCCCTTTTTTTTAGATTGTATGCATGGTTCTAAAGCCATTGAAAACATGTATTTTTGTGCAATATTATATTTGTTATTAAAATTAAAAATTACTTGGTTTTACCAAGTTTCTAGCTTAATTTTTCTTTACTTTTGACTATTATTGATAAAGATAATGGGTTGCAATTTTTGTCTAAAAACCCTTGTTTTATGGGTCGGGTCCCCTGCTTTAAACTAGAGTGATATTGATGAGCAGGCAAAAGCTGCTTAATGCATACATCAAATGTTTGCATAAACTTTGCAGTGCCTTAATTGTATTTTCTTTGCATTTTATGATATTTTAACATTTCATTTCATTGCCTATTATTTCAGGCTGTAAATAAAGTATGCTCCAAATTATTTTCAAAATATTTTATTTCTATACATATTTCAAACAATTATTTACGTAACTGTAACTCAGTTGTCAGAATTAAAAGAATTTATTTAATTAAAGGTTATTTTTTTTTAACTTAAATATTTAGGATTAGACTTCTGCAAAACCTTCTAATACTTGATCAGGAGTGGTTCTGTGAAGCGCAATAACTTGAGTGTAACACCTGTCATCTTTTCTTTTTCTTATCTAGAAAAAAAACAGTAATTCAATCTTTTTTTTTATATTATTCCAATAGAGGCCTGGGTGTTTAAAAAGTACTTTAGTCAGAAAATAAACATCCTCTGTGTTCACCAATTCCAACAATTTAAAAACTTTGTTAGTACAGTTATTAAACAAGTGACTTAAGAACACATTTCAGAAATCTTAGTTATAAAGCAAGTTATGTCAAATTAGTAGCAAGAATTAAGAATAGGCTGCTTTGATTGTGAAGAAAATGTTACTAAAGATTTTTTTAAGCCTTAAGGTTTTCACTTGATTATTTTTTTAAATCACTTGACATGTTAATATTTTCAAAAAGCAAAAAAAAGGCATTCCTTATCAAAACTTTTTTTTTAATTAAAGAAAACTTAATCTCACTCAATAACACAATAATATGAGATATTTTTGTATAACTATTAAACTAAATAAGAACATTTTAATTCAACAGTATTTACAACCTGTTATTTTTTTTAAATACCTATTCCTAAATTTGTGTGCAAAACATACACAAAACACATACAATACTGGAAAAGCAATCAGCTGATTCATTAAATGTCATTGTTAAAAAGTTTGATTTGAAATATGTTAAATTAGTAAGGCAGTTGTGTATTTAATTAATACTATAGACAAATATATTCAAAATATAATCAAAACTAACCTTCAAAACAGCTTTGACTCGTTCAAACAGATATCTCCATTTAATATCGGTTTTTTCCAAGCTGGATAGAGTTTTAAATTCTTTTGCCTAAAAAAATATATTTATTTTACTGTTAGTGTACCTCCATTAATTCTTACATAATCTTGAATAACAATAAAATTTAATATAATAACTGTAATATATTACTTTACACAGTATTTAGAGGTTTTGGGAAATTGAAAAAAAAGGTTTACTACAATAAGCTTACCTTACATCCAATAACTTCTTCAACTAGATGTGATGGGACATTACAAAACTCGAGGCTACCAGTGTGGTCAGTTAAACTAATGGACAATCTGAGGAAAAAAGTGCTTGGTTTTTTATATAAGGCTGACTTTGCAGAATGGCGAACTCAGTTACTTTCAAAGCAAATTTGATTAGATACAAGTTTGAAAAAAAGCATCTACCTAAAATCAAAATTATTGCTGTCATCATAAGTTAAATCAGCTCCTACACAATCTTGATTCCCACATATTCCACTGTCGTCAATAATTGGCTTTCTGCATTTAGAGCTAAATAATAGAATAATACATCTAACAGTAGAAAACAATTTAAATATATTTATGCTAATTTAATCAAGGTGCCAAACAAATCTCAATAATAGATTAAATAGTTTGACACACGATCTTTGAGAGAATATGCCTAATTAAGGCAAGTGCTGCAAACTATGCTTTAATGGGAACTTGGTAATTAAGGCAGAAAATTCACTTTAATTATCACTTGACTCAGCACATGTGACAACTAAAAGCTATATCTTTGAATTGTTACTATCATTTCCAGACAAATTTTATAACATTGCGTACGTGTACCTTGCAATGCTAATAATGAATGTAGTGATTTATTCTTATCAGAACTGTCTGTTGTTTGAACTGGTTAGGTTTATTACATAATTTCAAAACTTGAATGCTCTTGTCTTTACCATATTTGTTGAAATACAGTAGCATCATCCCTGTCAATATCAAAATTTGACAGAAATGTGTACACAACTGCATATTCTGTCTGGCTAGTGCCCTCAGCAACACTTGTCTGTAAATATTTGATCTGCCTCACAGTCAAAACATTTGTGATTGTTTCAACTGTAAAATGTTCAAAACATGTTCAATGGACATAAATGGAACTGGTAAAAAAAAAAGGTACCAGTTTGCCATTTCAAGTTACAAATTATCATTTCAAACATATGCATTTTTATATCTATCAGATAGAGTGAAATTTGTCTTAGATAATTTTGAAAAAATTCTCACATGGTTTAATTCATTAACATAGTGTTTGAATTGTACATAGTTTATTCTGTTTAAAAGAAATGTGTTTATATATATCATTAGAAAGATATATTAGTGGAATAACCTGGACATAGCAATAGGTATTTTGGAATTTTTAACATACCTAACATTTATAGCTATTTAAATTATTTCAGCACTTAATAAAAGAGAAATAAAATCATACTTTCTGGGTCTTTGCTATCTTGGTTATAAGTACTGATGCCATCATTATCATTGTGTTCTAGTAAATCTTGAGTTCGAATAAACTCCTGTAAACTTGTAGCTTCTGGGGTAGCTGAAGCAGAATAGTTATACAATTCTATATGCTTTGCTGCAGTTTAAAATAAACAGGGAGTGATCTCCCCTAAACTTTCTCGAATATTCTTATATAAAACAACATGGTATGGGAACTCGGGATATAGACATGATTTTTAATCCATTTTAAAAACTTAAACTTTTTAAAATAGAATAAAATCTTGTAGAAAAAAGAATTGCACACCAAGTGAACGCCAAATAAAATGTGCATAATATTGCTGAATATTATTAGTACTTTATAAATTTACATTAGTTTTTTTGGGAAATTACTAAAAATTTGGCAGAAGGTAGAGAATTAGATCATTTACTTACATGTGAAATTTCATTTATCTATCTGAAATAGTACTCAATTTATAGGCTATTGAAAAATTCAAATTAGAAAAAGTACCACTTCCGGTTATCTGAAATCGCTGAAAAGTTGATACGGATCTACGATTTTGATATAATACTTATATATGAAATTTCATTAACCTAGCTGTACTCAAGTTATTGTGTTTACAGACACATACACACACAGAAATACGGAAAAGATTGCAAAACTATGTTTTTCCGACACAGGGTGCTGTAAAACGTTGAGATCTGCAAAAATTTCAATTTTTTTTTTTGCACGATTACAAGACTTTATCTATACTTCGTATATACGAGAAAGTAAAAATGCATGAGAAAAATGAATCTTTCAATTTTATTATTATAGAAAAAGTAAATAGTATTTGAGAATAAAACTACATTTACATAAATAATTTTTAACTATTTTACCAGGAGAAGTGGTTAGAACTGTCTTTGAATCTGTATTTGCAACCATGGTTGATCGATATTCATTGAAACTAATTCTGACATCTGCAGCAAAGATAACTGAAAATATTTGTTTCAAATGGAAAAAAATAGACATTCTAAGCAGTTTGAATTGTTTATTAATACATTTTTAGAATATTTCCATTTTTTAGAAAAGTCATATGTTATTAACTTAAGAAAATTAAAGATTTGATATTTCATCTTAGTACCAGTTTCCATTGGTATCCAGTTGTCAATGAGAGAAACACAACAGCCCCAACTAAAAAAACAAAAAAAATTTAACCTATTATCTTATGTTTCAAAATTATTTTTATTATTCAAGTTTAGTTCATTTAAAATTATATAAAATTCTTTTAGTATCACCTACAGCGTCAAATTAAAAGCTGAACAAGTCTCATCACACAAAACTATGTCTGCTTTTAAAGTTTTTCTCCCCGTTTTTGTCACAAGCTCTCTCACTGGCCATACCTAAGTAAATGAAATACAAGTCTATAAATTAGGTAAGGATATAGCAGTGGGTTTTTTTAAATGCAGAGCAAAACATTTAATTTTCTTTAAGTAACGTTCTGCCGTAAGAAATATATAGTACTTAAGAGAATTACTAAGAATATATTTTAAAATTTATGTCAGCAGTAGAGTGCACAACTCCTAACCCAAAAGCCCCTGGTTCAGATCACAAGCTTGAGTCTGCAAGATGACCTTTAGTCCACCCAACTCATATGGGTACTGAGACACATTTTTAAAAAGTATATCTGGCTGGGCATAGTATTATCCCTTCATATGCCAATGTCACAGAAACAGGTGAACTCTACTTCATCTGCCCCATGGCTTAAATGGTTTAATTTAAATTGTAGCCTTACAAAATACACATTTTTTATTCAAAAGGTATGTTCAGTACTTACCTTCTTAACAGCAGCAAGAAGATTAACATGTTCCCCTTGTAAACTCATGCCATTTGCTTGAATGTCCTCTAATGTATAGAAGTCATTGTAAGCTTTAGTTGGGAGGTGCATTAGTTTAGTAAAACTTGAGGCATCCAGTCCATTGTACAAAGTAATTGATCCTTGATTATCACTCAAATTCATTTGATATGGACTGTGGACAGATCATACAAATTAATGGTTTAAGGTGCTTTGATCACAGATACTTTTGAACATACGTGGTTGGACCAAAGTGGTGTTTTGACCACAGTAGCTGTGTTCACAGGTAGTTTGTCCATAGCCATATTATGGGTGTTGCGATTCTGAGGGGGTTGAACCACTTGGTTCACTATCATGCGAGAACATCAGACACCATAGGCAGTCATTGTGCCAATACACCTCCAGACCACACAGGTGACAATTTATTGACAAGATGAATATAGGTTTTCTCTTCTGATATTTATTCTGATACTGGACTCATAGGTTCAGCTTATAATCTTCATCCATATGGTTGTCTCACGAATCACTCCTGACTGAGTCACACCGGTCAATTTACACCCTTTTACCAAGACAATCAAGATAAGACTAACATGCACACAATCCACAATAACCAGTCTCTACACAAAACGTCACTGTCACACTATGTTGTCCATTCATGCTGCACCATGGTTAAACCACCTATGGTCAAAGCAAATGTGGTTAAACCTCTGCACACAATTTTATCTAAGGCTAAAATATTGATCTACTTACTTTTATCGTAACTAACTATACAAAAAATGTTTATCATGCAGTTCGTAAGAAGTTTCCTTTTAAAAATGTACATCTATTTATCCCATTTAATAAAATAACGTGGCAAGATAACTTGGGGAATGTCAAATACGATTTACAAAAAATCTTTAAAAGAGGAAAATACCTACTAAATTTGTAAATTAACCCATAACAAAAAATAATTACAATTACAACAATAGCTAAAACATAACACAATTTAAACAAATTTTGTCTTCAAAATATTATTACGTTAAAAATGCACATCAACAATCTTGAGAATTTCTAATTCTGCCTTCTTTACAAGTACAAATTTAATACTACCTTGGAGTCCATGGTTTAAACTTATCATCTGATTCATTTTTTGGCTTAGTCTGTATCTGGGCTTGTTTTATTTCAACTAGAGAATCAATAAAAAAAATAGATTACTTAAAAAGATATAGTTTTGGTACATTTTTTATTATTGGGATAACAAAATTAAAACTCTTACCTACACTACCATATGTCACACTAGCTGTCAAACCTTGTATATATTCTTCACTACCCCAACAAGTTACATTAATAAATCCCGATTCTGAATCTCTAACAGTTAATGCCAGAAGGAATCTTTCGTGGCCACCTGAAAAATGCATTATCAGAGAACAAATTTCAAAAGTTTTTCTAAATTTGATAAATGATTTTAAATCCAACTTATGCTGCACATGATAGTCTACTTTTATTGATAAAAAAAGCCTTTTTTCTACATGCGCAGCATAAACAGAAAATGGTCTCACCTTTTTTGCTGATTATGGACTTTGGACCATCTTTTGCAATAATCACACCAATGATTGTCTGAATTTAAAATATTTTAACGTGCAAGCAATATTAGAATAGAACATAATTATTTTTTCCAATATTTAAATTAAACATAAATAACCATTCCTTCTAAAAGAATTATCATAATTATAAACAAAAATGCAACCTAAAAAACATGAAACAAACCAAAATCTAATTTTTCCTTTAACTAATATTTTATTCTTTGAACATCAGTAATTACTAAAAACCCAACTCTAATACCTATCTGCTGCATATGAGACTGAGTTTAGTGTGAAATTTTCTTTCTGCTTATAGTTTTCTATCACCTTTTCCTAGATTTTTAATTGGTCTCTTTGCGTTGACACTTTGTTTCTTGATGAATATATCCCCTACTCCCTTATCAACCAACCTATTCTAAGCCACAATCATTCATCTAGAATAGCAGATAATATTGTGTCCCTAATATTGTGTCCCAATGTAACAGTGATTAACCCTAGCCCAAATCAGAAGTTACAGTATGAGGGTTCATTTTTATGATTGCCAGCAGCTCACAAGAATATCAATAGCCAGGCTAATTACTGTAACTAGATTATTTTTTTCTGTAACTATATCTAGTACTAGTAGTTTGTCTGTAGTCTGTATCATTTAGGTAATGTTAGAGTTAAAAAATATAGTAATATAATATGGCTAGGGATTCAAAGGATAGATTAAACATCTCTTCATTAATATTTTAATATTATTATAAAAAGGGACCTCCTGGTGATCATAGAATTACTAATTACCAGATTTTCTTTCAGGCATCTTTTTGGAGGAGGGGGGGTGGTACCCCCTAAAGTCTAAAGCACTTCTATTCTAATGTCGCAGCATTCTTGTTGCCCCCCCCCCCCCCCAATCCTAAAGTTTCAAATGCCCCCCCCCCTGTAATCTGTAAAAAACATTGCTCATTACTTATAATGAATAATCTGATAAACACATGCATAACATGAAAATCATTTTTATATCTTAAAACTTGGCCTTTCTGAAAGTACGCCCTTAGTACGCTGGTCTCAGTTTCTCAGCTCAACAACAGTCCCTTTTGAAACTTACTGCACTTTGCATATCACTAGTTAGGTTATTTATAGCTATACATCCTCCCGCTCTGAGTTTAGACCAATCATTGGATTTAGACCATCCATCTGAAGATTTCCCCTCTGAAGATAGTATCGTATTGTTATTATTATGCGCACTTCTGGCGGGTCTAGAAGGGTTGATGCTACTGCTAGAAGACCTAGCCAGATCAAGATCATGATTTTCAGCAGTAAGCTGTCCGATGGCAAAATCATTGAAATCATCAAAGCGTCCCAACCAAGCCATCGTGCATACTTTATTTGTTGAAGTTTCAGTTTTAGATCATTTAAATGTAATAGATTCTAGATCTACATCTAGGATTTAAGTCGTCACTCTAAGAGTCTAAAACAAATCGTCAAATGTCCGTAGATCTGGATCTAGTATTTTTATTTTTTTTGCGCGTCGTCTGCTAGGAATAGCTGAAATTAAAAATTAAGATTCTCTGTGTAAACGGTCTTACCACAGAAAAAGTACCGTAAAACTAATCGCTCTATGCAGTCTCAAAGTGATAGTTAAGAAATGTTAAGTTTCGAACTTTTTTTTTACGATGTGTGATGAGTTGGCGGAGAAAAGAAAATATGAAGTCTCACATTTAGATTTTAAAAAATATTTTAAAACATAATTTAAGAAGTTATTTAGATCTAGATCTAGTATTGTAAGACTTTTTCTAAATCGTTATTTTAAAAATTGATCAATATATTCCACTTTGATGAAAATGCTGTAGGCTCTAATGAAAAAAAGATTGAAATTGAAGGCGACCATATGGATGAAGGAAGGGAGTATGACCGGTGTGATCTCATTTTAGGGGGAGAAAACTGTAAAAAAAAAAAAAAAACGCCTGACACCGTGAGATGGGGGAGGGTCGTAAAAATGCGTCAGAGAATCGTGACGTCGTTCATGAACGACTTATTATGGCTATTACATTACAATGGCATTCCTAATAATTTATTTTTCATATTTTTAAATTATTTTTCTCGATAATCCCTTCAATTTAAAAAAAAAATGTTTTATTAATATGCGTTGTTTGATATTATTCGCTAATGTTATAGGGTATAATTTTTTCTTACACAAAAGGGCAATACTAAAGGAAGAAATACAGTTGATGTGCTATTTGTATTATAGTTAATACAAACTTCAACAAGATCGAGCTAATTGTTTTTACATCCGACCCACAAAAGGCGTGATAAACGGACCCCGACTGAGCAAGATGTTAGAGACTTTATAAGCCATTACAAAGGTCTCACATTCTCCTACTAATTATAAGTAAAATTGTAGACAATTTGATTTAATTCCAGCCTCATGCTTAAAATGTATATAACTTTAATAATTTGGTAAACACGCTTTCATTTAGGTATCGCCTTCTTAAACGGTGTAACGTGCAACGCCTCCCCTTACACACATTGACTCTTTATATATATATATATATATATATATATATATATATATATATATATATATATATATATATATACTCTTTGCTCAGTGAAGGGGGGAGAAGGGGGAAGAGAGGGTAGTGTCGAATTCACAAATTATGAATTGCTGAAAAGTAGCAAATAAAACAACTAAAATTTAGCGGCGTATGCTTAGGCGCGGGTCTGCTCGTAGAAAATAAATGTGGATTAATAATTTTAAAAAACACCGCGTATTCTTTATTTTAATTTTTACGTTATGAAGAACTCTTAGGAAGAGGAGTGTTTGTAAACATGGCAGATTCTACAAGCGACTCTGGATCTGTACACAGTTTACAAGCAGAAAATCAGGCTTTAGAAAAGAAATCAGACAGTAGTAATAGATTCTATGCATTATACTCGTACTACCCTCATCGGTAAGTTTAATTAATGCTTTTTCTTGACTTTCAAATAGATTTTTTAGAATTAGTTAGATGGCCAGGTGAAGTGTATAAGACAATAAGTGTAGTTTTTTGAAGTTGCAGGCGCCCTTGTTGTTTGTTATAAAAGTTAATCTAATCTGGGTAAAATCACGATATAGCGTCGGAAATTATTGGATAATGTTTGTTGAGTTTCGGTAACATTCGTTACTGTAAACCATATTATAGTTTATTTGACCGTTGAAATAAAAATAGAGTCAAGTGCATTAAATTAATGTTTTAACTTAATAAATGTAATTAGGCCGTTCGTTTCAACGCTTCCGGGTTTGTCATTCTCGTGGCATCTCACGGCTCATGCGCTTACTAAAAATGGCGACCAGTTTCGCTTTCACTAAACGGTAGAGGGATAAAACTAATAATTACGAGGCCATCGTTAATTTTAGACATCGGAACTATCCGTTTCTATTTCAGTCTGTTATTCAAGAATTCCCAGATGTACTTTTGACCTAATTTCTTTGTTTGTCTCGCAAGCGACGCGTTAGTGAAAATAGCTCTATGAATTCTTGTCTTTTATATTAAAAAAACTCTTACTTATCGCTTCACGGGGCAAACCAGCTTATGTTAGATGTAAACTCTAAAGTATTAATTGTACACACATTACAATTAACTGGTAATAATTTAGTGTGTTAATGAGATATGTGCGTGGGTAAATGATCACCCCCAATAATGCCATTTTATTATAATCTTGTTTAGTGAAAACGAGGCGCGAGAAAATGTTTGCTGCGCAAGAATCCAATCATTTGGCTAGATTTATGACTGTTTTTTTATGTCACACCTAAAAATAGAATGTTTACGCTTTCTTCATTGATGATCGTTTTTATTATGTTTTAAACTGAAAGTATGAATTATTAGTTAGATTGCAGGTTTTTTAACTTGGTATACTTACCATTTATCAATTTTAAAAGCATAGCATCCTGATTGTGTACAAATATACTAATATAGTCATAAAACACAGAAACATTAAGTTATAATTGCGATGTGCCACACCCGGGCCACACCCCCTCAAGAAAACACGTGTTTATTAAGCTGTTTATCTCACTTTACAACAGTAGTTAAGATTAATTTTCAAATTTTTATCACTTATTGGGTAAGATTAAGCACATGTTTACTAAAAATAAAAAAAAGACAAAAGCAAATTCTGTTTTAATGAAGGTCATGGGTCAAGTTTTTTTTCCTTCTGTCAAGTTCAGTGGAGGGTGCCACAGACTGACCTGACTTTGGAATTTTTTTCAGTAATAATGACTTTACACAGAAAGTTAAAATATGCTAAATTAGCTTAGTTTACTAGTGTTCTAGCTATTATTGATACATTTTTAATAAAAAAAATCATTCTGTAATTCTCATCAAAAAGCCTAATGTAATGTTTAATTGACAAAAAATTAGCAACAATTAGGCCTAGTAAATTTAAATATTATTAATATGCCTAAAGTCGAGTGTAGTAATTTATGTTCTTTTTAAGAAACACAGAACAAAAACCTGCAGAAGATTTGCGACAACTAGATCTAGCTCTAGTTCTGTTAGTAAAATAAGACGATTAGAATTAGATTTACTAAAGTTAAAGTAGTAAGAAGAACTAGAACAATGTTTAGTAGCAGCAGTAATTAGCACATACACTTAAAATAATTAGAAATAAAAAATAATTAGCAAAACAGTATTTAAAATGCAACTAAAATCAATCCTTGCACATTTTAAAACATTTTTATGTATTAAAAATAATATGGCGGCAAATAAATTATCGTTAAAGTATTTCCGGTAGTTTCCAGAAAGACTCGACAGACTACGCCATGGTTTCACTGTATTTTACTGTAGTACAGTTCCGGAATAATAACCAACGCTATATTGTGATTTTACCCTAATCTGCTCAATAGTTCAATAGATTGAGAGTAACAGCGATCTACAAAACAAATATCAGAACTGCCCAAGTTGATTTTGGGTTAGAAATCATGTTGTTGAAAGAACTGAGTTGGCACTGGCAGCCAAAAGCCAAAAACTATGAAAAAGTGAAACACCTAGTTTGCCATTATAATAAATATATTTACTAGATTCTAGCTATGGGTAACCGTTTCACGTGAATTATAGGCCTATGTATTTTTAATGTTATACTTGTTTGGAAACAATCATTTATGAAATAGTTATTGGTCAAAACACAATGTGCTTTACTGCATGTTGGATGATATAAGTGACAAAGCAAAGAAAAACTAGCTAAAAATCTGACACATTTAAAATAACATAAGCTACCAATACCTATTAGACAATTAGTATTAGAAAAGTTAAAACCAAATTATATAGAATCTACATTATTAAGCAACACAACACCATGTTAATGCACACACTGATCAAGAGACTCAAATGATTGTTAAAACCCGGCTGTTCAATGGTATTTAATAATTTATGTTTTGTTTTTTTTTTAAAGTAATTTGTATTAGTTTTGGCTGAGAAAATGTTATACATTTCATAGTGTACATCTTGATAAGTAGATCTATAGATCTAAATCAAATTTAAATGAAATAGTTCATTTCTTCATATTCAAAAGTTGGAAGATGATGCCATTAGATTTGTGTACTTTCCGTAGTTGTGACATCATTTTTTTGGCGTTCTTGTCACAACCATAAACACTTTTCCGGTTACATAATTAAAAATGTGTTTCTACATTCAAATATGCCTTTATTTTTATTTTCCTTCTTTAAAAAAAAAATTAGCTTATACATCCAACATATGATTTTCAACCAAAGTCTGTATCTTTAAGTTCTCCATATATCTCTGAAGACACTGATCTCATAGCCTTGAGAAATATGTTGCAGAGAGAGAGAGACAAGTGCACACACTGGGTTTTATATATTAGTATTATAAAGCTAAGGGAAATAAGTGATTCCTATTTATTCATAGACTGTCTGAACGGTATCAAACCATTGTTAAGTAAAATTAAATAGATTTTAAATGCCAACAAGTTTGATGTAATCTTTACCTTCGTATTACAACAAAAATAAATCACAGAAGTTGGCGGTGTTTTCTCTTTTAAACTCATAATTTATTCTTTTTAAACATACTTTGATATTCAGATAAGAAATAGAGAGTGTTTATTGCTCTAAAAAGGTTACTTATTTATATTTTGCAACCATGTATCTTTGTTGGAGAAATTATGAATGTATTGTGACAACAGGAACCAATGTTTTGAGAATGTGTCACAAAGTTATGATAACATTTGATTTTATACATCTAGGGTAGTAGTTGCTGAAGAAGAGTCCAAAGCAATACCCAATGAAGATCAAACAGATGGAAGTCTGAGGTAATTTTTAAAATTCAAAATAGCTTTCTTGGAATAGTTTTTTTTTTTTTTTGGTTTTTTTTTTATCAAGTAGAATAATGGATTTAATAGTTTTTTTTAAACAATGAATGCACAAGCTGAGTCTTTTATAAAAGAAATAACTATGACATTTTTGTATATTTGTTTACTGACTGAACACATATTTTCAGTTTGAATATTGCTGCAACTAATCTTAATGCCAATGCTGAAACAGACCTTCGGAAATCTCTTTTTCACAAATTATTGAAATATACTTCAGGAGATGCCCTCTTTTTCTCTGTGGGATTACAGTAAGTATAAACACAATAGTTCTTAAAAATCATTAATATGTAATGACTAAAATACTTTTTGAAGGGTTAATCCATGAATAACGTCAGTTTTATTTTGGACAATTTTGATTTCCCCCTTTTCCCCCTAAACATCATCATGCATCACAAAATGCCAGACCCTCTTCCCTTAAATAAACTCACTTTTCAGCCCAACTCCTGTCCCTTAGAAATGTAACATCATTTATGGATGACTGTATATCATTTTTACTTTATATACATATCTTTAATCATGTAAATGTAATTTATCAATGTTTAAGTTTCTTTGATCATGTGTATATAGTTTAGCAATGATTAAGCCAACAGTCCTGTAAATCTTTTCCTAAACCATTTTACTTTTAGAAGCTTAAAGTAGCTTAATTTTAATTGCATATAAATTGTTTTTGTTACCAGGTTAGCTCCAGGTACAGCAGCATCAGCATCCTGTTTCTGCAGTTTGGTGGCTGCAGCGTCAGACAGCTTGGGCTTCGACCATGTCGCAGCAGATGACAGCACTGATGTTCTGTCACTGAAGGATCGCCAGCAGTTTGTTGTCTGCTTCATATCATTTCAGGATGGTTCCTTAGACATGTATCCTTTAGCATCTTAGAAAGGTTTTATTGTTTCACCATTTGAAATAGAAAGATCTACCATTGTCTCTTGTAAATGTCTATGTATTGTGTGTGGAGTACACTAACTGCTAGTCCTCGATTATATGTATTTTCATCCATCATGACAATAGGCTATTTTATTACAATAGGAATTATTTAGAATATATATTTGTTTACATCTGTCAATAGTTTGTTTTAAAATTGTTTTGAACAAAACACAATAGAAAGACTTTTATTGGATTTCTCTCTCATAACCACTTATATATTTTTTTAAAGATAGATTTGTCCTTAATAAATGACCAGCTTTAAATCTGAATTTGACAGTTATATCCAGGATTTGGTGCCATTGCTTGATAAAGAAGTGAGACTTGAGTATCTTGCTTTGTCCAATTACTATTTCACTTAGAATTTTGTAATTAAAATGGATATAAATCCTAATAGACTTTGGTACATTGACTTACATTTCACTGCTAGCAGGTGGGAGTCATACTTAGCTTGGGTGTTTAAATGTTGCTTAATTAGCATTGACTATAGAACTAGGATTTAATATTGACATTTGTTTAGATATTATTACTTAATTATAAATCCAGAAGGCCAACTTTTTAAAGTTAAATTAGTCATGATTAAACTTGTATACACTAAGTAAAACATTTTTGTTGTTAAAAGCCATGAAACTTTCTGCCAATTTAAACTGACTGTAGGTACAGTAAGTAATAAATTGTTGTAGTTAAATATAATAAAATTTCCTGCCAATTTAAACTGTGGGTGTAGGAAGTAAAAGTTTTGTCATCAAGGTGATGCATTACTGCATGTAAACACTGACCATGCAATTTGTTGCATGAGTAAAAACACATTTAATATGCCTTTTTATTTCATTGTTTAATTATTTTTATTTTAATAAAACATGCAATTTGATTTTTTTTTATTTGATGCTTTTCAATTTTTTATTATATAATGCTACCCCAGTAAACATTTAATGCTTATTTCAAAAGGCTGATAGATTATTTATGTGATCCAGTTAAAGCGTGTATACCCTACCTTTTTTTTTCCTCTTATCAGAATTTCTTTCATGATATTAATTTTATGAAGCTACCATGGAAGTAAAAAATAAGCAACTTATAAAAAAAGGAATTGTTTATAATATAATAAAGTGATTTATTTGATTGCGCTCAATTTAAAGCTACCCTGGCACTTATATTTTTAGGTGTTTGCTTTGTTCTTAATTAAATGTTTTTCTTATTAAACTGTGATCTTGAAATTGGGCTCAGTATTTTTATAATGCTGCATACACTAATGCTTAAGACATGTAAAAGTCTGTGATGATTTGGATGTTGATCTGTTGCCCATTTTTTAGCTCACAGTTTTTGTTTTTTTATTCAGCCTCTCCCGCTGCCCCACCCCCCTCCAAGCAACCCTGACATCTCTAACAATTCCTCTTCCCCTGCACCCTGTAGCCTTGCCAGTCAGGAGAAGGTAAATAGCTCTATACCTATCTTCTTCAAACTGACATCATCTTTTATTATTCCTGTCGATTTTTTTAATTTTATTTAAAACACTTTTGCATGATGTGAAAACTGAATGACTTTTATGCTAGATTTGTTTGTTTTATGTCTGCTGATGCATTTGATAAATATTTTTATAGTGCTAGTTTTGTAACAGTTTTTGTTTGAAGCTAGAGACTTGCGTGTCCTAACATTTGTTTGTTCCAACAGCTGAGTCAGCTGAGTACAAGAATCCACCGATATCTTGAGCAGTGGCCGGAGCTGGTGCTGGGATATGTAACAAGGACAGTGCAGTACTTTGGAAATTATCTCCAACACTTTTTACATGCTGTTAGTATTGAATCACATTGTGTCTAAACGGTTCTAGACATTTTCTGACTAGAATTAGTGATACCTCCAGTATTAACTGTTAAAAACATGAATCAGATTACAGTTTTTACATTTAGAAAGTATTTTATATACAGCTTAACTAAACACTTTTCATTTAATAATATTAAAAGTATAAATTTCTAGTTGTGCACATTTTTCATCGTAGTAAATAAAATAAAAGCAACTTAAAAACATAATATACTTTTTTACAACTTTTATGTTCCTATTTTTTGTTTGAATTTCTCTCAAGGCCCTGTCTAATGCATCACTTCACATTTGTGGGGCAACCCCTGAGGAAGAAGAAGATGTCAAAAGGTTTCTAAATTCAGTTGATTTTAAAACTAAATTATCAAAGAATATTCAATATTTATTTTGTTTAATTAGTCAATTAATTTAAATTGATAGCTATAATTGAATAAGCACAAGTATTTTATCAAAATAATTTAGCTATAATTGAATAAGCACAAGTATTTTAAATTTTATCAAAATAATTATCATTTTTAGGTTTTTTGGCTGCTGTAGTTTGTCAAAACTGTTTGAAAAACTTCAGCCGGATAATGTCTCAGTTATAGATAGCAATGACAATAACGACTTATGGCAGTTGCAGCCCCTTGTTATAACAATAACATTCCAGGAAGGCCGAGTGGTGTCATTTGATAAATCATGTAAGTATTTCTTTTTTCTTAAGCCAGAGCTCAATGAATCTTGTTAGCATTTCTTTTTTCTTAAGCCATAGCTCGATGAATCTTATTAGCATTTCTTTTTTCAAGTCATTAGCTTGAGTCAAACAATTTTAACACAACTTTCTCTTGTGGTTCTATAGACAGATAACAGGTCTGTGTCAATGTCTAACAATTTTAACACAACTTTCTCTTGTGGTTCTATAGACAGCTGTCAGTTCTGTGTCAATGTCTAACAATTTTAACACAACTTTCTCCCATGGTTCTATAGACAGCTGTCAGTTCTGTGTCAATGTCTAACGATTTTAACACAACTTTCTCCCATGGTTCTATAGACAGCTGTCAGTTCTGTGTCAATGTCTAACAATTTTAACACAACTTTCTCCCATGGTTCTATAGACAGCTGTCAGTTCTGTGTCAATGTCTAACAATTTTAACACAACTTTCTCCCATGGTTCTATAGACAGCTGTCAGTTCTGTGTCAATGTCTAACAATTTTAACACAACTTTCTCCCATGGTTCTATAGACAGCTGTCAGTTCTGTGTCAATGTCTAACAATTTTAACACAACTTTCTCCCATGGTTCTATAGACAGCTGTCAGTTCTGTGTCAATGTCTAACAATTTTAACACAACTTTCTCCCATGGTTCTATAGACAGCTGTCAGTTCTGTGTCAATGTCTAACAATTTTAACACAACTTTCCCTTGTGGTTCTATAGACAGCTGTCAGTTCTGTGTCAATGTGTAACAATTTTAACACAACTTTCTCCCATGGTTCTATAGACAGCTGTCAGTTCTGTGTCAATGCAGCAGAAAAACTGATGAAAATGGATCTGACAAATGCAAGTCGTGTCAGAGATTTCCTGGAACAAGTTAAGCTAACAGTAGGTTTTGTTTTTTAGACCTGGACTTTCTACATTAAGGAAACTAATTTATCTTTTTACAAGCTTTTATTTAACTCACTTCCTCTGTCGTCAGTCGACAGTCTGTCTAGATAGAAACGCAGGAGTAAAAATTTGGAAACTTCTACTTGACCGATACGATTCACATTTGACACGTGGGTCAAGACATGAAGACAATGCAATCTGAAACTAAATTTGACTTAATTGGATGCCTAATTAATTTTTTATGAATTAATAAAAATTTGGACCAAATTAGTAGGCATGTCTAGCCAACCACACCACACGCGTCATCACCTTCAATAGCTGCGCCATCACGTAATGGCTGCGTTCAAAAACCATTGCGCGCCTACTGAACGTGATGTTCAGTAGGCGCGCAATGGTTTTTAGTCATGTAACTCTATTGTAAATAAAACATGTAAAGTACTGAAAAAAAAATTCATAAAAAACGTTTTAATAACAAGCTTTTATGTAATGATGCACTAAAAAGTAGAAAATAAATTATAGACTACTATTTAAATAACTATAAAGAAAAGCGTGGGTGTCTTCCTTAACATTAGTAAAGGTATCCAATAGATACTAAAGTGACCCACGCTTTTCTTTATAGTTATTTAAATAGTAGTCTATAATTTATTTTCTACTTTTTATTGCATCATTACATAAAAGCTTTTATTAAAACGATTTTTATGAATTTTTTTTTACATTTTTGGTTTATTTTATTTTTCCATTAATTTCTCAATTTTTGTTTAGTTTGTTCAAAGCCTGAATAAGTTGAAGAGGTTTTTAAACCAAGCAGAACTTGATTACTATGCTCTGTACAGGTTGGTGTGGATTCAATTTTGTTATTATATTTGAGAAATGTCACAGGTTTTAGTTAAAATAGTGACTGTTAAAAAAAACACTCAACAAATTTAATCATTTAATTGTGCGCTGTTAAAATCTTTGTTGTTTTCTTTTTTCTTATTGAATTAGCAACATTATTTCTTCACATCCTTATCTTTTTTTTATTCAGATCTCTTTATCCTTCAAGAGCCTATATGTTCAATTTCCTAACTTTTTTCTTCAGATCCCTAAAACTTTTTACTTCAGATGGCTAAAACTTTTTTCTTCAGATCCCTAAAACTTTTTTCTTCAGATCCCTAAAACTTTTTACTTCAGATGGCTAAAACTTTTTTCTTCAGATCCCTAAAACTTTTTACTTCAGATCCCTAAAACTTTTTTCTTCAGATCCCTAAAACTTTTTACTTCAGATGGCTAAAACTTTTTTCTTCAGATCCCTAAAATATTTTACTTCAGATCCCTATCCTTCCTGAAAAAATGTGGCTGTGGTGACCTGCTGCTGAGATATGTCAAACTTGATGGAGGACCAGAGGCTTTGAATGTGTTGTCAGTACTGGAGACCTTCATTGTGGACATGAAACAGACTCTGCTTTGAAGAGCTCCACTACCATTCAGTTATTTCATCTCTTTGTGTGGATCTTTGAACTGATCAGCAGGTCTATTTATAGCTTGTGCTGGACTACAGGTGTTTTTTGACTTTCATTCCTGACTTAATGGCATCATGTGACCACATTTTTAGCTAATTACCTCATCAAGCTAGACAACCATCTGTGGCCAGATTTTTAGCTAATTAGCTCATTAAGCTAGACAACCATCTGTGCACTAGAACTTTTATGCTGCCAGAATGTTTTAATTATTTTTTCTAGTATGATTAGGTTGCTTGTGTAAGTCACGTTTTAAACAAAGTATATATCATCTTGTGGTTTTATTACTGCATTATGGAGGTAGATCCTGTGATGTCATTGATTATTTAAATTTATATAGGCTATTGTAAAATTTAGTTGGTGTGTTAATTTTCAAACACAGTTTAATCACATTTACCTTAATGCTTTTATATTCTGTGATTTTTATTTATAAACTGATGTCATTTTCAGCTCCCTACCTTTCTTTTGATGTTTAACCCAAATATAATTGTATAGACTTCAGAACAAGACAAATACAAAGTTAGTGTTCATAACTGTTTCAACTATTGGTTGAGATTTTAAAAAATGTTTGTGTAATAGCTAACAGGAAAGTCTTGCATTGTTCCTGGACTGGGTTAATCTACTCCTGTTAATCTACTGTGCCCAATCCCAGAGCCCACCCATAACATCTTATTGCCCATATTTTTCTATTGTTACAAACATCTAGTACTAATAAATATAACAGCTATTTATACACATGATTAACTTAAACGTTAATACATTGGTGTATTTGGTAAAGCAATCCATTTTTAAAATAATAAACCTTATCCTCACTTTAAAAATTATTCTGGCAATCAATGATTCAGATTATGTGCCTTTTTATGGACAATTCTCGATATTTGTAAATATTAAAGCACTATTTAACTATATTTTCAGCCTGCTATTTTTATAAACATCTTCCAAAAAAACAGCCTTAACAATTCATGTTTGGCACTGAAGATCTAATGCATTTGATTACTTCTGGAACTTATATTTTTTTATATAAATTCCTTATTAAAGTGTAGAAAGATTTTGTTTTGTTTTTGACACTGTTTGTCATTTAGAATCTAAAGCAGTTGACATAAAATTTTATTTTACTCCAATACTTTTTTATTTTTACTTCAATATCAATGTACAAGCTTTTTTTATCACACTACAGTTAAAAGAATTTTAGTATGTAACTTAAAGATAACTAACTGGAAAAATATTTGTAAAATTTCTTTTAATTTCTTAGTTGTTTTTTTTTACCTGTAAATATTAAATAAGAACCAGTTTTATCTAGACTCTATGTTGTGTAGTTGTTGATAATTATAGAAGCACATGAATCACAATGCATGTTTGTGTGAGTACCACTGCAGGAATTAAACAGGGTGTTCATCTCACTTTTCATGCACACCATTGTTGCTTTTTCTTTTGGTATAAATATAATACATTTTTAAAATTTTAACATGAGTGATATCCCTGTTATATATTTAGACTATTTGATACTTGAATATTCTTAATTTCCCCCTTCATCAAACCTTGAGTGGTATTTTGTAAAGCAAGCAAACTAAAGAAGTTCTAATGTTTATGTATTTGAATGGACTTGTAAGTTACACCATGGCTGTACTTATAAAAGCTCTAAACTATCAAAATATTGTCCCATGACTAACCAGATATTTCATACAGTGGTACACAAGTATGTGAAACTCAAAAAAACCACCTACCATAGTGGTTGCAGATATAAAGTGCTGCACCAGTATATGAAACATTAAACCACCACATTGATTTATAGATATAAAGATATTAAGGATATAAAGAGGTTAAAGGGCGGCACCAGTGTGTGATACTTAAAACCACCTACCACACAGGTTTCAGATATAAAGATGTGAAGTGAAAAAAGACAGTTTTTTGGGCAGAAAAGAAGTTTCACTTGTACACAAAGTAACAACTAAAATATTTAGAAAAGTCAAATATCAAGTTTACTATCAAATATGCTATGAAAGTGGTGTGTAAAAGAAACATGGTTTTATAAAAAAGTTACAGACTAGTATTACAGTTGTCCATTCTGGCATCAGAAAAAACTAAGGCTATGTTGGAGAAGTTTATAAAACGTTTTAAAAATGTTTGTTAAATTTGTAAACTTTTAAATTTTACAAAAAATTTTAACAGCTTTTCATGGCAAAAGAAAAAGGAAATGTGCCATCCTTCAGTGCCAGCTAAAAAAAAATTTAAAATCTCACTTCATAGTCAGGTGTTACCGTACATAAATAGTTGCAACACATTCTGTCCAATGTATGTAACCACACGGTATAAAAATGAGTGCTAAACATCCTGTCAGGTGTTACACATTATAAATTAATGCTATACACAGTTTGGAATGCATCTAATTTCAACAGGTTTGACAAAACTTTTCAGGCTTTCTAATAGACAATATAAAACAATTGCACAAACAGGAAATAAAAGTTAAAATAGGTTCACTATACTTAGAAATAATGTAACAGTAGCAAGTATAGGGTTAAAGAAGCTAAATTGTAGGAAATTATACAAAAATAAGGACAGACAGCTTAAAATTAGTCACTAGTATTTTAAACAAATTTTTGCAAACTATTTATGGCACTTTATATATATGACAAATTTGATTCTTTGCAAATTCTGTGACCATAAAAATCATCTACTTTGTCAAACAATGCTAACATACAAAAATCAATCTATACATAATAGAAATTAATAATTGAATTTGCAATTAATGTTTTTTAATTGTTGAAGCTAATTTCCATTTTACAAAAAAAAAAAAAAACCAAAAGGCTTTAAAATCTCCATTAAAAATCTTTCTTTCATCAATCAACATTTGGTTTCTTAAAAAAGAAACTTCAAATTATATCTAATACTAGTATTAGTAAATGCAACAACAGTTTTTAATATCTGTATGACATTACTCTCATATAAACTTCATTAAAAAAAAAACAACTAGAAACATGACTAATTTAGACCAGCTTAAAACAGAACATTCTCTAAGTTATTAATTTAGTCCATTTTTTTAACCTTACAGCTCATTACAGAAAGTTGCATTCATTTAATTCAAGTAACTATTGCATATTCATAATATCAAATTATTGCCAATTCACATATTTTACAGTACAGGTGTAGATGAACCTAAAATTTATTAGCCAATGAATAGCTTCAAAGATTTATCACAATAAATTACTAAATGTCATTATACAGTAGCCGGTGGATATTTCATTAACATCTGTGTAAAAAAATCTGGGCAGATGAGCAATGCATGTATAACAAAGACAAAGGCAATATTCTAATAGTCATGTTGCTAGGCTTTAAACTGCTCACACTGATAAATATATTCAACACTCATCATGGTACAAAGTAAAATTATAAATTTTAAAGGAAATCTTTATTTAAACAGCTGGTGATTTTTTAACTTTATAAAGTCAAATTTAATACATTTTACATATAAATGATTTGAAATCACATTTTAATTGAGAAAAATTGTAACAAGAACTTAGAAATATATTAAATATTTTGTTCACAAATTATAAGTGGATTTCATTCTTCCTTGCCAAAGGTTGCATTTAATTTGTTTAAAAAAAACACAATTTGTGTTCTAAAAATGCCAAAAAAAATGACCTTAACAAATCAATATGAATACATTCCAAAACTTCATTCTATGAAACTTTGGATTAATGTAATATCAAATCATTATGCAATAAAAATCTAAATCACATTATGCAAGATTGCACTAGGAAAAAATATTTTTAACTGCTAACTTTGTGAGTATCACCATTAGCTTGATGTTTACTGCTACAGATGGCTGGCTTGTCAGTTGTGTAGGAGGCATCAATAAAGGCTCTAGCTATTTCATTCACTATACTCCTGTCAGGGATGCTCTGAGCCATTCCATACAGGGCACCCTACATTTTACACACAAGAAAAGTGGATGACTTTTTAAGCAAGCATTAAACTGGGAACTATGCATTGGATATTCAACTATATAAACTTATTGCCAAAAAAAAGGTTAGATATACAAACTTGGTAAAAGTTTTGGCCAATTATACTTAATTAAAATCAAATAAAAGCCAATCATTACAAAACAGCAATGAAGTAACTTACAGCACCACCACAATCAGCGGAAGGGTTCTTCATAATTTCTCTCACACACTCCTCAACATCATTGACAAACTCATCTGCTACACCTTGCTGGGTGTGGAGCATTGTCACACATAAATGCAAGCTGCAAGGGGAAATAATTATACATATATAGAGTTGTGGAGCATTGTCACACATAAATGCAAGCTGCAAGGGGAAATAAATATACATATATAGAGTTGTGGAGCATTGTCACACATAAATGCAAGCTGCAAGGGGAAATAATTATACATATATAGAGTTGTGGAGCATTGTCACACATAAATGCAAGCTGCAAGGGGAAATAATTATACATATATAGAGTTGTGGAGCATTGTCACACATAAATGCAAGCTGCAAGGGGAAATAATTATACATATATAGAGTTGTGGAGCATTGTCACACATAAATGCAAGCTGCAAGGGGAAATAAATATACATATATAGAGTTGTGGAGCATAGTCACACGTAGACTGCAAGGGGAATAAATGTTGTGTATGTTAAGCAGCAAACACTGGTACAAGAATGTTTTGTGACTTGTGGTACCAACCTGGAAGGGAACTGTAAGGCATTCAGGTTCCAACCCTTCTCTACAAGACCATTAAACAAGCGATATACATTGAAATCATTTGAACCAATAGCAACCACTGAGACCAGTGGTTCTCCAAAAATAAATATCCCTTTAATCAATCTCAGCCTGAAAAAGTCAAAAGATCTTGGTTAATACTTTGTAAAATTTGTTAATAACAAACTAAGTTATTACTTTTCTCTTTTACTTGCTGATTTCTCTAACAGTTAGTACAACTAATTCAAAACAGTGTATATAAATAAATAAATAAAAATTACTTTTGAACAATGTATCTGGTTGTTGAAATAATTTTTCTAGTAGACTCTACATATCCATCTTCACCGAAGTAGACCATGGTGGCCCAGCAGGCAGCCACAGAGGTACCTGCTCTGCTGCCTGGACAACATACACATACAATCACATAATAAGTTTTGGCTCAACACTACCACTAGACAAATAAGTTTTGGCTCAACACTACCACTAGACAAATAAGTTTTGGCTCAACACTACCACTGGACAAATAAGCTTTGGCTCAACACTACCACTAGACAAATAAGCTTTGGCTCAACACTACCACTGGACAAATAAGCTTTGGCTCAACACTACCACTAGACAAATAAGCTTTGCTACCTAGAAAAATCAAAGTTGCACATACATTCTCTATGAGCGAGCTAAAATAGCCACACAATGTGTCACAGAAATTTTGTTATGTAACCCATTCATTCATTTAATTAGTATTATGTTCACTAATTTAAATCAATTAACTTACTCTTATAAAAATTTGAATTTTTTTTCTTTCATATATTGATAATTGATAAACCTTTAAAATCAATATTAGAATTAACTTAATTTAAAGTATGAATAAAATTAGAGCTCTGACCAGCAATAGTAGGTGAGGCGTAAATGCCACCAGGCCAGTTTGTCTGTACAAAAAACTGTTTAGCCCTCAGGTCTTTGTTTCTGTACAGTATGACAGAGGAACCTTTAGGTGTAAATCCATACTGTCAAGAAAAAACATGTCACATTAAAGGATAAAAATCATAGAAGCATGACAAATGTGTAGCCATTGTTTAAAGTTAAAGAAAAAAGTTTCACTGATATTCAACCAATACACAGTGTCACAATGCATACTACTGTAGGTATAAAAACAAACTTTAAACAAGTAATTTTGTAAATCCAACAAGCCACAATTTAATATTTATTTGGCTTTTTATTACCTTATGGGTGTCTGCAGATATACTAGTAACACCAGGCACTCTGAAGTCAAATGGTGGTATTGGGAATCCTGCCTTTTCCATGAAAGGCAACAAGAAACCTCCAAGACAGGAATCTACATGCACTGGAATCCCATACTCAAATCCCAACTGAAATTTATCAAATTTAAACTGTTACGATAGAATAAAAATTATTTTAGGAAGAATTGTTTGTACTTAATAAATACTAGGATCAGTTTCATAGCTTTTACCTAATACTTAAATGATGTACGACTAAAGTAAAACCTTCCACTGATTCAACATAAGTATTAGAAGCTAGTATCAACATTATCCTAACAGACTACCAACCTTGGCAACTGCTTCTACTGGGTCAATGATACCATGAGGAAACTGTGGTGCTGACGCTACAAGCTGAAATATACAAGTTTTTAAAACATTAATTATGTGGTGATGACGCTACAAGCTGAAATATACAAGTTTTTAAAACATTATGTGTGGATACAATGCTACAAGCTGAAATGTTAGCAATATTACACCCAAAAGCTAACATAAGTTTTTGATGCTCAAAGTAATTCCAAAATAATTCGTAACAGCTATTATTAAGCTCAAAAAGTTGTGTAAGAAATGAAATTTTGTAATCAAACTGATCAATACACACCACACAAGTTTTTCTATTGATGGCACGCCTCATAGCTCTAACATCTACCATACGTGTCTTTTCATCAATAGGAATATGTGTAATTTTCATGTGAAAAAAGCTTGCTGCCTGAAAAGATAATGAAAAAAATATTGTTTTTATTGTGTTCTAAAATGATTTTTAAAAATATCCAATTAATATACTGGGTTCAATAAGCTAGGATACAAGATTTAACCAGTGAACAAGTTAGGATACAAGATTATCTTCTCATTTAACCAGTGAACAAGTTAGGATACAAGAATATCTGTTCATTTGACCAGTGAACAAGTTAGGATACAAGATTATCTTCTCATTTAACCAGTGAACAAGTTAGGATACAAGATTATCTTTTCATTTGACCAGTGAACAAGTTAGGATACAAGAATATCTATTCATTTAACCAGTGAACAAGTTAGGATACAAGATTATCTTTTCATTTGACCAGTGAACAAGTTAGGATACAAGATTATCTATTCATTTAACCAGTGAACAAGTTAGGATACAAGATTATCTATTCATTTAACCAGTGAACAAGATTACCTTGTCAAATGCTGCATGAGCTGTGACTGGAGCTATGCTAAAAACAGATTTCAAACAATAAACAAATAAATAAATAATAAAAAGAAAGTCTGAACATGATTTGAATATTAAACTGCTTAAAATTCAAAACATATTCCTCAAATTGAAAACAAAAATCACTTTTTCAGAATTAAAAAAGTTTTACAGTAATTAAGGTAATACAAAAAGTCCTCCCTAACTTACATCTCTGGTATTTTGATGCCTCTTTCCCTGGCCAGATTTCTGTATGCCAGCATGGCCAACAGGATGCTCTCTGTGCCACCAGACGTCAGGGCACCACACGCATTCTCATCACCATTAAAAATATTGCAGCACATACGCACTACTTCAGCATCCATTTTCCTGACATCTGGAAACACATCAGAATGGAGCGGGTTGGACCAAGCAAACATGCCAAAAGTCTGAAATAATTGAAATTCTTTTTAATTTGACATCCTACAAATATAACCTGTTCTACTTAATTAAGTTTAAGTAGTACCATAAAGAATTTAATTAAATGAGTTATCTTACCTTGGCCATTATCTCTGCGAGCTTCTCATCTCCGTAGTAAACTGTGCCAGACACATGGCCATTCTTCCAATTGTTGTTTGCTGTGAAAACATCAATCAAATCATCAATTACTGCAGAAAATTGACAGAAAAAATGCAAATAAAATAGAACTATCTTTTAAAGTAACAGCTTAGGCAGATTTTAATACCAATTATTGTATGTTTATTTATTGCATGCTCTAAGTCAAGTAAATGTGAATAAAAACATACCCATGTTTTTATACCTGCACAATTCTTCCATTAGCTCTACCTGAGAGGGAATTGAGAGTTAACTCATTTATCTTGCAAAGAAATATAGTAGCCTTTAAGACTTACTGGTCTCTAGGGCTGATGAATGTATTTATATGAGTATAAGTGTGTGCTTGTATAAGGGGTGTGAGTTACAGTACATCATTTCTATTCCACTTATCATTAAGGAGAATAAAATTGTTTTAAACTTTATGACTGATGTTGACCAAAGTGATACTTGACTAAAGTGATCTTCTTGGGAAATTGGAAACACTACATAATGGTTATTAATTGTGGGGAAAGTATCAAGAATTAAAACACAAATGTAATGGAGCATTGTGATTTTTTTTCTAAATATAAAGCAATAGTAACCCAGTAATGGTACAACTTCTAACAGTTTGATAATATCATTATCTATTAGCATTGTACTGCTGTAGCTTATCAGAAAACTGATAAACATTTCAAGGTCACTAAATGTAACTATGATAGTGAAACATGAACAAAATATAAACTAAAACATTTAATACTTGGTTACAAGATATTATAGTGATTTGGATAAAATCTTACATGTTCAACCAAATATTTGCCCTTAGTGTTGAAACTGTAATTAAAATGATCTAATTCTGTCATACATGTTCTTATAAATATGTAATGCTTGTCAATATAAGTTTCCTATTTAACAGATATATAAATATTCAGTATTTCAGTACATACATCTGATAATCCTTTTTGGGGCAATTTGACAAGGTAGTCTCCTGTAATAGTTTTGTTAAAAGTTTCTTCAATAGAGCTGTTAACTTTTCCCATTTCTTCCGCAATTTTTCGTTGAACCATTGGTACTTTTTTTAGCCATCTAAAAAACTCACGTTTTGTTCTTTCAGTCAATGCTAAAAAAGTATGTGAGAGTTTTGATTATCCTCACAGCAAATACTAAAATAAAAGTAAATTTTAATTCTATATATCATATTGATTATGATATTGTTTATTTATAAAGTTACATTAAAGCTTACAATCATGGCTTAATTATGTAAAGAAAAATAAAATCTTACTGCTGTCATCTTGAAAAAGAAAACCTTTAATGTACACCACAGCCAGGGTAGTTCCTCCAGTGTACAGAACTATTTGCCAGGGTTCCAGGTCAGCACACAGTCTGTTCAACAATGCTTTGGAGCCATTTAGCGAACCAATTATTGGGGACTGAAATCATAACAAGGAAGGAGTAATACAACATAGTGCAATGGTAGAAAAGTAAGGTAAGGTGTGCAATTTGTACCACCCTCATTTCGCTTAACCTGAATGAAAGAAAATTGTGGGAACATGTTGAAATTATTCTGGATGATAAAATCTATGTGCTGACAAAAAATAGAAGAATCCATCGTAAAAGAGAACAATTAAATCAGTTTTTGTGTGTCCTTTTGGATGTAATGTTAGGCCATCTTTCTAACTGTGCTATACTTTGGAGGATATGACTATTTTGTTTTAAATGTAGTATGGTGTTGACAAAATCACTCTGATTCATTAATAAATTTGCTTTGTTTGGTAAACTTCACCTATCAAAATGTAAAGCAAAAATTGGTTTGTAGTCAAAGTCGGCTAAAGCATACATTGCAATGGCAGAAAAAAGTGGTACTAATTACCCATCCTGGTAGATATTATATTATTGCCTTTTATGTTGATTTGAGACCTTGTTTTGTTGACTACTTCCCATTTCTAATCATATATTTAACTTTATAAAGCTATTAATTTTATACACACATTGTTCTATATAATCAATAGAAGACAGACAACTACAAGACTAAAGATCTCAAAAAGCCATTCAGTCCTGCAGAGATGGTGCTTATGGTTATAATTAAGATAGGATCTGATATAGTTAAGAGTTAATTTTTAAGTTTGTTTATGAAAAAAAAACTTGCCACATAACTATCACAAAACTTAAATAATTGTTGGCATAGATTTGTCAACTCTTTCAGTTTTATAAAATAAGGATGCCCAGATTTCAATTAGCTGTAGGGCCCCACACTTCAAGCCAGAAGTTCCTAATGGCTTTTGTGAAATCTCTTGGCTACATATGGGATGTATTGTCTATATTCTGGAAAAGATACACTTGAGCCAAAGATATGTAACATTTGTACAAGTGGAGGTCATTTTTAACTCAACAACTATGTCTGTATAACTAAATGTTTTGCAACCAGCAAGTCTATACAAGTATGGGACAGTGTGGCCTAAGCGGTAGAGCGCTAGGCTGCTAAACCGATAATCCTGAGTTCGAATCAGTAGAAGTCAGTAGAACATCCCTGAGTACACCCATCTCTGATGGGTACATAACTCATGTTACGGAAAGGAAAGGCAGCTTGGCAAAGTGCTGACCACACCTTCCCTTCATATGTCGAGGTTAAGAAACATAGGAACTCTACTTCATTTGCCCAAAAGATCTCTAGGTCTAGAAAGGTTCTTTACTTTTACACCTATACTGATCTAAAGAGGATTTCTTACTTTTTTTTTTCTTTAAGTCTATACTATGTCAATAGCTGGATAGAAATTAAAACAGTTAGTGGACCCCTCTGTGGGTAACAGTATCATTTAGTAAAGTTTGTGTCTTCATTTATAGTCTACTGTTCTCTACATTTTAATAATCACACATTAATAGCATGAATTTTGTGTCTAGTTTACAACAAATCAATAAAGATTGCTTAGCCTACTTAAAAGTAAAAATAAATTATTTCCAACTTGTTTTTGTTTCCTTGGAAGACTATATTATATAATATATAGGCCTAAGTATAGGCCCCTAATGATATTAATTACTATTAGGCCCTATTACCCACTTTCCCCTAATTACTGTTATTAGGCCTATCATAATTATTAATTTATTAATTAATAAATTATTAGGGACCTATTATTATTTATTATTATGTGGTTATATTATTAGGCCCTATAACACTTTTCTGTGCAAAGAGTAGTCATCCAGTTTAATCTACTTATTACTAGTTGTTTTTTTTAGTCCAATTGAACATGAACATAATGTTTTTGTTAGTTGTTACAGCTCCAGCTACAAAATTACAAGACTACAGCTGCCATAACTTAGTATTTTATAGAGTATTACTATTACAGTATCATCATTCAAGTTTATAATCATTGTCTTTGGAGTTATTAAAATAAACAGTCACTGAATGGGGGGGGGGTGACATTTGACTTTGGCCTTTACACTCCTTTACTAGACTCAGTCACGTCTAGTGAACTCTAGTGTCACTACTGTAGTACTCCTGTCACGACGACGTTTGACGTCCGACACTTTTTTATTAGCTATCTTTGTGGACCAAGCAGACTACCCGACATTTATTATTTTAAGTGAAGTTTGCAAGAATGAAATCAATATCTTTGAAAAGCCGTCATATCTTACTAGAATTTAGAGCTACTATTTTTAATTACTAACACCAAAAACAATACCAACCAAAAAGGAATCCTTCCATGTACCTGCCATGTTTACAAGTAGCTAGAGATGTCACATGGGTGAACTCTTTTTTTTATCAGGGCTGGAAAATGCGCAGTTGTCAAAAGACGATTGTTCGATGACGCGATGTTTGATAGACCTAGCTTTTTAGTATTTTTAGATCTATATTATTCTATATCTATATTTTTAGATTAGAATATGTAGACTAAATCGAAATAAATAATAACTAAATCTGATTGTCACATATGATATTATTAGTTCCCCAACAAAACATTGTCCCGCATCTTTAGTCAAAATTGTAGTCGATTATTTATAGCCCCTACCTACTTAACTCGCATCATCATTGAACAGACCCAAGAGTGGAACTCATCTCTCTACATTAATTTCATAGACTATGAGAAGGCCTTTGATAGCCTGGATAGGCAGTCAATGTGGAAATTGTTGAGACACTACGGGGTGCCACAGAAAATAGTCAACATTATTATGTCTTCATATGAAGGTCTCAAATGTAGAGTAGTGCATGGCCAACAGACTACAGAGGCCTTCCCAGTACGGACCGGAGTAAGGCAGGGTTGCCTACTTTCACCATTCCTGTTCCTACTGGCCATAGACTGGGTTATGAAGATGTCAACAGAGAAAACGCGAAACGGTATACAGTGGACATTGTGGAGCCAGCTGGATGACCTGGACTTTGCTGACGACCTGGCCCTCCTTTCTCACACACAACAGCAAATGCAGGATAAAACCAACAGGGTTGCAAATTTTTCTACAAGCCTGGGTCTGAACATCCACAGAGGGAAAAGTAAAGTTCTCAAAGTCAATGCATCAAACAACAACCCTATAACACTGGCAGAAGAAGCCCTAGAAGAAGTGGATAGATTCACCTACCTTGGAAGTATTGTTGATAAGCAGGGTGGGACAGAAGCAGACATAAAAATAAGGACGGGTAAGGCAAGAGCAGTCTTCAACCAACTAAAAAATGTTTGGGGTTCGGGAGATTTAACCCTTAGAATAAAAATCCGGATCTTCAACACACTAGTAAAACCTGTTTTACTCTATGGAGCCGAGACATGGAGAATAACTGCTATAAATAAGAAGAAAATACAATCATTTATAAACGCATGTCTCAGAAAGATCCTGCGAATTCGCTGGCCTAAAACCATCAGAAATGATGTTCTATGGCAACGGACAAATCAACTGCCAGTGGAAGTAGAGATCCTCCAGAGAAAATGGAAATGGATTGGCCACACACTCAGGAAGCCTGTATCCAGCATAACAAGACAGGCCCTCACCTGGAATCCACAAGGCAGGAGGAAGAGAGGCAGACCAAGAAAGACCTGGAGACGTGACCTGGAAGAAGACACCAAGAAGATTGGATACACCTGGGGACAGTTGGAGAGACTAGCCCTGGACAGAGACGTCTGGAAAGCTCTTGTCAGCGGCCTATGTCCCAGTAGGGACGACAGGCAAACATGACATGACATGACCTACTTAACTAACTTGTTGGACTCCCTTCACATTTTATTTTAGGCTAGTTGGTATGATTTACTTTACGTAGATATTCTAATTACCCAAAGCAAAATCTTTAAGTTCTACAGACGAATGTAGGTGTCTTAATGCTCATGTAGAAGACCGGGCGTTACTGGCCAGACAACCACTTGGGCGCCGGAGGACGTCCCTGGCGCAGGACGCCCAATTACTAACTCCATTTGATAAGGTAGCCTTGAGGGAACTCGAGGAGTCGAACATTACAGGGCCTACGGCGCAGACCCTCCGGTCAGAGGCGTAGCGACCCTTCCCGGCGCCCGGGTACAAACTTTCAATTTGCACCCCCCCCCCCGTCGAACTTTTCATTTGCACCCCCCTCAAACTTTCGATTTGCACCCCCCCCCCTCGAACTTTTCATTTGCACCCCCCCCCTCAAACTTTCAATTTGACGCCCCCCCCCCTCAGGTCGGCGCCCGGGGACATGTGTCGTCGTCCCCCCCGCCCCCCCCCCCCCCCCCCCCATCGCTACGCCTCTGCCTCCGGTATTTAAAATTCATTTGCCAGAAAGTTCTGGGAGAGTATAATCAACTTATTAAAGTTTCTTTTAGATAGTAATGCATAATAGACGTTGGCCTGATTTCAACACACAAAATATCTATCATTAATTTCCAGTGAAAATTAAGCTGAAATTTACTAACTATCCAACGTTAATTCCCATCACAATTGTTTTTTTTAAAAATAGGTCCCTGCTGGAGATGTATAGAAACAAAGTTTTGTACGATATAGCCTACCAGCGCATCCGTCCCGTGCTTTCTCAGAAGAAAGGCTGACGCCATATATTAAGAGGGTTTTATCAATGGGTTACCAATAGGGAATTTTTAAACGCGTGACCTTGTTTTCTAAAACTGAATTATTAAGAAGTGTAAACAGCGCCGACGCTTTATTGGATCTTGGATGCTGGGGCATCTACCCCAGACGCCTCTGGGCGTGCTGTGTGAATACCTCAAAAGTACGTTAAGCCATCGATTACAATACCACAGACTATTTCTCCCCCCCCCCTCCCAATTCTCCATCGCTAGACATCGTCACAAAAACCCAGATCCCCACGGGGTCATCCATAAATGACGTCACACTCGTAGGGGGGAGGGGGGGGGGTCCGTAATTTTGTGACGATGTGTGATGAGGGGGAGGGGGGGGGGGGTCAGATGTTGCGACGTCACATTTTTGCATTATAAAAAAGCAATGTTAGAAAACGAATTTTAGACGTTATTTCGCGTTTTAGATAACTGTTTTAATAAATTGTAATAGTTTAGACAAGATTTTGGAAAAATATCGATGTTTTTTAAAAATTCAACTGCAATTTTGAGGGGGGTTGTAGGTTGAGGTGTGACGTCATTTTAGGGGGGGGGTCTGGCTTTTTGTGACGACGTGTGACGGAGGGGAGGGGGGGAGGTAAAAATCGTCAAAAAAAAGCGTGACGTCATTTATGGATGACCCCCACCCCTAAAATACTTCACACGTCTCCTCCTCACAATTGCAGTTTTTAACGCGAAATAATTGTTATAATTAAGCTTCTGTCATTACTATTTAAGGTGCCTTTGTGTGTCGTCACACTTTCTGGCTCTCCCCCTACCCGTCGTCACACATCGTCACAAAATACTTACAATGTGCCGTCATCGTTATAAATTACTCTTACTATATTTTTTGTCGTATCAGATGACTTTTTAATACATTGATAATACATCTGGGGCTGGTATCGTGTTTTATTATAGGGCGAGTACATCCCAGACACTGCATTTTAATATATTAACGGGGGGGGAGGAACTGTGTTTATGAGTTTATCTCAATCTTGTTACGTAATTTGTAATAACAGACCAGATAATATCACTGCTATTTATAGTGCGTCATCAGCGCTCTTTACTTGGGGAAACTCGACTTGTTCTTTATTGCATTTTTTTTATGTGGGCCAAGGCTTAGTTTTTCTACTACTGCGAGGTTTTACGAGATTTAGCATGGCGGAAGTCGGCAAAGCAGCTATTCAAGATGTTTGTTTTTTCAGTGGTAGATCTATATGAAAATTATTATTAACTCGAAAGCCCATCATGATCCCAAAGGTATTGTCATACATTTAAGTCTCGTCTTTCAAAATTCCACTCCACCCACAAGAGTATATTCTCAGTTCGTTTATCATCAGCTTGAATTTGTGTAGTGTATCAAACCCGTGTCAAGATTCTAGATTAGAAATTAATAGAAATCTACAGATCTAGATTTCTATGTCTAACTCAAAGTTAATTCTAGTCTTCTGAACCGATATTGCGTTTAGATCTAAGTAACTTCACTCACCTTGCTGAAAAACTTATAGACTAGATTCGATTCCAATTTAGGTCTAGATCTACCTGTTGCACATAGAGTAGGTCGTTCGGTTCACAGTTAACACCTTCCGAGTTTGTTTATAGATTTCTAGTATCTCATGGCGCAAGCTCTCAAAGCGATTTACTAAGATGGCTGCGCTGTTTCGTTTTAATTAAGGGGTAGAGGGATAAAACCAATAATTTTGAAACCATCATCAATTTTAGTAATCGGAACTACCAGTTTCTAATTAAGTCTGTTAATCAAGAATAGTAGATTTTGTTACTAAATCCAAAATTTACGCAATTTTCAATTTAAACATGACCACTGAATAATAGACATCCATATTTAATCCATTAGGCCCTAATTTTGAAGTTTTTAGATCGTTTTAAACTTAATTACTTAATTTAATATTTATTGTCACTCACTGCCATGCACGACACACCTCTCCATGACAACACAACTTACGCCTGAAGCCAAGGCAAACCGCGAATCTGTTCAACTTTTTAATTGGCTATGAACCAGAGTTCCTCACTAGTGATGAGCAAAATAGCGGTCACATGGTTTTTAAAAAATAAAAATAAATTGGTTGTGATATGAACACCTGTCTTATAAAACAACAGCTCACAATATTTGATTCCTTTTTACATAGACTGATAAATCTAATCATGATTTACGTTCTCGCCCATTTTTTTACCTAGGCCTATACGGTTTATATTTTAAAAGTTCTATTAATTTTAATGAAACCAACTTTTGAATTTATCCTCCATTCTGCCACCCCTAGGCCTATATAATACTATATGCATTAATTTTTTAGTTTTTTAAATTGTTTACTGATTGTGTTAAATTTTAGCTATCTAAATTCATTTCTAAGATGTTTAAATATGCTTATGTGCAGTTTTATTGAAAAATCTTTAAAAAATAATCAAGTAATCCACCCATAAAATCAGGTCACAATACTAGTAGTTTTTTCTTTATTAGCTCATAATAAGCTGAACCTGACTTTGGAATTTTTTTTTCATTTATAATAACTTTGCACAGAAAGTTTATATATACTAAATTGATTATTGATACTTTTTCCTACAAAATTTTTTTGAGATTTTCATCAAAATGTCTACATAGAGTTACTGTTAAGAGTCTTAGCATGATTTAAGTGTGGTACAGTGAGTAGTTCAGCTGCAAGCCAAAAGAAAGCTATTCAGCTTAACTTCTTCAATCTATCCCAGTTTGTATGTTTTATCTAAATGCTAGATCTAGTTAATTTTGTTTTGTAAGATTCATCCGTGGTAGATTCTAGGTGTGTATACCAGTGACAGTGTCCAACCATAAAATGCCACAACAAAAATGGAACATTGTTTTAAAAAGGGGGTCCTATAGTCACAACTCATTATCTAAATACAAATATGACTTGCTAATCACTAATTTTGATGTTGACCCTAACCCAATACCTACCATAGTCTAAAAACTCTAAACCTGAGGTTGGAGTACTCAATACTACTAACAACCAGGCACACCTAATTTTGGAAGAGCATTGAATACAGCTGCCAGCAGATCTCTGGATAATGATAGATTACTAGGACTATGGGATAAGCAAATAGAAGCCATTTCAATTTCAGAAATAATCAAAAAAAGATGGCACTGTTCTGAAAACAAGTTCAGAAGATTTTACAGGAATGGCACCTAGCCCAAGGAAAGAAGAAAATAGGGAAGGCCAAGGGAGACGTGGAGGTGAGACAACTGGAAAACAACTGACAAAGGCAGGCCTATCTTGGGCTCCAAAGGGAAAAGATTATTGACAGACAACAGTAATAACCAATACTCCCTTTAATCTAATGCTAGAGACCTTTTACCCATAGCTTGTACACTTTAGTCTCTCTAGTAAGTTATACCCAAATTTAAAATGCCACATCATATATTAATTTTGCACGGTCTACCTCTAGGCATAATGGCAAGAATTGATAATTTGCAGGTTGGGGGAATTTTTATACCGGTGTCTGATAATGGAATCTTTAAAAAATGGGTGTTAGGTTACTGGTAGTTAACTAAATACACACATGGCTGGCTAATGTCAATACTAACCCTGTCCCTAACCCAAACCCTGGTCCTACCATATGCCTAACCCTAATTTCTAACCATAAAAGTAGTCGAGATTACAATACTACTAACAACCCAACACACCTATTTAATGGAAGAGTTTATTATAGGACATTGGTATCTAAAATCATCCTGTAGGTTTTATGTAAAAGAATCACCAGTGACACTAGAATTGCTGATACTTTTACCATCTAGACCTACCAAACAACTCATCTAAACTAACCCTCTCTGACCCTATCTTTTGGAGTGGGGAGGGGGAAGAGTCACAACACTGGCTGCACAATTCATACAAAACAAGTTTTAAAAGAAAAAAAATTGATGCCATGAAAAAATTTCTTTTAAATGCATTAAAAATATTTTCAAGAGGAATAAACCTTGTTTAGTTAACATTTCGGTTTCTTTGTCAGTTGCATCATGAATAAAAACCAAAGTGGTTTTTATTCATGGTGCAACACATTGAAATGCTTGTTATTAATTATGATTCTCCATAATGCTTAAAGTCTATGTAAGTTTAAATTTTTTCTATTTTCAGATTTAGACAAACAGATGTCCTTACTGTGGTTGCTGAATGGAAGATGGCAAGTAGGGCCACACAGAGCCCCTCTCGTATTCCATTGCCAGTAAAAAGTACTGGCCCACATGTCACTGCAATTTATGTAAAAGATTTAAATGAAAGTGACAGTATCTCACATTCTCCAACTTCTGTAACTCATAACAAGGAAAATGGCAATATTAGTGGAGAAAAGCAAGAGTATTCACCACCAAGTAAGACAGGAAAGGGATTTGAGACCTTTCTTATGACAGGGGACATGATAATTCGTACTAACCCACCTGTTCCTCAAAAACATGTTCAACAGGACCAAGACACAAAGTCTAAAGAAAGTCATATTCCAAAGCTAATACAAATTGATCAAAAATCACCGCAGCAGCAAACAAAAGTGGCAAAACCACCTCAGCAAGGTGTTATCTCATCACCTAAACTCTCCTCTAAATTGCCAGGACCAATAAAGAACCAGCAGCAAGTACATTCTTCCTCATCTCATCCAAACTCATCATTGCCCCATCCACCTGACATGGCAGCTACAGCCAGCCATATTAGAGACTTCCCTTTGATTCATGCACCTGTTGCAGAGATTGAGGAACTCTCAGATCTGTCTCAGTCCTCCTGTTCTGAAAGTGAATTTGGTTTTGGGAATGACTCATCGACCCCACCACAATGTCTTCCTATTAACCACCATGCTGATTCTCGTTTACCCTCAAAACCCCAAGATGGCTTACAATTGGAAGAAGCAATGGAAAAATTAGGTAACCTGCATGCGTCTTACGCTGGCAACAACACAAGATCATCTGATCCTTCATTTACTGAAGCCCCCAGTTCAGGGGACAGTGGCTGCGTCCATGACGGCCATACTGTTGATGCAGATTTTATAAATGAAAGGGATGGCAATCTGTCAAAAGATGAGAGCTTTGTATCTGATGAGACCCTCACAGATAAAGTTGTGTCTGAAAATTCTCTTTCTAATGTAGGACAGTCTCCGAATGGCCACATTGAGAATTCTAGACAAACAATTGTGGCCAGCAGCAGTGGGGAAAAGTTTTCTGTGCACACTGGGACAGAGAGGCTTTTAGTTAGAACAAGTAAATCTCATGAAAATTATTTGCAGGCTGGAACTGGTATTAATCTTGTAAGTATAGACATAGAAGATAATCTAGCCTACTCACTTGACACTCTAACTTACCACGATAGTCCAAATTCTTCCTTAGATAATGTATCATCAGAACCAGTACAGACTTCCAGAAGTCTTGACAATTCTCCAGAAAAAAAATCTGAAAAGTCCCTCGCTGTTGAACGAGAATTTATTCCTGGTTTTATTAGTCTTGAGGATACAAAGCCAATCAAACTAAAATTAAACAAACAGAAAGATGATGGTTCTTACCCAGAGAGTCAAAGATTTGAAATGAATAACTCTGGGAACTCTTCTCCTGTGCGGAGGCTGCAGTCATTGAATAGGGATGATGATAAGTCTAGTGGAGATGGGTCTTTTGAGTCATCTGGTCATGACTCTCATCACCTGAATGTGTCAAGTGATGATTCTGACACTGATAGCTTGTATCACCAGCCCAGTAAAGCAGTGGACAGACCCAGTGCTGAAAGGCTTGCCAAGAGATTATTTAACCTGGAGGGATTCAGAAAGTCTGATGTCTCCAGGCATCTTTGTAAAAAGTAAGTTTAGTGAAATGTGTTAGACTGTAAATTTTCTTTGTAAACTGTATTTAACTACATCTTGTAATATTCACTAAAACATTTTTCTGATGATATATTTCTAACAAACTTTTTATTTTTTTTCAAAGAAATGATTTTAGCAACCTTGTGGCAGAGGAATATTTGAAATTTTTTGATTTTCGTGATGACACTTTGGATTTGGCCCTACGTAAATTTCTTACACAGTTTTCTTTATATGGAGAAACACAAGAGCGAGAAAGAGTCTTGTCACATTTTTCTCGTAGATTTATGGAATGTAACCCAGGATCTTTCAATTCAGAAGGTAAGTTACAAAAAATTTCTTTGACCTGAAGTTTGAAATAATATAATGGTTTTAAAATTTTATTCAATATTACTTTTTATGAGGACTTTCTATTCATTTAATGTTATGGTAAACAAATGCTATTATAGAATTAAAATATAAATTGTGTAGTCGACGTTGCTGATAAACAAGTACAGTTAGAATGTATAGAAAACTTTTCTTCTACCTGGTTCTGCTCCCAAAAATCTTAGCAGTTAAGACAGTTTTCCCCTGGTGTCTAGGTGCTCTAAAGCTTGTCTTTATAAGATGTTGGTTCTTAGGGCTTGTAATTGAATTTTGATCAGATCACACATAACTATTTGTTTACAATTTTTTATGGTTGGTTTTTATGATGTAAATTCTTTTTTTTTCAGATGCATGTCATACATTAACATGTGCAATAATGTTACTTAATTCAGATCTTCATGCACCGGTCAGTATTCATGAAGATTATTCTATTTTTTGCTTGAATTTGTTTTATTTACTGTGATTTGTCTATGAATTATTACACAATCTAAGTCTAAAATTGCTTTTGTGTCTACTTTTTCTAGAATGTAGGAAGAAGAATGACGTGCCAAGAGTTTATAGAAAATCTTGCAGAACTGAATGATGGAGAAAATTTTTCCAAAGAGGTTCTAAAGGCTATTTATCAAGCTATCAAGAATGAGCCTATAGAGTGGGCTATGTAAGCTGCTCTCTTGCACTATATTAAAACTTAGCGTTATTATTTTTAAAACATTTTTTTTAAAAACTCAATCTTTTTTTTTCTAAATTGTACACTGTAAATCCTGATTAAATCCAAATTAATAAAAACTACAATCTTGCACACTGGTTTTTACACAGATTTTGCCCATGGAACTTTTTAAATAAGTAATACATTTTTATTATATTATAACATGAATGTTTGTTAAAGTACTTTAAAAGATTTTTAAACATCAACAGAGATGTTCTTCCACCAGACATGGAAGGAAATCAGTTACAAGACCAGATTCAAGCAATCCAACCACCTTCCCCACAAGCATTAGGCAGTAATCCTTTCCTTGAAGTATGCTTTATACACTCAAATCTTATTCTTTCTATTGAATTATAATTTAGTAGTTTATTTATATTTTGTACAAAAACATCTATCTTATCAGTAATAAGTACATCTGTTTTTTGTTGTTTTTTTTTAAGTTTGGTAATTAGAACAACCTGCACCAATAGCTGTTATTTGGTGTCAATCTTTTTACAATTTTGTTTGTTAGTAGCACTCGTCCATGTTTTGGTTTTATTATATTGAAGAGAATTTGTTGTTACAGGTCCCAGACCCTAACAAGACCACAGAATATAAGAAAGGTTATGTCATGAGAAAATGTTGCATGGAGCCTGACAGAAGAAAAAGTAATTGTTTAGATCAATTTATATCTTAGTGTTTCGTGCTAAAGATTTAACTTGTAATCCATTTCTCTTGAAAGTTACTAAGTTTAAAACACTTTTTCCACCAATTAGCTCCATTTGGAAAAAGAGGATGGAAGATGTTATATGCTGTTCTTCGTGACATGATTTTGTATCAGTATAAAGATGAGCATCAGTTAAAGAAAGGTCATTTTGTTGAAAGTTCCCATAATGCAATTCGAATACACCATGCTCTAGCCACTAAAGCTGCAGATTACACTAAAAAACAACATGTATTTAGACTACAAACAGCTGATGGAGCTGAATATCTCTTTCAGACAGGGTAAATTATACTAGCTTTATTTTTTATTTTTTTTTGTAAATAGTTGTTTGTTTTAACTGCTTAAAATTTTACTGCAAATCTAAAGCAATAAAATGTAAGTTGTGTAATAAATGCTTAAGTTTTATACATAAATTGTAACAAGCCAATCAAGTATTTTTTCTTGTAAACAGGGACAGTAAAGAACTCCAAGAATGGGTGGACACTATCAACCTTGTTGCAGCATCTTTGTCAGCCCCTCCTCTACCTGGTGCTGTTGGCTCTAAAGCCAAATTTCAGAGGCAGCTTTTGCCATCAGCGTACACACGTTTAAATTTAGTAAGTAGCGCTTGTCTTAAACTCAATAACTATTGCTAATCAATATTTCTACTTGTTTATATATATTGCACTTTTTTTATAATGCCAAAAGCTTATACATACAAAAAGTTGTGTGTTACATTGCAGATTTTTAAATCACAAAATGTAATGTATTTATCCAAACTATTTTAGAATTCTAATAATTAGATCCTTCACTGAGCTAACTAGTGCCTATCCACAGAGAGAACAGTTACACAGTCATGAAACAAAAGTACAGGACCTAGAAGAAGAGCTTCATGGACACAGGGCTGCTGCACCAGAGAAGGGTGCTAAGGCTTCTGTTATACAAGATTATTTAGACAAAGAGATTTATTTAGAATATGAGGTATCAATTTTTTTTTTTTTAAATCCTGTTTACAAAATATTAGATATATGTAATACTTAAACAACCAATTCCATAAACATTTTTTTATCTACATAAAACTAAAGGCAAAATTAGAAGTTAAGGTTAGTTATGTCATATTATTAGTTTAGAGAAAATCTCTTTATCGTTAACTCATCTGTTCAAGTTATTTTTCAAAAGTTGCTTTGGTTATGTAACTTAATCTAAATATTTGAAATATACTTTGATGAGACACTAACAACTGTAAATCCCTTCCACAGTTAAAGCGGTTCAAGACCTATGGTTACCTGTTGTTAGGTAAACTGTCAGCATTTCCTGAACTTGAGCCGTCATTAGTAGAAACAACAATTGGAGAGTATGAGGAAATGGGAGCCGGACCCTCCCGTGCGACACCTCTACAATCTGTTATTATCCTTGGAGGGAAACCAGGCCCTAATACCAAGCCAGTGCAGCGGAGCCTGTCTGATAGGTACAGTTATCGGGCTGCTATATATCAAACTGACCGCGTTGAGTATGACATGGTCTGACATAAAGAACCCAGTAGGATAATCTTGAACACTTAAAGCAGATGAAGAATCCCAATGCCCAGTCTTCAATTATCCAAATTAATAAAATCATTTTTCCATTATTTAACTTCCTTTAAGAAATGACTAGTTTTTAATAATGGCAATTAATCAAAGAAGTTACCAAGAGCATTTGTAAGTGTGTACAGATTCAGCTAGGTTCCATGTATGCACTCTTCTGGTATTGAGTTCCTGTCATTGACAGCAGTGGAAAACTTGCTAGAGAAATTGCTTTTCCTTGCTGGAGTTTTATGATAGTTCATTGTACAGTGTTAGCTACAAACTAATCTTTACCTTCGTGTTTAATGAAAAGAAATAGGGCGATCTAAATATATTTTTCCAGCTGTTTCCACTAGATTTAAAATCTTTGGACAAAGTTCCTCACTTGATCATGTTGATTATACTGTTATGTCTTGCTCCAAAACTAACATGGTGTCTATCTGATACAAGTATTTTTGTATGGCTCAATGAAACATCATTTTGCCCTTTGGTTTTGTTTTTACTGCATTTTTTTTTCTATGACCGTGTCATAACCATTGGATTGTTTGATACATAGTGAGCCTTTTATTTATGGGTTTCATTATTGGAAACAAAAATCTACGCTTAGTATCTACAATTTTATGTTAACCTGTTACACATAGTGCTAGATAAAAATGGCTGGAAACTCAAGTAGGACTTATTCTATTAAGTAATATAAAACTCTATTGAGAAACATTTCTAAGTATACTAATAAAGTAATTAAAAAAACTAAAACTGATGCATAGCTAGAGAATAATTTCCATCAAGTACTGAAAGCCTTGAAGAAATGTCTTGTATTTCTCTGGGGCCAGATGTACTTAAGTAGTTTCCTGTCAACAGGATGTTGTCAGTTTATACAGTACAAAAGTATATTATAAATAAGTAATTGATATTATACAAAGAACCCAATGTTCCCAATTTATCCTTCCTGCCTTTTGATTTATGGAACTTAAGTATTGTTAATTTGTATTAGAAATCCTTTAAATTTAAAAAAGAAAATTAAAAACTTTCACATTATATGAAATTGTTAAAGCATTGATTCCACAAAAATATTATTATAATCTCACTTTGAGGGACACTCTACTTTATTTGAAATTGAAAAAAATCATTTTTCAGATTTGCCATCCAAAATTAGAAATGTTTTTCTTTGAGATGATTTGCCTAAGCTCTGCGTTAAGAATGAACCATAAAAGCTCCCTACCCTGCTCCTGATTCACCACCCTACCTTCTGCACCAGCCAGTACAAAATCCCTTTACTCAGTTCATATTTTATTCTTGTAGCCTTAGTTCATGTACAATCTAATATCTATTTTTGTGTACATAGTTTAGAATAACCTTTTAAAATTGAGAAGTAAATGAGGTGGCTTTTTTTTCAATTGTAATTTTGCATTTTCATTAAACCAGTTCTCATAAATCTAACAGGTGTAATATTTTGGTGGTGGTGGATAATGGAAATAAAATCTTAGCATTTCTTTTGCATATCAAATTTTTACTTGTTTATAGTATCCTATCATTATAAAAATATTTAGTAGTTAAATATAGTGCTTCTGGTTTTGTGCATCTAATTGGTTTCATATACTTACATCTTCATCAGAATATCTTGATGCAAGAAAATCTTTTGCTTTTAGTTGTCTATTTGTTCTTTATATTCTGTGAGATTGCAGCAGAAATGGCCACCTTGAATGCTAGAGCTGTTAAATCCCCAGGTTTGCATTGCTGACACTGTGTTCATAAAACTACTGACATATTAAAAAAATAATCTTATAGTTCATTTTCAACAATAAAAATGTAAATACCAAGAGAGGAACATGTATGCCACTATAAAAAGCATGTGTTGGTTTTAGTTTCAGCTCATTTTACTAGCCTTCTGAGATAAAAAAAAATGTAGGCCTCAACTACTGCAGTTTATCATTTTTTTTTTAAATTAGATTGAAAAATATACTTCTCTATGTATGGTAGATGCTGTAGTGTCTAAAAGACTGGTGTTTATTGTTTTAAAATGAGCTATAAAAAGCTAACTCAGTGATAAATAACTTGTTTACATTTTTTTTCTCACATTTTTAATTAATGGTTAAGTAAAATCGGCATTAGTCTTATAGCCAGCTTCCAGAATGTACAATATTTTATTACTCTTATTTAACATTAGAATGTTAATTTGCTGATTTTCTAAACATAATTTTTAAAATAACCTTTGAACATATTTTAGATTGTACTAATAGCTTAAAAGTAATCTATCAAAAGATATATGATTCTGATATTGCAGAATAACAGACACAATAACTTAAATAGAATTTTATCAACTTGTGCTTAAGTGGTAGTTAATATTATATTTTACGTTTACTTTAAACTAATATAATTTAAATTAGTCCTGCTTTAAATTATCTGAGGAAAGCTTTGTAATATTGCTTTTGGCTAAAATTTAGTCACTACACATAAATTACAAATTTCATTCATAAGCAATAATATGTACATAACCATTGTTAGGTGCCACATTGATAACTGCTTACATGTGCATTACCAGTCTTGGAATATGTTTGCACACACATGGCTTATTTGTGGTTATTTTTTTTATAAAACTTAAACACAGTTATATGAATGGGAGTAGATCTTAAGATTTGTCTTGTCAGCATTACTTGGAAGAAATTTATATTTTTATTACTGTTAGCTTTATACAGATTAATTCTCAACAGGATTTCAATACAGATTTTTTTTTTAAAACTTGTGCAAATACATTTGATTTTATTTTTGTCTGTTTCCTTGAAGAAGTGACCTTATGCTCAATATGCTTCAATAACAAGTGAACATGAATGAAATTAAGGAGATTGATAACAATCATTGTCTGGGTTTTATAAGATGTACATTTAATTTTAAAAGCAATTCAGATTTTTATCATCTGCTTATGTATGTAAGAAGGTTCTTATTATTGTAGTTTATTAAGCTATGAAAGGTTTCTAGCAAGTTCAAATAAGTTTGTTGTTTTTATTAACTGACACATTTTGACACCATGATCAATCAGTATCTAAGTTAGTACTTTAAGGTATGGATTATGGTCAACAATGCTGCAGCGAGTAATAACTTGATTATGGTATTCTTCATTTTCTGAGACTATAATCTGTTTTTTTTTTTTTTAAACCAATTATGTCATTTTCATTTTTAAAAATTACATTTTCATTTGATATATTTTTCATACTTCATTTTGGCATTCGTCACTACATTTTTTATTCATGAAAAAAATGTGTAGTTTTAAAAAGTGTTTTTGCCAAGTGAACCTTTAACTAAACCTTTTTGTTTTCCGTTTTGTAAATTATTACTTCTTAAAAGTCCCAATTGAAAGAAAAGGACTTACATATTTTTTTAAAGCCCCATGTGTCTGTCCTTAAATATTTGTATATATTTGAGAAAAAGTGATATACAAGATTTGCCATTATGAGTTGTCTCAATGATCTTTTTATAAACTTGGATCTGTTTTATTTGTTTAGAAACACAGCATGATACATTCTGCGGGGGAAGAGCTTTAACTCTTCAATACATTCCAGAGTATAGTATAGTGCAACTTGGACTAAAAGATGGCTTGAGTATTTATACCAATCTTTTGCCAGAATCAAATTTTTTTCTGAGACCATATGCTATTCTCTGTTCTGTATATCTAAATTACAGTAAGAAACACCTATACAGTATTCAGTTTAGATGCAGATAATGTTTTTTCAAAAGAAAATCAATTTATTTTAAATGATTGGGGGGAAAATGTGACTGCTGAAAGAAGCACTTAGTATGGAAAGTTAGTAATTATTATTTGCACAAATAGTTTAATGTATGTGTATTGAGTATGATTTTGTGATAAATGTTGTGAAAATTATAAATTTGCAATATACTTAGCTAACTGACATTATATCATGAATGTTCTTTTATAAATCAACACAAATTTCAAATTAGATTATAGTTAGTCTACATGAATAAATTACATATATATTAGCCTCTTGCACACCTAGCTGGTACAACTATTCATAAAGCAAATGTGTGCATTTAATCTTCTAATAACTTGTGTAAAAATAAATGCACAGTACCTGAAATATTATCTTGTGCATTTTATTAATTCTCATGCTAAGTACTGGAGAGAAACTAAATTGGACTGGTAAGGACAGTTTTAAGAACCTTATTTGTAAGTGGTGTGTTAGTTGAGAGAAATAAGCTTTTGGAATAAAAGGATTGTATATAGCCATTGCTTACTCTAGTCTAATTTAAGTATTTATCAACTCTTTTGTGCTTATAATTATAAACAAATTAAATAAATTTTTGGAATTCATTTCAACATTAAACAATGCTGTAATTGTAATATATAGTTAATAATGTAGCTAAAGCTTAATTATTATTTAGCTACGCCTAATTATTTATAGTAGTACTTTTTTAAATTTTATTTAAGTAGACTGATCTGGAGAATTATAGGAAGTCTAACATCAGGCTGTGGAGTAGTGAAAAAAATGAAAATGACTGTTGAGTAGGACCAGCAACCTTTGGGAGTCCATAGCCATTCAATTAATTATTTATTTAAACTTTGTAAACTTCATTTAATTTTGGGTTTGGTACATTACAAAATAATTTTTAAACAAAACATAACCACATTTCTTTCTCCATTTTGTTTGCAACCAATTGTAAAGTGTGATGAAAAGAGCTCCATGAATTCAATAAGAAATCTACTGGTTGACTGACACTGAGTTCACATAACAAGCATATCAACGCCTAAATTACTATACTTGTATTTAAAATACAAGCATTTGGAACATGTTGCCGTTAACATAAAAAGTGTGCTATTATTTTTTTCTACTGAAAAACAAAGCATATCAGTAAAGTATCTTTTTTAAGGTCATATTTCTACTTTCAGCTTAGTTTTTTTTTTAAACAGATGACAGGTAATAATTACTTGTACAAAGTTTAAAATCCAATTCTAATTCTTAGAACAAATTGTACAAAATTGCATTTAACTATTATTCTTTTAAGTCTTCACATGTTGTATAGTTATTTGAGTTCCTTCCTAAATTAGGCTGTGACTGCTTTATTATTTGCATAATGTTTTCTTGCTTTCTACTTGAAATGTGTTCAGTCAACTTTTTTTTAAGCTTTCTTTTTCAAAAGAGTACAATTTTTGTCATTCTGTATATTGTTATAAGTTACTTTTGGATAATTATGAAAGCTTAACTATGAGAGAACATTTTTGTAGACCAATATTTGTTACATGTTACATGGCACTACAGCTTGCCCCCCTCTTTATTTGTTGTGAATATTTACTTTTTATATGTATTTGTACAGAATTAAAGAAAGATGGGGCTACTGTTGGTCATAAAAGAAATAAAGGTTAGGCTTTGGTTCACCTCTTTTAGAACAAGTTTTTCTATTGAACATCTTGAACTGTATGTAACCATAAAAAATGTCTGTTAAAAATTGATGTTTTTTTAGGCTGTTTTAACATAGTAACTCATCAACACAAACCAAAGGAATGGATGGATACATATATATATTGAGATTTTTTTATGACCCAGACATTAGTGGGATGTTGTTTAACCAAGTAGGCACATTATTTTTAAAGGGTAACTTCAGTTGTGTTTATTTATTTTCAATAATAGATCTGATGAAAGGAGTGCATCTAGGGCAGTTAGCATAATTGTGCCATTGTATACTGTGTGGTAGCTCCTTCTCTTGGTTTTGTGTGTACATATCTACATTATAAACACATAGTGTGGAATAAACATACTAAAAAACTATAAGATTTTGTTTGTTAATATTAATACAATTTTGTCAAATGATGTTGAATATTTTAATAAAGCTGGCACGTAAAATGTTATTTCTAAAGCAATTACAGGCACCTTAATACACACCTCTTCTTATTGTATTTTTCCTAATCAGTGGTTACTTATTTTTATCAAAAACTTTGTTCTACAAAAGTTCATAAATATCTTTGTTATACACAGTAAGATTTTATCTTATGCTGCAGTGTGAAAAAGGTGAGTTTATTGTTTATCTTTGTACCAGTTCAAAACAAAATACTGAGTTCACCCTACTTGTTTTAATCACCAAAACTAGGATTGGAGTTTATATAGCATGCTGTTTGTCTGGGAATGGTTTGGCGCACATTTTTTCATAACTTGCTTTGCACCTACCTCCTGCTTGAAATATTAACGTTGAAATATATATCTGCTTTTAGTCTATGCTACTCTTGTCTGACTTTTTTTTAAAACGAATGCCACCCACATAATCTAAGTTCCCATGTACTTTTATATCACATGTTTTGTTTAACACCAGTCATTTAATTGTTAAATAAAAAAACAATTATTTGTATTGTACTATTAGCCTACGTTCTTGATTCATTTAGCATACAGAATTATTAATTACAGTTTAGAAGCCTCAATTTATTCTGCAATGACAAAGTTATAAATTGATCTTGCTTCATTCTAATATTTCAGTAACTCCACTGGAGGATCCCCATCACTCAGAAGAGCTAATGTTATCAATCAACTGACTGAGTGTACCAAGCTATGATACATCATCAATTTGGTGCTATTTATTCAGTATATATTGTGAAGTTTATAAAGCCAATCGTTGGCTAACAAGAAACAATGCCATTATTGACTTGGTAGGGGGGGGGGGTGTTGAAAATGTTGGTAAATATTCTCCTCCCCCCCCCCTTAAAAAAAAAGAGCTAACACAATTATTTTATCTCACCTTAACCCTTTGAGACCTCAAAAGTCAATCACAATGCCATTAAATTGGGAATTGCTAATGCCAAACAAAGGCTAAAATAAGATTTTTTACTTGTACTTAAACTGACTGGTATTTGCCATTTTATAAAACCATACCATTGAGAACAAATTTTAATATTTTGTAGCGTAATTGTAAAGTTGACAGTTAATATTTTTGTTCCATGCTTTATTGGAACAGGGTAACAATTAATGCCTGTATCTTTACAATACAGTGCTGTAATTTTTTTCTTAGAAATAAACAAAATCATGCAAGGTTATGTATTCAATATTTTATCCAAATGTAATGTTAAATTAAGCAGTGGAAAGATGTGTTAGTGCCATTACACTGTTTTGTATACTTCCTTTTCATTAAAAATATTACCAGATATAATACTTTATGTAAATATTTAAATGTCTCAGCAGTTAAATAAAACGCCATTTTTCAACAATTATTGGTTGTTAGATCATTAATCTACCTTAAAATTAGAAAATTCCTTAAAGGACTCGCATGCCTGTCAACTTCAGTCTCAATTTTTAAGCTGTGCAGGAGTGTCTTTCTAGAATTAGCACTCTGTATATAAATTATACAGCACCTATTTTGTAGTTGCATTTTATCAAGCTTTAACCTGGTTTTGTTTTTATTTTCAAAGATTCAGGACTCATGTTAGACTTGCTTACTCTTTCCAGTGTGGGATAATTATGGAATGCCTATTTGCACAATTCGTACATTTTTTAGAACTTGAAGGTACCCAGTTAATGCTTCAATAGTTGAACATTTTCTAAAACTGATCTCCAGTTAATATTAAACACATTTATGGTACCCTCCTAGAAATCAAAGTCATGTCCTAGTAATCAAAAACAATTCTTGTCACAGCAATGTAACATTTTACTTGTTACTATCGAATGATAATCTGAATGTTTGCTGTCAGATCTGAGTGCAATAGGTGTCCTATTTGCCTCATTAAAATACATACGCCCCTCCTAAACCTATTGCTTAGAAAATTCACACAAACAATACAAAAGTACTCAACAGAAAAGAATTTTGGTTAAAGTAAATCAATACTTTATTTTTAGTAAATTCAAGAGCTTACAAACGTCTACCACGACGACCACCCTTTCTGCGAGTACAATCTGATGGAATAGGGGTCACATCCTCTGTAAAAACAAAATATCTTGAATAAATATCTGAATTTTTTTAGATCAATTAATTTAATTGCACTAGAGACTAAAGTAATATCTATACACTGGAATTCCACACTGCTTAACAAAACCTGCCCTATCCTAGTTTACACAGCACTTGCCAAACTTACCTATGCGGCCTATTTTCATGCCAGAACGTGCTAAAGCTCTCAGGGCAGATTGAGCACCTGGTCCTGGGGTTTTTGTCCTGAAATCATTTAACATAAGCATGAGTGAATTACAAATGCAAGGACACAAGTGTGGCTTAGAGTAACAACAAAAACAGTTTATAATCAGCAGTCTGAAAGAAATTTCACTGTAAAAATTCACACAAGACACATTGCAAAACTTTTCATATCCATTAAATTTTCATTAATTTGGGAATTTCTAAACTATAAAAGTACCCTTTACAGTCCTCTGCTATAATTAGAAAGTAAAAGCTGTCTGGCCAGGTTCATTTGTGCAACCTCTACAATATTAGTACTTTAAGTGCCACACAACTAATGTAATCTTGTAGATTTTAGTTCAACATCCAAGATTTGATAATATCAATAAGATAGTGTTTTTAGGATAGAAGCTATGGTTTAGGCTAGACTAGAAGAACTGTGTGCTACTGCTTTTAATCTTATTGCCTATTAGATCTGAATGTCTTGGCAAAATTAGACTGGAAATTATCTAACATGTAGGCCTAATTGAAAACAATGACAATACAAGCTTAATAAACTATAACACATACCTGTTACCACCAGTAGCTCTAAGCTTAATGTGCAGAGCAGTAATTCCAAGGGCCTTGCAGCGTTCAGCTACATCCTGAGCAGCCAACATAGCAGCATAGGGTGAGGCTTCGTCACGATCGGCTTTAACTTTCATCCCACCAGTTACTCTAGCAATTGTTTCCCTGATGAACATTAAATTAAGCTATTATACAAAAGGGTTAACTCCAAACTGAAACTGGAATCTAAAACGCTAGATCTAGTGTTTAAAAATAAATTGTCAGTTGAAATAAAAACCACATACTTTCCTGATAAATCAGTGACGTGAACAAATGTGTCATTAAAACTGGCATAAATGTGTGCAACTCCAAAGACATTCTCTCCCTCTTTAGCTTGTGGACCCAAAACCACTTGCTCCTGTTGTTGGGGCTTTCCTCTTCGTGGGGCCATTCTGAGAAGAAAATGTAATCTATATAGGCTCTATTCACCGCAGATAAAATTCCATACTAAGCCACTAACCAGAGCAAAATTGGAAGAAAAAAACTAAAATCAGCTGATCATGGTCATGGCAGTTGCAAGTCTATCAATCTGGCCTGAATTGGCCTGATCGAATGCACTGACATTTTGCAATTATTCTTTTACTATTCTGTTACTTTGATTGGTAAAAATGATTTTAAAATGGATTCTAGATAAAGGTACCTCGATCAAAATCTAGATCTAGTTAAAAACATAAAGCCTGTAAGGGCTATTTCTGTGTTCATAAATTAAATTAGGAATAGGTAACATTCTTGTTAAAATTGAATATTAACAACGCAGCTACATTATATACAAACAGAATTCACCAATTTTTTATTTAAAATAGTACTTTAGAGAAAAAACTGAAAATATCTAAAGATTACAGCAGATTTAAAGTTGGTAATTTCTAAACGTTACCTTAAGATACGAGGAAAACAAGAAAAAGGAAGTGGGTTAGTCGATTTATTTCCGGTTTATTCTTACACAAAACATCAACTGAATAGGATATACACGATTCAAATTGTTTTTTTTTTTTAAATGAATCGATGTGATTTAGCTTAGCCCTAAATATAGCTAGGGTTGAATTTTCTCTAATTTTTAATAAAATATAATAAGACGTCTTGCATTTTATATTTTTTTAAAGACGGGTGTGGATCGTGCGCAATCACAAAATAGGGGGAAAAAAACAGTAGGCCAATCAATCCGCGAAGGGGGTTAATTACTTTTCACTCGGATTCGTCAACCTTAATTTTAAATATTTATTAACGAAAAATTGTTTTTAAGTGTACATCTATATCTAGTTATAATTGTGGGGTTGGACTAAAGTTTAAATTGTCAAAAAGCTTAAAAGGTGTACCTTATTTGTCGTTATAAATTAAAGCATCCATGAAACATATGGTGTACGATTGTCTATGACCTATGTTCAGTACAGCCCCATGTCCTGAATACAAAAACAATCTTTAACACTTGTCATTTGCTCTATCTGATCTGTATCCATAGTCTGTGTTAATAGGAAGAAATGGGCGAAATTACTTGAGCACCCCCCCCCCCCAACGATCAGTGTACGATGAATATGAGTAATTTGTACCACTTAAGAAAATTAATTAAAAAAACAATTGGAGTCGGAAAGAACTTATAACAATATTTTATTTAACTTGCTTTCTGTCTGTCGTTCTTTTGTCTTCGGGGTCATCAGGGCCGGCGCTACCTATAAGGCGAAATAGGCGGTCGCTTAGGGCGCTGTCCGTAGGGGGCCAGGGGGACGCCAAAATGGGTTGGGAAAACAAATTGAAAGTTTGAGGGGGGGTGCAAATCGAAAGTTTGAGGGGGGGGGGTGCAAATCGAAAGTTTGAGGGGGGGGTGCAAATCGAAAGTTTGTCCCCGGGCGCCGGGAAGGGTCGCTACGCCTTTGATAATACGGGGGCACGAAAAAAATTGTGGGGGGTGGCGCTTTTTATAAGTTTTGCCTAGGGCGCTAAATAACCTGGCGCCCACACTGGGGGTCATCCATAAATGAAGTCACGCTTTTTTGACGATTCCCCCCCCCCCGGTCACACATCGTCACAAAAAGCCAGAACACCCTCCCTAAAATGCCGTCACACCTCAGCCTACAACCCCCCCCTCCCGTTCAAAATTGCAGTTGAATTTTTCTTTAAAAATCGATATTTTTCCAAAATCTTGTCTGAACTCTGTCGAAATAGAGTATTTTAATCAATTCCTATTGCGATTTATTAAAACAGTTTTCTAAAACGTGAAATAACGGCTAAAATTCGTTTTCTAACATTGCTTTTTAATAATGCTTAAGTGTGATGTCGCACCATCTGAACCCCCCCCCCCCTCATCACACACCGTCACAAAATTACGGACCCCCCTACGAGTGTGACGTCATTTATGGACGACCCCTTCGTCAAAGAAACTGACCTTTCTTTGAAACCTGGGGCGTAAGTTAAGACTCACGATAGTTTACATCATAAAGTTACCATAAAATAGTCGCTTAGTTTAATTCTGCAAACATCACCTGTAGTGTAAAATATAACTTCCGCTTCTTCAAATATTGTCAAATTATTGCTGTTTTCCAATAGAATCTATATAGACAGAAAAAGCCAGGCGTATGTCAGAAAAGCCATGAAGATATTCTAGCTTGAAGTGTGACTCTCCGCCAATGGATTTTAGCTTACCGCTAATTTAATGCTGGGTGTTTTTTATTTTTATAAAGTGAAAGGGTTGACCAATTTTTTGCCAACCACTATTTTGTGAAAGTTATGTGGTATATAGTTTTTCCCCGGCGAAATTAAACATTATAACTCTTAACTATATCAGTTCCTATCTTCATTATGACCAGTGGCGTAGCGAGGTCGGGTGTCACCCGGTGCGGCACTTAATGGTGTCACCCCCCCCCCCCCCCCCAGAGGCGTAGCGACCCTTCCCGGGGACAAACTTTCAAATTTTTTATTTGCACCCCCTCTCAAACTTTCGATTTGCACCCCCCTCAACTTTTCGATTTGCACCCCCCCCCCCCCCTCAAACTTTCAATTTGCACCCCTCAAGTTTTAGATTTGCAGCCCCCTCTCAAACTTTCGATTTGCACCCCCCCCCCCTCAAGTTTTTCTCTATATATTTTGCTATTTTTTTGCCTTGGTGTCACCCCCCTAAATGGTGTCACCCGGTGCGGTCCGCACCCCCGCCCCCCCCCCTCGCTACGCCCCTGATTATGACCATAAACTCCATCCCTGTAGGACTGAAATGCTCTTTTTTAAATATTCAGTCTTTGTAGTTGTCCGCCTTCTGAAAGGGACTGAAAGAAACGATGCAAAAAACATATTGATTTATATACAAAAATGTGTATAAAATTAATAAATGTTTTACAAAGTTAAAATAAACAAGAAAAAAAAATGTGGGTAATCGGAAATTGAAGATGGTACAATTGTAAAATCTAGGTTTAAACTTGTCTATTATAGATCTAGCTATTGATACACTATTAAAAATAATATCTAACAGAGCGGTTAATTATCTCATTACGCTTCAGTCGACTTAAACTACAATAAGCCTATTTGTGCTTCACGTTTGTAACTGGCCAAGTTTACCTAACGAATCATATTTATTAATGAAGTGGAGTGATTTTGTTAGCACCTTAGCGCGTTCAAAACAAGATAAGCGTATCCTCAACAATAAATATAACCTAACATTACATCGAACAGTGACAAAACACTTTTTTTTGCCAGAACATAGATTTCATCCTCCAAAATAAACGTGTTACCGCTATTTTCTCTCGGTCAGGTTAGGAATGACAGAGGGTTAGCTAGGGGAGGGCGGGTGGGGCGGCCGCCCCGGGCGCCGACCCAAATGGGGCGCCAAAATGGGTAGGACCAGCATGAATAACTATATATAGCCTGTATATAAATGGAAGGGGGGGGGGCGAAAAATTGATAGTTCGCCCCGGGCGCCGGAATGTGACGCTACGCCTCTGACACCGGTATGGATGGGCAACCTCTACCCTACACAAAAATAAGATTGACGCGCTCGATAGTCATGGCCACATTTCTATACGAGTGCGAATCTTGGACACTGTATTAGACAACACAATTCAATAGGACACAAAGACATCATTTCGAATTACGAAATACGTGACCAGTGACAGGATCCACAAATGCGATTGACCATCTTGATTGCCGACTGACAATAATTAAAAACGAAAACATAATTGCTGAGAAATGGTGCTAATATAAGCCCATGTGAAAAAATGGTCAGGTCCAGCTTCAATTGAAGGTTAACCTTCTTATAAACAGGCCCTCTCATTGCAAGGGCAAATGAAAATGAGGTAAGCACACGAAAACGGGAAGACATCAGAGAATGGCCTGGGTTGACGCTGATGATAACGTAAGACAATGGAATGGATGAATGGCTCCTCAACGAAGAACCACCAAGACCATGGGACAGAATAACCTTTTTTCCCGTTTGAGAACATTAGCGTTTTTCTTTTTATTAAAGCAAATAATTATTCCGACGATCATTTGGCTTTATTAACTGTATTTTAATGTTGTGCGGCGGTGTTAACATGAAGACATTTGAATCAAAACGCCATTTTTCCCTGTCCCAAGTCACAAAAAGTTATGGCAAACTCAACACAATTCACTATTACAGGCGTTCGAAGCATTTTAACTCGCATATAAAACTACGCATAAACTGAGAGGTGAACTTACTAACAAAACCAAGTAACACATGTTACACAACCAAGTTACGTGTTGAATTAAAAATAATTTGAAATAGGCTAAATACTTTGCCAAAAGAGATCAGGAAATTTGGCGAATAACAATAACATTATCATTAAAATTTTCCAATGACCGTTTCTGGATGCATATCAGGGCGATGAACTATAGGCACTCTGATATACTAAATGAGGAGCCCAAATACATAAGGGCTTACGTGCATTCCAGATAGTTTTCTAAAAAAAAAAAAAAACAACAACACCATTTTGTTCAAATAAAAATGTGCATTGACTGATATTGAAAGTTGATAGTTAATTTTAAATCACTTTGACTCTTTTGCTGGTGATACAATTCAGTGTATAGCTGGAATTGGTAAACGTGAATTTAATTTTTAAAAAGGTGATTGACTAATTTTTTTTTACGAAAAGCACTTTTGCATTTGGGCTCCTCAAATATAGTTCACCCTGATATGCATCCTGTTACGGTGACAACCACGCACACCGCCCTCTCCCCCCCCCCCCCACCCAAATGCTGCCACGTTTGCCTGTGGTATAAAGCCACGGATGTATCTGACTACGGTAGGCCAGCGAGCAAACGACTGCTTCTTTTTTTTACTGCATTTTACTTAAAATACATTGCAATAGTCAATGTTCTGAACAGGGTTTCAATATCAGATAACAAAGTATCCCTTTAATAATTAACTTTTAATATTAAAAAATTAATTTCAAAATGATTTTCAAACATAGTAGGCCTACTGGAAATTGCCAGAGATATGCCATAAGGGGTCGTCCATAAATGACGCCACACTCGTAGGGGGGAGTCCCTAATTTTGTGACGGCGTGTGATGAGGGGGAGGGGGGGGGGTTCAGATGGTGCGACGTCACACTTTTGCATTATAAAAAAGCAATGTTAGAAAACGAAATTTAGACGTTATTTCGCGTTTTAGAAAACTGTTTTAATAAATTGTAATAGTTTAGACAAGATTTTAGAAAAATATAGATGTTAAAAAAAAATTCAACTGCAATTTTGAGGGGGGTTGTAGGCAGAGGCGTAGCGACCCTTCCCGGCGCCCGGGGACATACTTTCAATTTGGCGCCCCCTTGGGAGCAAATTTTCGATTTGCACCCCCCTCGAACTTTTCATTTGCACCCCCCCCCCTCAAACTTTCGATTTGCACCCCCCCTCGAACTTTTCATTTCCACCCCCCCCCTCAAACTTTCAATTTGGCGCCCCCCCTAAGGTCGGCGCCCGGGGACATATGTCCCCCCCGCCCCCCCCCCCCTCGCTACGCTACTGGTTGTAGGCGTCATTTTAGGGGGGGGGGGTCTGGCTTTTTGTGACGATGTGTGATGGAGGGGAGGGAGGAGGTAAAAATCGTCAAAAAAAGCGTGACGTCAATTATGGATGACCCCTTAAGCCTAGAAGCTAATTAATGAACGTAACGAAATGTATTAGGTCTACCAAGGGAGTTAGCCCACCTATATTACACATCTTGCATTTTTGTAGTTCATTTTCTTGTTTGTAAAGAAGTTAATACTTTCCTTAATTTAATTCGAAAAAAAAGGTTGTATGCCTAACAAAACTAAAACTCCATCACCATGGTCTCTTTAAAATTATATAGGCCTATATGTAGGTTAAAACATACAACTATATTAATAACTACATTTATAATAAATTATAGTAAAAGCTTAAGCACTGGTAGATTTCCTTAATAAACTTAATTGCTCAAAGAGGGTGGTACGTTCTGCGCATTTTCTAAATAAACGCTCAGTACAAAGAAAAAACCTATTCTATATCTAGCTTTATTGTCTATATTTCTTTGTGTTAATATTTATCCGATGGTTAAATTCAATTACATTCTTGTACCGTTGGTTATTTTTTTTTCTGGACATTACTAGATCTAGATCTATAACACCACAGATCTATTTATTATTTAAAAAAAAAAACGTAGGCCTACTAGATCTAGGTCTAGGTCTAGACCTAGATCTGTGTTTTATTTTTAAAAATCCGGACTAGATCAAGATTATAGATAAAAAAAAAACGCTTGATTAATCAAGCTTGTAACAGTTTGAAAATAAATTTAGTACATCTAAATTGTACTTCTTTTAAATGATTTGTGTATTCCATATTATTATAATATATTAATATGTGTTTTAAACATAATGTATTGATATTTATACTTTATTCGCACCACTTAGCAAATATGTTAATATTCAGCAAGCAGGCACCGAAAGCTTGATCGGAGAGCCACGGAGTTATCCGACTAGACACGGACGACTTTGTTATTGTTGTATGCTGGGAGAACGAGAATCGACACATATCACCCTATTTGGAAGCAGTTTTGTAAACTAGCTGTCAATTACTTGGACAGCGATGTAACTTTATCTTTTATAAGGATAATATTACAAAGTTTATGAAATTTCAATATGTTGTTCGATTAAGTGCATCTCTCAAAGAACGCCCGAGTCGGTAACGTCTGCTATTTCGATAGGTCGTCGACCAACCCAGTTTTGGTTTGGGCTCGTCGATTAGGCCAGTGACTTCCCCCGCATATTTCCCAATACTTTGTGAGTGATCATGGACTTGATGTTTGAATGGGAATATGAAGGGGATAGGTTTTCATTCGAAGACAGTGACCGATTTGAGGAGGATTCGCTATGTTCTTGGGGAAGTGAGCCCGAAAGTGTATGCAATAACTGGAGGGGTTGGAAAAGACAAAATGGAGGACCCAACGTAGGCATAAACAGGGGTGAGTAACCTACTGTCAGCTGGTCTGATCACTAGACTTAGTAGAATTTTAGTTCAAAAGCTTACTATTCAGCTTTGCATTAATATTTCTTTTTGAGCTGTATTCACTGGTTATACCGACAGTTAGATCTAATACATAAACTCAAATTGTAATACCAGAGTTAAAGCTCATATCTTATTTTCATAATCATTAGCTCCACAGTCGTAACCTAGTTTCAATATAATTCTTTATTGACATTTTTTCATCAAATCTAGGCCAATTACTTATTTTAATAATATCATTTGTTTATGTATGTATCGCCTAACTTCTTTGGAATGGTAATATAAATCAAAAAATGAAAAAAAAAACGACCAAATAGAACATGGGAATCTTAATTATTTGTCAGAATGTCACTATTGATTTTTGTGGGAAAATATTCATAGCCTAACCTAGATTCAAGAAACTAATTATTGTCGGCCTAATATTTTATTGGGGCTAAAATTACACTTAACAAGCTGTTAGCACTGATTTTGATATACTTTTAGATTCTCATTTCAAATTTGCAAGCTATAAAAAGTGATAGGACTATACTGTTTAAATAAGGGGGAAAAGTAGCAGTGTAACAGTTAGCCTGTTTGTAGGCTTGACCTAGGCCTAGAACTGGAAAGTAGGTCAAACATGTAGCACAGTGAGAACAATGAAACCCTGTGTAGAAAAAATTCTCCAGGGGAAACTTAGGCTAAAGTTTAATTGAGGTCACCTGAGAATACATAGTTAAAACCACAAACTTTTGTTTGTACACATTTACAAAGCAATTAAGGATTTACCATTGTTGGGATAATGGCCCATTTATACTTTTCTAATAAAGAAGACACTGTAACTTACCTACAGTAACTGATAACCTCTTGTCTTAAGGGCTTTACCTCACTTATCCTAGGACAAGCTCATTACCATAAGATATTTCAACAGTAATAGTAAACTAACATTACATTTTAATAAATTAGTTTACCAGATTAGATTATAAAGGCTTAATATTGCCCAGTATTTTCCAAAATGGCAAACCACAATGGACTGTTTCAAATTTCAATCACGTTATTGGTTGAAAAGAAAACCATGCTAGTAGCTACTAAAATGATATTAACACTGAAATCAATTCTAAACACTAAATGAGTAATTTGCTACTAGCAACATAGCACTCGTTTATAAGAACATTCCATTGTCAGACACTACCACTTGCAACAGCACTCATTTGTTAGAACATTCCATTGTCGAACACTACTACTTGCAACTGCACTCATTTATTAGAACATTCCATTGTCAGACACTAATAATACTAGCAACAGCAATTATTTATTAGAACATTCCATTGTCAGACACTAATAATACTAGCAACAGCACTCATTTGTTAGAACATTCCATCGTCAGACACTACTACTTGCAACATAGCACTCATTTGTTAGAACATTCCATTGTCAGATACTAGCAACAGCACACATTTGTTAGAACATTCCATTGTCAGACACTAATAATACTAGCAACAGCACTCATTTGTTAGAACATTCCATTGTCAGACACTAATAATACTAGCAACAGTAATCATTTATTAGAACATTCCATTGTTAGACACTACTACTAGCAAAACAGCCCTAGCTCATTGTAACAATGCATTGTGACAGACATGTTTCTCATGCAATGTTATCCATATGATTTTCAGAGCGTCTAGTTACACCTCTGGCTGAGCTTGCTGCAAAAGCTGTTGCATGCTATATACCTTTTGAAGTTGTGGAGCATTATCCAGAACCAATTCCAGAGCCCATACAGTTGCGGATTGCCTTTTGGAGTTTCCCTGAGAGCGAAGAGGATATACGGTATTAAGTTTGTTTTATGGTGTGTGCTATGAGCAAATGTCACCAAGTGCACAGTTAAAAACAAAAAGCTCAATTATAACTGATTATTTAAGTTTTCATTTTAAAAATATTTTCAGATTGTATTCGTGTTTAGCTAATGGAAGTGCTGATGAATTTACTAAGGGTGAACACCTTTATAAAAACAAAAGTGTTAAAGACACCTTGCAAATTGGTAAGCTATTAGAATGTATCTCTTATGGAAAGATCAATCGATTAATAAAACTTTTCAGAAACATTAAAAAAATGAATTGCGATCAAAAAGCTTTAAATAATTTACAAAAATCTTTTTTCTCCCCCATAAAGGTTTCCATTTGAGTGCTACAGTAGTCACCACACAAAATGCAGCCCAAGGCCAAAGTAAAGGTTCATTCAACGTGGCTGTTGTTTTTGATCGTAGGAGGATTTCATCATGCACTTGTACATGTGGAAGCTTTGCATCATGGTGTTCGCACATTGTGGCTCTTTGTTTGTTTAGAATACACCAGGTTTTAACATTTTTAAAAATTTGATGTAGTTTTATTATAGTTTATCTGCCCTTTTTTTTCAACTTTTATTGATTAAAATTAATTTTTTGCTTCTTTTATTATTATTTTAGTTGACCTAGATGAAGATTGCTACCTGCATATAAAAAGTAATTATATATTATTTACTCTTCAGGCTAGCTCAGTCTGTCTACGAGCTCCAGTATCTGAGTCATTATCTCGACTACGCAGAGATCAGTTACAGAAATTTGCTCAGTACCTTATTAGTGAACTGCCGCAACAGGTTTGTTTTGGTGGCAATACTATTTGTATCTTTCCCAATTTAGTACTTTTAGATCTGACTTATCCACTTGTTGCATTGAAAGTATTATTAAAATTAAATTCCAAATAATATTTCTTTTAAAAAAAATATGTACCTAATAGTTGTACTGGCTTTAATCTCTTTAAAAATATTTTTTGTTTAGATTCTACCTACAGCACAGCAAATTTTGGATGAGTTGCTCTCTTCACAAGAAACAGCAATGAATACTGTATGTGGTGCCCCAGGTAATTTTCCATCATTGTGCAGTTTTATTTCTCTGAAATAGTATGGTAAAATGTTTTCACTGTGCTTTTTAAAAATTTGTCATTATTTAGGCTCTAGCAATGTTAAAAACACTATTGAATTTGCTTAAAGTAACTGTTTTGTATGTTTTTTTTTAGATCCAACTGCTGGTCCATCTGCTAGTGAGCAAACATCATGGTCATTGGATGAATCAACACTTCATACTAACATAAAAAAGACCCTTGTCAAATTCTGTATACCAGCACCTATAGTGTTTAGGTGTGTTTTCAGTTATAACATTAACATTTTTTTTTAATTACTATCAATTATTTTCTATTTCTTTTACAATAAGCTACATTTATATCTCATACATTGGTATTCATTAGTTTATTACAGCTAACAATAGAAATGAACTTAACAAAATATTTGATTTGGTTCCAGCGATGTAAATTATCTGAGTGCAAGTGCACCACCTGCAGCTACAGAATGGCAAAGTTTGTTGAGACCTCTAAGGGGGAGGGAGCCTGAAGGCATGTGGAATCTGCTATCTATAGTGAGAGAGATGTTTCGTCGGCATGACAGTAATTCTGTACCTTTGCTGGAAATACTCACAGATGAAGTCCTTCAATGTGAACAGGTAAGTGCAAATATTCCTTTATAAAGTCAACAGTTTCTTTTTGTAAACCAAATTTTTAAAACATTTAGCATTTTGGTATAGACTATTGTGGTTTTAATTGTAATTCTATTGTACAACTATTAGAAATAGTTAATCTAAGCACTGTGGATATTGAAAGGGCTATTTTTTTGTTTTACAGATTCTTATATGGTGGTTCTCTACAAAAGTGTCACCCTGTAACAATGCAACTGTAATTCACTGCAGTCGAAGTGGTAATTCTGCAAATGCAACACAGAATGCTGCTTCCAGTCTGTGTGATGAGATTGTCACCCTATGGAGACTTGCTGCGCTCAACCCAAAGCTTTCACCTAGCCAGAGACAAGACATGGTAGAAAAGTTTAGAGACTGGCATATCAGCACCATTGAGAAAGTACGTAAAGCTCGGAGCAACAACTCTAGCACCTCAGCCACTGGAATAAAGAAAGGAGATGTGGAAATTTTCCCTGGATTTAAGCCAGCCATTGAGGCTTGTGCTTTAACCTGGGATGACTATCCTATCCCTGGAATAACATACTCTGCTAAAGATGGTTCTAGATTTGTCTATCATTTTAGCTCAAAATCTCATGACAGTGAAAGTAAAAAGCCATCTCGTGTGCAGCCAGTTACTATATGTTCGCAAGATATTATAAGCACGGATAACCCTAACAGAAATCTTGCTCATTCCCAACGATCTCAGGACATCAATATTGGACGTGGACGTTCTTCTGATTGCCGTCCACCTTTGCCAAATCGGCGTGACTCTGGACAAGATGGAGCCATGAGTTCAGGCTCAGAAGGATTTTGTGAGCCTGAAAGAGGCTTCAGAGATTCAGATTCAAGTGGTGATTACAAGGGTACACACTCAAGAAGTAATTCTTTTGAAGAAGTTGACTCCCCTCACAGTTTTAATCACAAGTCATCCATTCCGAATACTTCACAATTATCAAACATCATTAGACCAATATCATTATCCAACAAACAGCATTCTCTAGAAATTGATGTATTTGATGAACATTTAGCTGAATTTGATGCTGGTGTTGGTGATTTGGCTCCCATCATCAACCAAAAGCATCCTCACATGCCACCCTTACTAGGAGCTTGTGCTTTTTCCACATCTATAAAATCAGGACCCTGTACAACTACTACAACTACTACTGCTGTTGCAAATGCTTCATCTAGTCTTCAAGTTTCCTCAGGGTTAAATTCTCAAGCATTGCCAACAGATCAACCCTCCCAGCCTGGAAGTAAGCAGCCATCTAATGTGGTCATGGAGCCAGATGAATACCAAATGTATTTTTATGACACAAAATCAAAATCTAACCTGGACGGTAAAAGGAAAGATAAATCTGATGAGCCAAATGTTTTTGCAGGCTTGAAAAATGCTGAAAGTATACAAGATGTAAGTTTTTTTTATTTTCTTTCATATTTTTGATAAAGAATCAGTTTTAAATAACTTTTTAAATTATATAAAAATTAAGGCATATACTTTCATAAACGTTGTATTTTACTTTAAACATTCAGTTTTCTAAATAGAATATAAAGAATCTTTTAGTCAATTTTAATGAAATGTAATCAAAAGACAAACATTTTAAAAATAATCTAATATGTTAGAGTATCTTCAATGTCTTTTCTTTTATATATTTTTGTCAAAAAACTTGTTTGTTATTTAATACTAAAACACATAGTTTTAAAATGTATAACATTTTTTGCACAATTTATGGAAAAGTAATTTATCTTTTTGAAAGTTTAATCAAACTTGCTCTCCGAGCATCTTTGCAGAAACACTTCTTAAACTTAAATACTTCATCACATTTGTACAGCCTATAATTTTTAATAATTGTTTCCTAAACAAAAACTGTTAAAACAATTTTCAAAGAAAGCCTGTTACATTCATTATTTGCTATGATTAGCATCATAGATGATAACTATTTATTAAATCTATTCTTTGATAAGAAATAATTTCTTCTTACTTATTTTCCTGAATGAAGCTATAAAGTACCTGTCAATTCAGTGTATTTACCGTATGTTTTTATAGTTGTAAACAAGTTTTAATAAAAAATTCTACAGATCTTGTTTGCTCGTGCTGAAGCTCTCCATGCCCATGGCCATACAAAAGAAGCTTGTCGTCTTGCTCAACGCTTAGCTGAAGAGATGCTTGATAATCCTCCAGACTTGCTTGCAGAGTCTGCTAGTGCACCATCTCCTAAATGTAGGATTTAAATTAGATTTTCTTTTTTAATCAAGCATTTCTTTGTTTTACTTGATTTACTTTGGTTTTAAATTACTTTACTTTGTAAGAAAACCATATTTCCATTAGTCAAATTAAACTTGATAGGGAATTTATTGCACTGTCTCACATTCTCTTACTTGCTATATTACTGAACCTTGATAAGATATGTAACCTTTAGGCAACTTATTTAAAAAAGGCAACATTATTATGTATGTTAGTAAACTAAGTCCAATCTCCAATTTTTGCTTAAGCAAATATTTCACAAATAAGAATCTCTGCTCTTAAAGCAAGATATTATTTCATTCATCATCTTCTTTTCTTTTTCTGCCCAAGACACATGGGGCAGCATACTTCATTTAGTGATATATTTTACTTTTTTTCTCTTTTTGTACATATTTCACAAACATTTAATTTTCAAATGTAACTTCAATGACTGATATTGTTACAGCAAAGAAAAAGAAGGCTCTCACCAACATTAGTATGCTAGCCAGTGCTCTGTTGTCAAAGGCTTCCTTTTTGAGCAGTGTATTGTGTGAAGATGAAGAATGCCACCATCTTGCGTTCCAGATTGGCATGTTTGGTATGGAGTTAGCCAGACCACCGGCATCAAACAAAGCTATAGAGGTACACACCATACAATATTGACCTTCAAAAAAGGCTTGCAGTAAAAAAATTTAACCTGCTAGACCCTCTGAAGAAAGCCCCTTGGAATTTATCATAAATATTATTACTGTATTATGATTAGAATTAATAATAATAAATATGTATTTTATTTTGCTAGTAAGGTTCAAAGTTACCGTGACTTTATTAAGATAAAAATTGTTAACATTTTTAACCATTCGATTGTAGGTAAAGTTAGCTCATCAAGAATCAGAGTTGCTCCAGCTTTTGAAAAAAATACCTTTGGGAGTGCAAGAAATGTCAGAAATTCGAAGCCGCGCAGAGCAGTTACGTGATGGAACCTTGAAATCCAGAGGAGAGGCTCTACTGCCCCTTAGTCTTGCCACTTTTATATTTGACACTTTATGTATACCTGGTAATCTTTTTTACAATAACAGAATATCATTACAGAAACTTAAGTAATTTTATTGTTATGGCTGTTTGTTTACACACTTTTTTGTTCCAGCTGTTTACACACTTTTTTTGTTCCAGCTAATATGATGTACACTCAAGATGAAAAACTTGGGTTTGAAGCTGCTGTGACTGCATTAGGTAAATACCATTTACATAGATATTAAATAAATTACATTATTTACATTTATTTTTACAACTGGCTAACAAAATCAGCAAGTATATGTACTTTATGTTGTATTAAAAACATGATAATAAGGAAACATTTTGCATAAAGGTATGAAGGCCAACATAGCGGAGGCAGATCACCCATTGTTGTGTGAAAGCACAAGAAGACAGCGAGGAGAACTGGCTATCTCCATGTTGGTTCACTACAAAGATGATCAAATCAAGCTAAGCAAAGTGAGTTCAAAGATTTTTATACACAGACTTGGAAACTTAAAATTTCTTCTGATTAGACAGATGTAAAAAATGCACTATTTAATAACTTCTTTAGATCATGGACAAGCTGTTGGATAAAGAGGTCCACCAGCAGTACAAAGCTCCCAGTCTAATCAACTACCTATCTGGTCATAAACAACCTGCCTCCTCACATAATGCTTCTGGAGCTAACTCAAGCAGTGGTCATCACAGGGATGGGAACAATGTTGCTGGACACAGATCTCATGGTAACAGGAGAGATTTTGATAAACATATAGCTCCAGGAGCTATGGGGGCCGCTGTTGCAGGTAGGTGGGGAAGGGGGGAGGGTTTGATTTGTTGATGGTGGAATGTTAGCATGGGTTGCCAGACCTTCTAGTTAGGACAGTGGAATGTCAAATATTGTCAATACAATTGAATAAGAATTCAGATGTTTGTATGTCTTATTATAGACGCACCCTGTTGACTAGACATTAGCAGAAATGTTTTGGTAGTGGGGAGGTTTTATATGTGATTGTTATCTATGTTGGGACAGTTTAGGTGAGATGTAAGTTGCTGTATTTTGTGTGTGGAATCATTGGAATTTTTCTCTAGTTTTGTTAGGTTTCAACCGCTTATCACTGATACATTATGATATGCTTTAATATTTCCAGTTGTTTACAGTAGGATTAATTTTTCTTGTGTAATAAAGGTCCAAGTGCAGACACACCTCGTACAGAAAGAGGAGTCTGGCGTAATGGAGATGAGCGTCCAGATTCAGGAACAGGTACAGACAATACATCTACTCCGATAGCTGCATCAGCAAATACAACTCCAAACTGTGGAGCAAGACCAAAGACAACATTTTCCATGAGGTACACTAGGTGAGAAATACAATTGATTACTTTAAAACTTTTAAATTAATCCTATTTAAATATTAAATGTTACATTTTTAAGTTGGAATACATAGTTTTAAATGCTGATTTTTTTGCCACAGTGGACGGGACACAGATAGTTCAGCCATGGAGGAAGAAGATGACTTAAAAGCTCTAGAGGCCAAAATCAGATGTATGGGCATGAAAAAGAAACCATCTCAAGGTATTGTTTTGGTATTGTTTTGAATTTAGATTGGTTTTTCATTATTGAAATTAGTGAACATTGAAAAGACTGATCATTCCTCAATTAAGAAATTTTTAAATTTTTTGCTAATTTTATAGCCTTAATCCTTATCTTATTATTTCCTCTAATGAAGGAATGGCAAGTATTGACAGCAGTGCTCCAGAAACCACTTCAAGTGACAACTCTCCCACCTTGATACGAAGAAACTTTGGTAAACATCAGGGCCCTGGAAGTGACAGTGGAAGTAGTGGAGAGAGTGACTCTCTAGGCTCTAGTAGCAGTGGAGACAAAGGGGGAAGGGCATTGCCTAGAGATAATGAAAGGTCAATATTTGATACATTCTAGTTATAACTAATAGTTAGCTCTGTCCCATTCCTTTACCCTCCTTCATTTATAGCTTGAAAGTTGATTCTTGGAAATATAAGTTAATTTTGAAAACCCATTACCCTACTTTACTGCATCAATCAAAATCATTTAAACTTATATTAAAAATGTTATATTAAAAATGATGTATAAAGTATTAAATTTGTAAAACAACCCCACAGCCCCCCAAGTCCATATTTGAATCGCATGATGCTGCCACAAGCTCTTATGGACTCCAGGAATCAAGTCAGTGCCAAGACTCTCAGGTAAACTATTTGCTTAATAAACTGCTTAATAATACTGTATTTGAAATATATTATAAATTTTTTCCTCTTTTCTTTTTAGATATAAAGGAAGACAACGAGTTATGCCTACAGTCCCTAATCAGCCAAGTGAAGCAGGATTCCACTTTATGTTTGAACTAGCTAAAACTGTATTACAAAAGGCAGGTGGCTCGTCCTCCACCTCCTTGTTTACACAACCTTCAAGTAACACTAGCCATGCTGGGCCTCATAGAAACCTGCATTTATGTGCATTCCAGATAGGCTTGTATGCATTAGGGCTTAGTAATTGTGTGACTCCCAACTGGCTGTCTAGGACTTACTCTTCTCATGTTTCATGGATCACAGGTAATACAACTTTACATATCTAATATTTATATGAATACACATTTGAGCAGCAAAGTGCTAATCTGGCTTTAATGTCAGCCTTAACAGTCTTGCCTTTGCTAATAATTGCCCTTAAAGTTAAATTGACTGGTTTATTGTCTAGTAACATTGAAGAGGGAATGTATTACCTCATTGTATGATGAATTAAACAGGTCAAGCAACTGAAATAGGCAGTGCAGCCATTAGAATGATAATTGATACCTGGGAGGGCCACCTGACACCACCAGAAGCTGCCTCTTTAGCTGACAGAGCTTCCAGAGGGCGGGATCCTAACATGGTCAGAGTTGCTGCAGAGCTGGCACTTTCTTGTCTGCCACATGCTCATGCCCTCAACCCTTCAGAAGTGCAGAGGGCCTTGTATCAGTGTAAAGAACAAAGTAGAGACATGTTGGAGAAAGCGTGTCTGGCTGTTGAAACAGCTGCTGAAGGTGGTGGAGTTTTCCCAGAAGTGAGTCATCTGTATTTTAGGGTTCTATAGTTTAGTAATAATATTTTGTAACAATATTATTATATAGATACAATTTGTTTAAGTTTGTTAGTGATAATTTTGATTAATATAAGCAATCCTTATTATTTTTAGTTTTTTTCTGTCTCTAATTTTATTTTGGTAACAACTGATCACTAGGTTCTCTTTGATGTTGCTCGCCATTGGTATGAGTTGTCAGAAGAAGCCAGCCAAAATTCCCCAGACTCTGTAGATGGCAGTGACAGTAGCAGCCATACACTGAGAGCTAGAAGAGAGTCTGGAAGCCCTGCCTCCCTCACAGACCCTGGGTCATCCAGGTTTGTATGGTAACTAGTACTTTTTTATATTGTAATTTGCTGCAGCATACTCAGGCATTGTTAGCTTGAAATCACTTTGTATATTTTATGAAGTGATCTACACAAACTACACATTTTTAATTTCTATTTCAGTAGTGACAGAGCCAGCCCAAATGCAGGAAATTCCTTGGTACATTACAGCAATATAACAGTCCCAGTTCACAATAGTCAGTCCCCACCACATACCCAACAACAGATGGTCAACCCTGTATGTTCATCCCCTCAACTTATTCAGTCACAATCTCCCCACCTGCCCCCTCAAACTGTTGTATTACTGCCAGCACCTAATGCTGGACCCCCTCAACTGGCTGGCCATTACATTCAGCCTTACAGCTACGTACAACAAGTGACCACATCAGGCCCACCTCCTGGTCCCTTCCCACACCACCACTTCCAGCATACGCCACCACATCATGCCCTCCATAACCATGGGATCCACCCGCATGCATATGTTGCTTCATACACTTACCCTGGACAGCCTGCTTTCACAACTCTGCCACCCAATATATACCATACAGGGAGTGCCCCTCACTTGCGCTCCATGCCACCCACTGTCCAGGTATTCACTACTCAGCCCCATCCTGCCATGCATGCTATGCACCCTGTTGAGGTGGTGACCACAAGTCCCCCAACAGGCAGTCCATCCATGAATTCTACAGTAGCTATTCCTCAAATGCAACCCAACACACACAATCAGATGCAGTTAAATTACCTGATGGCTGCATTTCGCACTGGCATGCTTGCTATGGAGACCCTGTCACGTAAAGTTCATGATGACAGACCACAGACTAAATATGCTCGTAACCCACCATATGGAGAAGATGTGAAATGGCTTCTGGGTGTTGCCATCAAACTTGGTATGTTAGCCAGCTACCTTATTATTAAAAATTAGTAAAAAAAAAGAAAATAAAGTAGTATCATATTAAATAAAAAATGTACTAAAAAACAGTTAGACCTTTTTTACAATAAAATAATTCTTTGCTTCAGGCACAACATTCCTACAGCAGTTTTGTGCTAGTGCAGTGAATGCAGTTGTCAGTCCCTTCATTCTATATGATCTGGCAATGGAGGCTGCCCGTTTCCTAGCTCGCAACAACCTTACTCATGTCCCAACACACCTTAGATCAAATATACTCAACTCTTTGTTCCAGAAATGCTTGCAGATGTAAGTAATAGCTGACATTTATAATGGTTGAAAATTTAATTTTTAGCATTTCATATTGATTGATATCTGCATTTGGTTTGCCTAAATTTATGTTTTTACTAGAGTGCAAGGAAGTATTATTACAATTAAAAAACGTATCTAAATTTTACACTCTTTAATAAAACGTTTTTTTAAAAGTACAAAAAATATTTTTTTGCCAATGCAAAATTCATGTAGAATAAAGATTTATTGAAAAGTATTAGAATAGGTTTTATTTTGTAAATAGACTTAAGTTAATCTTGAGCTTTATTTTTAAATCTTTAACTGTTTCTTGTATATACAAGTTGAATAATTTCTTATTTAAGGTTTATACAGTGTGCTCACCAGCGGATACACCATATCAACAATGCTGATTATGATGAATTTGTAAGCATTGTTTGCAATGCCAGGAATGCATTTTATCTGGCGCCAGGGGGCATTGTCCAGTTTAATGAACTACTTCAAAGTCTACGCAGGTCCAAATCATGTCGCAAAGAGCTTTGGCAGAGAATTGTTAATGGTCTTGCAAGTGGAACTGTTTGATGGTACTTTTTTTAGGGTTCCATTATAGCAGTAATATTTTTTATTCTATTATTTATTATTCATTCACTTGATATATGTGCCCTTAATACTATTTATAAAGTGTTGTAAGAAAAAAAATTATATTGAATATGCATTTTTAAAATATCTTGAGAAATAGTTCTATAAAAATGAATCAAGCAAAAATGAATTTTTAAAACTTTCTTTGATTATTTTCTAAAAAAATTTTTAAACCTTAAAAATCCTTTTCTTTGAATGAATTTAGCTTGATCTAGAAATACATTTTTGTTGAACTATTTCTTTTTTTACCAATTCAGATGCCATAAAAATATTATAATACTTGGGAGTTTTATTTATTATAACCTTTTAACTTATTCTTAAAAAAATAATTTTCCAATGTAATATTGCTTTTACTCATTTTTTATCCATGTTTAATCACTTTTAATATTAAAAAAAATTGATATCCTTAAACTTCAGGTCATAGAGCCATATATTTCAAAGGCTTAAATTCACACAAAAGTAATTGTTGCTATAGCTGAAAGCATACATTAATTTTAAGCAATCAGCCATCTTTTCATTGAGTAACAATTGCTTAAAGTGTAGGTGAAACCTATATCTTCCTCACTCTCAATGCTTTATCTAATACATTTATTCATTGTTGTTAAACAGTTGTGGGGTGGGATGAAAATAATGTTGATGAACGTCTTGTATGTGTAGTGGTGGTGAAATCATCTATTTTGTCTAAGTATATTTTTTTGTATATGAAAGAGGTGACCACTCAACATCATGCTGACTAGTATTTATTGAAAGCATATTTCTCTACAAGTTAAAGATCACAGGGATAATTAACTTATTTAAATACTGACAATTATTATGTAAGAGTAATACAATTGTTCTGAGACTTTAAATACATGACTGTACTGGAGTAGTGTGTAGCTATGAGTGTCGGTCAATCTATTTGTATGAAATATGTGTTGTTGAACAGAAATCTTAGCCTTAGAAATATATATTGGTGTGTAATATGTATATTTGTCCTAGTTTATCTATTTATTATTTGTGTAAAATTTGATTAGATTATTTATTGTCATACTGTTATAAAGAAGTTTTGTACCCTCTCACCCCTATAGAGAATCTGTGAAACAGTATTTCTTTCACAATCAGGGATTATTAGAAGAGCTATTTATTTTTAACTTCAGTTGTGGTAACTGTTGTACTGCCAGATTTTTAGCTACAGTACTAGAAACTGGTAGAAAATTGAAGGACATATTAAAAAACTGCTTTTTAAATTACAAAAAAATATGTATTATATTACAGATTTGAATTTTATTACAAAACCTTTTAAGCTTTGTGTATTTTAAACTCAGTTTTTACATAATTGAATGTATTTATCTATATTTTTTCTCAACTGCACCCTAAAATCTTGATTTTTTAGATGTAACTTTGTGAAGTCTTCTGACTGCTCATGCTGATGGCATGACTACCTCATGTTCTACATGCAGGAGTGTCCACATACTGACATTCATTATTATCTAATATGTTCTGGGATAAATAATGGATCTGTCATTCATTTTATAGATTTTAAACTGTAAATAGAATTAAGACAAATTAAGCCTATATAGGCTACTGGTGTATACATATTTATTGTGAGTGGTCTAATAAATCAACATTTTAAAACTGTTTTTAAGCATAAAATATGTTACATTTGAAAAACTGTAAACATGATCATAACGTAACGGTAAAAACTTGAGATTTTCTTGCATCACATTTACTTCAGGCTTTAAGAATATTAAATACATGTCAGACAAGGGCCTTATGTAGTATAAAACTAATTCATCCGTTTTTTGTATTGGTCAACAGTGATGCATTTGAAGTCAATTAAAATAAAACATATTGAAGTAGAAAACGCTATCGTAAAGTTAGTCTTGATGATGTAAACTATGTCCATTATGAATACTTTTAACACTATACTGCTTTTAAACTGATAAAACAGCCCTTAAACACATATTGAAGCCAACAGACCATCTGGTTTCACTGTCCTTATTTAAATACTTATTTAACCTGCCTAGTTAAATTATTGAAGCCAACAGACCATCTGGTTTCGCTGTTCTTTTTTAAATTATTGACAGTTTATATGCTAGCCCAATATTTGCCCAACTTTTTAATCCTATTTACCCTTTTCCATGATTGTCATTGTCTAAGCGTGTACCCCTTTTATATAGCCATGTATAATATTTATTCACTTGAACCTTGATCCTAGGAATTAGCCCATATTTATTTAGAGTCCTACTAAAAGACTGTGTGGTGACACTAACAATTCCTGTATCCATTTGGTGTTACCTTGCATCTTTTGTTCACTTTTGGACAGTCACAATGTAAAATAAACCTTAAAATCTCTCCATTGATTATTTATTTATGCAATGATTGTAGACCATGTCCATTGAGGCTTCACTTAGATTCACTAGTTTTCTTTAGCAGTATTCCTCTATGCATCAACTTCATAATTAACCCAAGTCCTCATTGACTTCTCTTTTTAAACAGCTACAATGTAATTTTAAACATACATTTAATGTTATTATAACCAACACATTTTAAACATTTTTATCTCTGCTCTTTTTAAATAGCTAACCAACAGTATTTAATATATACAGCTAACTCAAATATTGTGCAACCATTTTAATTTTAATTTATATTTCCATTGAATATTGTTTTTAAACTTTATTTTAGGTATGAAATAGTTTAAAAAAAAAAAGACATTCTTTTATTGAAATTATTTTATGTATATTCCAGCAGAAGTGGACATTTCTGTTTGTATTAAACCATTGCTTTTTACCATGTATGTACATATCCATCGTTAAAATACTACTGCTATTCCCATTAGTAGGAATTTTGAGTAATGTTTTTTTCTCTAATTACCCGGCTAAATTAAAAACCACACATACTGCTCTTCTATATTACGTGACTTTAAGTAATCACTCTGTTGAACATTTTAGATATACTAAAATTTGCCATTTTTTGATGAAATAATTCTTCAAGTATTTGTACAAAACTTTTTTAGCATTATTACTACACTTGCGTCGGTACCATCTGTTTTGGATTGATTCATTACTACCTAAGAATGGCTCTTTAACTTGATGAAGTTTGGTAATATTTAGAAGCAATCCACTTTATAAACGTTTTAGTAAGCTAAACACATTTTTATAATATTTGACCCTTTTAATATTTTACTTTTCTTTTGAAAATAACTTTTATAAATGCTCTAAGCTCTTTCTATGGTGGATTTAATTGTGTGAATATTTGACACAGTGTCATGATCTCAATGAAATGAAATTGCACTCAATATTGTGTAGCTGAAATGTTTTCAATCACCACCACCACCACCCCCATCAAATTGACACCATCTCATCACTTGTAACTTTGATAATTCACTATGGCATACAATGACTAACATACATTGATTGATGAATATCATTTTGACTAAGCAATGGAGCAACTAAGATTACCACCTGTTTATCATGTTGCCTTTTAGCATCATTTTTCATTGTAAAACTAAACTGACTTGTAAATAGCATAACATCAAACCATTGTAAATCTTTCATATTATCTATCTCTTTACATATGTGCTTCTTAAAGAAATTCACTTAAATTTGTAAAAAAAAAAACCAACAGATTATATTATTATGTATCATGGTGTTGACAAAAAGAAAGAGGAATATTGCTGCGGATTGTTGTTGAATGATGCCACATTCATGTCCTGTTCATTTGCCCACCTCTAATCACTTTTATATATCCTTGATCTTGCAAATTTCTATTGGAAAGTTTGACTTCAGTCTTTAGCCATCTATCTTGAAAAGATTGAATGTGTTGCACTTGCTATGAAGCCAAGTCCCTTAATCTGGTTGTGTCAAAACATTTGCTTTTGTGGACATTTGTTTTTGGTTGCTGCACCAGCATTTTCTCTAGACTGTCTGTCACTACTTTGATTAGAAAAATCACACTGTCAACCTGTCTTTTCTCCTGTGGCTAAGTGTGTTCTCATCAGTTTTCTCCAAGGACCAGCAAGGCTAAGCTTCATGAGTTTGTGTCTTCAGGTCTGTTATGTTGTTAACTTTTTCCCCTGTGTACAGACAACTATGTACCTTTTTTCCTCCATGATAAACCTGTTGATCTTTCTCTGGTAGAAAATAAGAGCCAGAACGCTGCACAGAGAAATCAAAAGTGTATACAAGTATGTTTAAAAGTCTAACTAAGTAACAAAGACTAAGAAATTATTAAATATAGTAAAACCTGGTGCCATCCTTGTTCTTTTACACATAGTTATATATTTTTTCCTTGTTGGTTTTATTATAAAGATTAGCATTTATGTTAATTTTTAGGGAATTTTAATGCTTTGTTGTGCTTTTTAAAATTATGTACTTGGGATTTATTAACTTACAATGCCCTATTCATCAAAATGATTTGAAAAATATGTGAATGAAAATACCTTTTAAAGCTTGACTATTTATGATTCTCTGGAGAGGAATAACTTTACTGTTTCTCAGAATTTATTTTAAACAATGTAGGTTCATGATTAATACTATGGCATTAAACAATTTATAAAATTGTAAACTGCTATTTCAAAATAAAGTTTTATGCTTGTAGGCTGACCCTTCAGAAGAAAAGTAAAATTGTAGTGTTAAGCGGACTATTTGAAAGCCTAAGTGAAATTTTTGGCCAACCATTTCCCTCTCAGCATTGCCACAATCCCAAATGTTTTCATGTTATTTATTTCCTCATGACTGGCCAACCCTTCCTATTGTTTCCTCTTGATGTTTCCACTTGAGTTCATTTGGTGTTAGTCCCACATCACACCAGAGCTGTACAATATGTCTTGCTAGCTTGGGCATCTGTCTTAGCTGGTCGTGGTTTACAATTCTAAAGGGGAGTGGACATTTTACTTACATTAATGTGTACTTTCAAAATGTATTTTACATTTTTACTTACTATTAAGGAACTCTCTTCTTAAAAGGCTTTTCTCTTCTATCATCAGGTAAAAACTATTATAATCTTGTAGATTGAATTCCATCCTTATTAAAAAAAGTTTAATGCTTTGAAGAGTTAAACAATGAACTTTCTTGTTACCTGGTACTAGACTTTAAAACAAACTCTAGACTTTGCCCAAATTAAAAGAATATATTTTGTAATTGATAGAAATTGAGATTTAATGAACTGTCTTAAAGTATATATTGTATTTAATAATATTATATTGAAACTATCCTTTAAAAAAAAGCTATAACATTTTTTTTTCTCTCTGGGCATTTAGTCATTGCATTAGCTTGTAGATGTTTAAAAAACCTAGAAAGAAGTGCGATCTATTTATGCTTTGTTATGCTGAGTTTGAGCAGTAGCTGTAAAGTTCATCTCTGTGACAACATGAGAGACAGCTGTATGTTGATACTTGCTCCTTAAAGGTAGAAAACAAAATCAGCTGTTGTCTCATGCTTTCTTGTCTTTCAGGCACAGATTTTTTTATTTCTTCAAATATGACTTTAAGCCAAACTCTGCACCTTATCTGTGGTATTTTTGTTTCAATAACATATTTTACCATTTAAAACAATGACTTGGTAATGGTTTTAATTTTTAGTAGGTGTTGATGATGATGGGAATAGTAAACCGCAGTAAATCAGTGCTTTAATTTTTTCAAATAGGATTCATAGTTGTACAACAGAAAATTTTTCCCTGTAGGTGTGTTTGACTAATGAAATGGACACAACAAACTCTTTGTATTCTGTTAGAGCAATACATCAGTTTTCAGAGTCTTAAGATCATGCTAGACTCCCGTGAAGCATTAAAACAAAACTACCTCCAAATCTGGAGACGCCCATCAGGTGTCGAAGATTTTCCTATTGTGATGCTTTAACAAGTCCAACCATCAAACACTGAAATCTGTCCTTCTACCTCGTCCTCTCTCCCCCTCTTAACCTAACTGCAGGCTGCCACAGTTGTCTAGAGCTCTGGTGTGTTGTGTGTGTTTTGATGTTCATCATGTACCCCAGTCTCATTACCCTAACATTCATAACCAATTATATGCCCTACAAAGCCCCCTTGAAAGAAGAAAAAAAAATTAGGGGCTATAGTTTCTTTAGCCTGTTTTGAACTGATTTTTTTTTTATAATCATAATTCATTGTGGTATTTTAATGGTTTTCATTTATATTTTACTTTGCATCCTCTTGTCTTTGTAATTCTTCATTAAAGTTCTCAGGCTAAAAGTGTTTTGTTGATTTTTTTCTGTATAACTCATTCTATGGTTATAACATGTAAAAAATAGATCATTGGTGCTTCAATTTAATAATTGTTTCACCCATGATATACATAGTGACATTAGAAAATATTTTTGTAAAAAAAAACAACAAAAAAAACTAAGAGTGTACAACAGTTCAAAATATATTTTATTCATTCTATGCACCCAAATGTGGATGAGAAGTTACTTGAGTTGTGCTACCAAAGCCTTGCCTAGTGAAGTCGATGAGGCAGGATTTTGTCCAGTGATCAGCCGACCATCCACCTACACAAGAAAGAAAACCATTTTTGTTAGTCGTCATTTGAACCAAGTAAAATAAGCAGTCTACAAGAGTCCTACTGGAGCACTAGATGTAGACTACAGCTGCGGGTAGATTAGGGCTACGTGTAGACTTGCACTATGGCTATATGTGTGAAGTGATCCACCCACCACGACATTCTCCTGCCATTTGTTTTAGACTAGCACTAAAGCTATGAGTGTATGTGTAAAGTGATCCACCCACCACGACATTCTCCTGCCATTTGTTTTAGACTAGCACTAAAGCTATGAGTATATGTGTGAAGTGATCCACCCACCACGACATTCTCCTGCCATTTGTTTTAGACTAGCACTAAAGCTATGAGTGTATGTGTGAAGTGATCCACCCACCACGACATTCTCCTGCCATTTGTTTTAGACTAGCACTAAAGCTATGAGTATATGTGTGAAGTGATCCACCCACCACGACATTCTCCTGCCATTTGTTTTAGACTAGCACTAAAGCTATGAGTGTATGTGTGAAGTGATCCACCCACCACGACATTCTCCTGCCATTTGTTTTAGACTAGCACTAAAGCTATATGTGTGAAGTGATCCACCCACCACGACATTCTCCTGCCATTTGTTTTAGACTAGCACTAAAGCTATGAGTGTATGTGTGAAGTGATCCACCCACCACGACATTCTCCTGCCATTTGTCCGCCTTGCTGAAGCTTGCCCCCAGCTGACCCAGGCGAGTCTCCAGCATGAATGGCATTTGATCGGACAGCTGGACGGCGTCCTCCTCGTCGTTGCTGAAGCAGGTCACCTTCTTGCCCTTGACGATAGAGCTGCCGTCTGCCAGTTTTATGGGGACCAGGCCTACAGAGTCAAACGTAGCTAGATCTAGTTATCTTGTACGACTAAAGCAAGTATAAAATTCAATGCAACATAACCCCCCCCCCCCCCACTCGCACGAGATTAGGTTATATCAATCTTAAAAAAAACTCACGTTTCTGGAATAGCATAGTGAAATAAACTTTGCATTTAAAAATTAAATTGTAATTGCCTTATTTGCCTTGTTCTTATGAAAAATGGTTTAATTAAAATAAAGGACTAAATTAGTAATACATGTATCGTAGGACAGATGATCATGCACACTATCTCCATTCTTCGCCTTTCTAACCCTTGGTGGTAAAAATGGATGGCGATTTAGGTTTCATTTTCTCACAACGATACGATAACGAGCTAGATCTAGTACGATCGTCAACCTACCATCTGTCAGGCCCAAGACAGACTAAACTAAATCAAACCCCGAAAGCCCATGACCAAAGGAAAATCAAGCCTGAAACTGAAAGCCCGTGACTGACTAACCAGAATCAAACCTTCAAGCCCATGACAAACGTAAAATCAAACCTGCAGGGCCATGACACACTGCTGCAACCACCCCTCCATGGTCGTAAACGTGAGCCGTTATTTTAGCAATCGTCTCGTCTGTTGCCAGATCAAACATCGGTCCATGTCCTCCAGGGTACAGCACAGCGGCGTAGTCACTGAGGGGGAGACAGAAGAATCGTTCCAATAGGCACTTTTTAAATGTCAAGTAAACAAGCAATAGGTTTCTGTAACTAAACTACATACAACATTTTCAACATTTTGTAGAATCTCTATAGAAGAGCGTAGGAATTCAAGACAAAGCTGCTGTTATTTTCCCCAAACTGAAGACTGCCAGACATGCGGACTGTGGGCATTCTTCATTTACACATTTCCATCATCACAACTTGACAGACCCCCCCCCCCCCCCACTCGGTAATGGGCGCAACCCATGTACATGTCAACCATTTTGGTCGTCTGGTCGGGGAAGTAGTGACCCATGCACAAGTAAATTTTGGTGGGACTGGTCGGGGAGGTAGTGACCCATGCACAAGTAAATTTTGGTGGTCTGGTCGGGGAGGTAGTGACCCATGCACAAGTAAATTTTGGTGGTCTGGTCGGGGAGGTAGTGACCCATGCACAAGTAAATTTTGGTGGTCTGGTCGGGGGGGGGGGGGAGGTAGTGACCCATGCACAAGTAAAATTTTGGTGGTCTGGTCGGGGAGGTAGTGACCCATGCACAAGTAAATTTTGGTGGTCTGGTCGGGGAGGTAGTGACCCATGCACAAGTAAATTTTGGTGGTCTGGTCGGGGAGGTAGTGACCCATTCACAAGTAAATTTTGGTGGACTGGTCGGGGAGGTAGTGACCCATGCACAAGTAAATTTTGGTGGTCTGGTCGGGGAGGTAGTGACTGACCTGGCCTTGACCTGGGATGGTGTTTTTGTGTTGTTGACCAGTGCCTGAGCCGCGGCATCATTGAGGAACCACTGGCACACGTCATCGTCTTTACTGCTGTTAGGATCCTGAAGAGACACACAGACACACGGGTATAGGTATAGGACACACACAGACCTAAGTACACACGGGTATAGGTATAGGACACACGGGTATAGGTATAGGACACACGGGTATAGGTATAGGACACACGGGTATAGGTATAGGACACACGGGTATATGACCAACACAGACCTAAGTACACACGGGTACAGGACACACACAGACCTAAGTACACACGGGTATATGACCCACACAGACCTAAGTACACACGGTATCAACACTGGATTGACTCTAAATTAAAAGTCTAAATGAGGGTAGCTCGGCCCGTTTCATTGTTGATCAGACTCAACATTTGTTCACGATACCGGTCGATAGCCCTTGTTGTTCTGAGGTTCACATGCGTCATAGATCATAGATAAACTGCAATATGGTGCAGGGGGCATAGAGTTCGGCGCAGGGGCATATATATTATATAATATATATATACATATATATATATATACATATATATATACATATATATATATATACATATATATATACATATATATATATATACATATACATATATATATACATATATATATATATATATACATATATATATACATATATGTATACATATATATATACATATATATATATACATATATATACATATATATATACATATATATATATACATATATATATACATATATATATACATATATATATACATATATATATACATATATATATACATATTTATATACATATATATATACATATATATATACATATATATATACATATATATATACATATATATATACATATATATATACATATATATATAAATATATATATACATATATACATACATATATATATACATATATACATATATATATATATATACATATATATATATATATATATATATATATATATATATATATATATATATATATATATATATATATATATATTTATATGATTCGATGAGACTTGATCATTGGACTGTCCACCATTTAAAAATTAAAACCTGTACAAGACTGTCCAATAAAAGAAACTTAGAGTATTGTAGACGATATTCGCTTCAGACGTACCAATGGTGCTACCCCTCCCTTTGGGCTGATGACGTCAATGTTGGTGAAACCAGAGTCCAGCAGGACCTTGTAGGGGTGTGCAAGTTCTGGAAGGTACCAGCCTGTCGGCTTGCCTGTGGCCGGGAACTTGTCCACGCTGGTCAGTACGACGAGGATTTTCTTGCTCATTGTGGGTGGTCAACTTATCTACATGGGGCGGTCACAGGGGATGGAATTAAATAACATGGATGAAACAGTTGGGAGCAGGAATACAAGATAATCACACAGTGAAGAAAGTAGAGAGAGCTGTGCGAGGGATGTGTGTGCAAGCTATGGATGAGAGCTGTGTGTTTATGTGGGTGAGTGATGTGTGAGAGAGCTGTATGTGTGTGTGAGAGAGCTAAGTGTGAGGGAGCTACCGCCCACACCATTTCTAGCTGAAACGAAATAATTTGTAACATTTTAAACAGGTCTTTACCGCCTTGGCTTAAAGGCGGGTTACACCAAGCTAAAGCCGGCTTGCCACTAATGCGCTGATTAAATCTAGTCAGGAAAATGTACGACAGCCTGGTAAAAATGGCCGGGGACGCCACACGCAATGTGAGGTTTTATTCACATCTACACCTGTGCTACAGAATCGAATCACACCTTGGCCTATTTTGGATATAAATATCCCATGTCTAGACGTGTTGAGTACATATTGATTTACCCTTCGCTGGTCACAACATGAGCAGGTTGTTTCATCTATTTTAATACATCCTACATTTTAACTTGCCAGATTGGATTAGATTTTAGAAAGATAAATGTAACATTTTTGTGATTCCTGAAGTGCTGATCACATTTCCCCCGTCGCCTTGTGGGAGTTTGGTTGTAGCCACCCCTGCACGTTTGCATACACGCATGAGATAACTATCTACCGATATCCTAAAATATTTAATTAAAAAATATTCGTACCGTACGTCTAGCGTTGGAGTTTCAAACCTTAACATTTAATGTTATGTTAAACTACAGCCAAGAACAGGTGCACTAAACAGACGAACTATGGTCCCACTAAATCACAAAATGATATCTCTACTCAAGTATATTGAAACTGCATACATTTATCTCTTAGCTGATACATATACATATGCAATTTTAACACAACGCATTTCGTGGATTAGCACACAGATCAAATTGCAAAAATTATAAGAACTAAATTTAACCTTGTATTTACAGGCTACCTACTGAATGGCTACAACCGGCATTAAGACAGCAAGCCTGGCTACACCTTGAGACAGCACGACTATGGCTACACCTTACCTTCAGACAGCAAGACTTGCTACACCTTCAGACAGCAAGACTGTTGCTACACCTTCAGACAGCAAGACAGTTGCTACACCTTCAGACAGCACGAGTGTGTGGCTACAGCTTCAGACAGCACGATTGAGTTGTGGAGAAACTTGCTGCGTCATGTGTGTGTGTGTTTGTGTGGTGTGTGTGTGTGCTGGGGCAGGTAGATAGCGCGGCCCGCTGAGCGGCACAGGCCGCCCTGAGTGACGGGGCACGGTGAACTGACGGCGGTCACACACGAGTAGTCAGCCCAGTGGCGGAACTAGAAAAAAAAGGCTCCCCCGCAAAGAAAAAATTATATATATATATATATATATATATATATATATATATATATATATATATATATATATATATATATATAATCTATATCCTAACTGAGTAATTTAGTCTATTTCATTGCAATATATAACCATTCTGAGAGAACAAACCAGAAATTTTTTTGTCCAAACCAATTGTGAGACAATATAGGATCACAAATATGCTGGTCAAAAATATATAAAGAGGTTAGCTTGATTCGTGAATGGTTTCTCGCGTTATGTTTATTTTTTTCATTTTTGGCTTTTATAATATCAATTTTGAAAACATTGATTTTTATAGCTATACTATTGTAAAGTAAGTCTTATTTAAATAACAATTCAGAGAATTAATTGCTTTTTAATATACATAGTACAAAACTATTTAAATGAGCTTCGTGGGCATCCTTATTTTAAAGAAGGACAGTAAGTCATGGAAGTAGTGTGAATGTTTACCTACCTTTCAAACTATAGCTCTAGTAGATTTTAAATTATTTTTCTACGCAACAATCTCTGCTATAGTAGACCTGTTGTTTTTTTTTTTTACAAAACCACTTTCATAATGTATGAAAAACATATTTTTTGAAAAAAAAAATGCATTGTTTTTTGGTCGGAACTGGGCCCCTAAACGTCCTGGGCCCCCCCGCATTGCGGGGTCTGGCGGTATGGTAGTTCCGCCCCTGAGTCAGCCACTCAACTGGAGCCAAATGAGCACAGAATTAATTCGTTATCCACTGTCATCGCCAGCATCTATCTGAGCAGTGTTTCTTCCAGATCTTTTTCTCCGGGGGGGGGGGGGGGGGGGCGGACACTGTTTAAAGTATATCTTTTCTATATAAATTCCATTTCGTTCGGGAGGGGGGGGGGGGGTGGGGTAGACTTTCTCAGCCCCCCCCCCCCACAAGAGGTGCCTGTAAGAAACTCTGTGTATGAGTCGGCCAAACAACGTCATAATATTAGATTTGTTAGGCTCGCTGACACAACAGTCGCACGCTAGTAGATCTAGATAGGGGAGTTTTTATAACACACGTTGGATGATTAGATCCACGGGTGCCCAATTTAAACGTTATCTTTGTTTTCATTGACAATTATTATAATATCTATTCCTCCCTAAAAAGTTTAGTGGCCTATATATATATATATATATATATATATATATATATATATATATATATATATATATATATATATATATATATATATATATATATATATATATATATATATATATGTGTGTGTGTGTGTGTGTGTGTATTTTTACGCGCGTGTGTGTACGTGTGCATTAGGATGGACCTAGTGTGCCAAATTTGGAACGGGAGGTTTAGTTAAAATATTCCTGACGGTATGGTGATAGGCCTTACAAAAAAAAAAAAAAAAACCAAACGTTTTTATTACTTAACAACCATGACTCAGCATTTAAAAAATACGTTTAGCTTGCAATCGCATGAATATGTCAAATAACCGCTAATTTCGTTGTGAAAGTTAAATGACGAAAACAAATTTCTATCTCAGGTGATCACACAGAAGCTGATAACTTGGGTCTAGATCACATTGAGGCTGATAACTTGGGTCTAGACCACATTGAGGCTGATAACTTGGGTCTAGACCACATTGAGGCTGATAACTTGGGTCTAGACCACATTGAGGCTGATAACTTGGGTCTAGACCACATTGAGGCTGATAACTTGGGTCTAGACCACATTGAGGCTGATAACTTGGGTCTAGACCACATTGAGGCTGATAACTTTGGTCTAGACCACATTGAGGCTGATAACGTGGGTGTAGTTTTCGACGAAGCAAAAACAAGTAGCTAGAATGTCATGGAATCAACTTGGATAATTTGTCTAAACCGAGTGCGATAGAAAAGTGTGGATGTGTTGCATCCCTGTACTGCACAAAGGGTGATGACGATGATATCACGTCGAAAGAGTATATTATTATTAGTATTACCTTCCGGATAGACAAAAACTTCCAAACCAAAAACTAATAAAAAAAAAAACAACTCGAAAAAACCATTTTGAGGGAACAAACTAACAATTTAATGTAGGCACTCAAGAGTTAAGAAGGTAACAATTAGTCAAAAACAAACAAACAAACATGGCGTACAAATTTATCGTAACTGTCATGTACACACTAAACATGCACATCCACAAGTGTAGATTCATCCTCAAATGTGTACACACTCACTCGGTGAATGGCGGATATATGAACAAGATGGACGTGTATTAGAAACAACATAAGCAGTAATATACGTGCGAGTAGTTGCACTTTAAACAAGATTTAACACTATCAACATAAAATAAAGTAATTGTCCACATACAAAAAGAGGCTTTCTCTTCTCCAAGTATAAATAAACCCTTAGATAAATGATATCTATTGTAAGCACTGACCACACCCAAAAATGCGAAAATCTGGAACTCCCCAAACTACGCCTTATGTGGGCAGGTTACCACAATAAACCTGTCAAACACATTCAATATTTACAGAACAAGTAAAGAAAGCCTTTTAGATTTACCTACACGTCACTACATATTAAATAAGGCAAAACATAAATTATACAAATTTTATACAAATAAAAAGTAATGTGTGAAGTGCTGAAAAAAGATATAATAAATTAAAGTACACTAGATTCGGAAAATGCCTATGCATTAATAAAATAGTATGAAAATGATACAAATTAGAATACAATCTATGCATGCTAATGAATACAATCTATCCATGCTGATGAGCTTTCTTATTAAAAAAGTGAAACCTAAATGTTGACATACAGACGAGCATACAGCACAACGATTTGACAGTCAGTCACAGCCGCGTTGATGAGGACACATTGGTTTGTTGTACCAACACACAGAGCAAGCCAAAACAACATTCATGTATTATATATTCTTGTTTTTGTAACACAGTTTATGGGGTGTGGGGGAGGGTTCTGGTCGGCGGGGGAATTAGTGTTGACTGTTTCTAAGGTAACAAAGGGAACTCGTATGGCAAGGGAAGGAAAAGTAGACTAAAGTTAATTGAAATTGTACCATATTGGAAAACAAATTCTGAGCACTTTCAATACACAATTATGGCACACTTTTCAATTATGTAGTTTATCGTATGTATAGATATATAATGTATATATGTATATATAAATATTCAAACAAGTATTAGACAGCACATGACTACACAATATTTATTGGAAAAAAATAAAGCTCTGTTCAATAAAAGCGTCAAGTCAAATAATAAAATAAGTGTTGCTAAATTACAATAATCAATCTAGCAGTCTAAAAAAAGTAATTATTTAGGAACTAAAAACATAAATATTGACTAGATTTGTAATGTGAAGACTTTCCATACTCTCATCTTTCTTAGTTCATCGAACTTTGTACGCGGTTCAGTCAGCATACATTTGCCAGATAAAGTTTAGATAGTTACGCCGAAATTCGTTACGCCTGTCGCATTTGCATGTGACATTTACGATAATTTTGAATACTTTTAAATACTTTGGTAAAAATTCTGTCCTTATGTTTTCAATTTTTAACTGTCACAAATAAAAACGAAAAATTAATTTACAAAACCTGACATAAACTAGAATTACATTAAATTAATCCGCTTAACAGGTATAAAAAAATAATAGCGCACTCATTCTTACTTTTCAACGACTTTAAATAAACTAAAAATAGATTTGAATTGCTTGACATCCATTTGACGACCAGTTCGCGCGCTCACGTGCTGAGGATGAAGGGGCTGCCGGGAATCTCGTCATCGCCCCACTTGACGTGCAGTATGTGCTCACCAATATCCTGGACCTTGTAGCTGACGGTGTAAGACGTCTGGCTCACCTTCTTGATGGACAGCTCAGCCTCGGGGAACCCGCTGGGGGAGATCATACCGACGAACAGTACAGCGTTACCTGCACAGAAAGACAGCCATGCATGATATAAATGGATATACATAGGCGGATCTAGGGAGTGCATAGGGCTTAGCCTACCCCCTACCATTTTCGGCTCAAATGGGCTACATACACACACACACACACACACACACATATATATATATATA